AGTTAGCAATATTAAGCTAAAGATAGAGCAGACTACTTACTATAATGTAAGATAGTATTATCTTAGCAACTGCCTCTAGCTTCTTCTAGAGGCAGGGGAAAATAAAATAAGTCTTAAATATTATATTGCACTATAGCTAGATTAAAGCTAGAGAAGGTTTAATATTAAGATAACTTATAGAAACACAATAATTATTATAGATATAATAGTTAAAGTATAATATTATTTTTAACTTAACAATTTCCTAGCATAAATAAGCTTAGAGCTTATTTAGCTTTAAGCTAGTAGCAGTAGCAGTAGCTAAGATTTAAGCAATATATAAAATATATATAACTTTATAGGCAGAACTAAGCTATATATAAAGTTAGAGCTAAAATAAAGGCAGAAATAGAGATATATATAGACTTACTAGCAACTTTCTAGGACTAGGACTTAGTTATTATTTTGCCTTTAAAAGCACTAAAAGTCTTTACTATAGTTAGCCTCTAGGCAGAGAATAAGCTAGCGCTAACTTAGACTTACTACAACCTTCTCTATATTATTAAATTAAGAAGTAGATATAATAATAGCTACTAATAATAATTAGTATTCTTCTAGAGTTAGGCTTAATGTAGAGTAGATATAAAGTATATATATATAGATAGTAAGTTCTAACTATATTTAAAAGCAATAGCAGCAGCAGTAGAGGCAATAAGAATAGTTCTAGCAAGAAGTTAGCTAGAATTTACGTAGAGACTAGCTTAGGCTTAGCTAGACAGTAGGTAAAGCTAGTATATTAGCAAGATTTAGTATATATTAAGAGCAAGAAGTTAAAAGAGGAAGAAAAAAGGGAAGAAAGTTAGAGAGAGTTTAGCTAGCTTTATATCTAATAGAAGCCTAGATTTAGCGTAGCAGCTGCACTAGCTATAGCTAGCTATAAAGCTAAGAGGTAATTTATATATAAGATAAATATAAAGTAAATCTAAATATATAAGCTATTGCAGCTAAATACTAGATATTTACGCTAGCAGCTATATAATAGTATAGAACTAGGCTAGCCTACCTCTAAGAGAGTAATAAACGTTATACTGCACTAAGATAGTCTGTATCTCTAGAGAGCAGGGATAATTAAGAACTAACAGACAGAATAGAGAATTAAGTAGGTGCAGAATAGCTCTAGCGTAAAGCTAGAGTTAAGCTATAGCTAGCTGTAAAGCTAAGAGGTAATTTATATATAAGACAGAAGTAAGGTAAATTTAACTATACAAGCTATTGCAACTAAACACTAGATATTTACGCTAGTCAAGCTATTGCAACTAAATACTAGATATTTATACTAATAGTTATATAACAGCCTAGAGCTAGACTAGCCTACCTCTAAGACAGCAATAGATAATATACTATATAGAGATAAATTATATTTCTAGAGAGAGAGGATAATTAAAGGCTAGAGAATATAGCAAAAGAATAAATAGAAGCAGTATAGCTCTAGCATAGAGCTAGAGGCAGACTTAGTTTTTTAGGGGTTATTAGCCTCTCTAGAATACAGCTAGTAAAGCTGGCAATATTTATGCACACGCAGAAGACAGGCAGATCCTAGCTGGCATAGAGCTAGAGCTGCTCTAGGGAGCGAAAACAAAAGCAGGTAGAGTTTTTCTTCCCTAATATAAGAAGAAGATGTACTAGTTATATAGCTTTATAGCTATCTAGGGTATTTAATATATAGCTATTAAAAAGCAGATATACTTATATTATCTTAGAGTATTTATCCTTAAATATTAAGAGCTAATTTATACTATTATAACTAGGTAAGTAATCTTAGAGGTCTTAATATATATACTAAAATAAATATAGTAATATATACTCTCTAGAGCGCCTAGATATAACTTAGTGTATAAGCACTTAAGTATAGATATTATAGTCTTTACGCTTAATTCTCTTTATATATATATTTCTAGCATTTAAGTAGAGCTTCTTAAGTGCAGCTTTACTAAGATAGCTAGCTTATAAATGCTATAATTTAGAGGTATCTTCTCTTAGCTTTAGAGAGTTCTTACTAAGCCTCTAGCGCTAAGAGCTTTATATATATATATTCTAAGTATAACTACTTATAGTAATAATAGTAGGAAGGCTTAAAATTATAGTATTTCCTTAAGAGTTCTTTATATAGTTATTAAGAGGCTTATATTTAAGGAAAGTTAAGCTAAACTTTCTAATAAGCTATACTAGCACTATACTTCTTTCTAATAGTTTATAGTATAGTATATAATTATAACTATAAAGCTAAGCTCTCTTTTTATATAGAAGATCTACTAAGATAATATTAATATAGAAGTTCTTAATAAGAGCTATATTGCTAAGAGTAAAGTCTACTATTTTAGCGCTATTATTACTATATAGAATCTTCCTAAGTATATATATGCCTCTTTTAATAATTAAATAGCTTATTGCTTCTACCTTTATATATTCTCTTATTATCTCTCTAAATAAGCTTAGCTTAAGCAGATTAATATTATTAATAAAATATATAGCACTATAGTTATCTAATAGCGTGCTTAAGGAGAGTAAATATTTAGCTTATCTAAGCGCTATATAGATTCTAAAGTATTGCCTATAAAATTAAGTAATTTAGGGATTTATAATAGCGCTATTAAATTCCTTATTAAAAAAGTATAGTTTCTTATTAAAGCTCTAGTTATTCTATAAGCTTAGTTCTATGCTTTCTGCTAATAGCTTTAAGCATAAGTCCTTTTATTTATTGCTATTATAGTAGTTCTTTATCTATATAATTTCTTCTTTAGTTAGGTATATATAAAGTTTAAGACTCTAGTCTTCTGTAAGTATATAGTATAGTCTTCTATATTTCTAAGCGCTCTAGAGATAAAGAAGAGATAAATTCTTAGGTATATAAAAGCACCTCTTCTTCTTTATATTATTCTAAGTATTATTCTAATTATTACTACTATTGCCTTAAGTATTATTATTAGTATTATTTTTATTATCTTTATAATTTAAGTATTTACCTAAGGTAGTATAAATACTCTTAGCTTTTAACTTGCTATACTTATTCTAAGTAAGGTAGCTATTAAATATATTGCTAAAGTCCCTAAGTATATAAGTCTTTAGTATTTTAATACTCTTATTATTTCTTATTATATTAATTAAAGTTTTAGCCTAGCTAGAATTATAGCAAAATCTAGCTGCTTTAAGGAAATTATAAATAGTAATAATACTCTAGATCTTAGCAATTTTTTCTATAGTAGTATACTTGCTCTATTAAAGATACTAATTCTTAGAATTCTAATTTATATATTAAGCATCTTTAAGAACTACTTTATAAGCTCTATAAGCTTCTATATAAATACTTAAATTATTTAAAGCAAGCTATGCCTTTAGCGCCTTAACTAGCTGCTTAAGAGTAAATTTAGAATTTATTCTCTTTAGCTTAACTATAGTTACTTAATATATACTTAGTTTAATTAAAATAGCAAACTAAGTATATATATAAGTTATACTCTTCTCTTTATATAGCTAGTTAGTATACTAATACTTATAGTTCTTTTATATTTAGTTATATACCTTAGTAACTATATAAGTTAAATTAAAGTAATAATATACTTTATAAAGAACCTTAGCCTTTACTATTATTAAGCGCTTAAGCTTAGGGAAAAGAAACTATTAGACTTTTGCTCTAGTTAATTAAAGTCTATATAGTTTTAAATCTTCTATATCTTATAATAATTATATATTATATTATACTAATTCTTTTAATTTATAGAGAAATAAAGAAGCTTTACTAGCGCTAAAATAGCGCTTATTAGTATAGTTAGCTTAGTAGATTAGCTTATAGTTAGCTTAAAATAAAAATAATAAGCATATAATATATATAAAGAATGCTTAATATACTAATAGAAGTTGCAGAAGTTAATTAATACCTTCTAGGCTTATAATTATTATATAATAGTAGTAGCACTAAGCTAGATATTACTTAGATAATAGTTAAAAGCCTTAAATTAATCTACAAAAGAGAGAATTATATGCGCTCTTTAAATAAGTGCGCCTAGCTCTACGCTTTAGGTGCGCATTAACTTAATCCCGTGCGCATGCGTGTCTATTAGCCCTAGGTAGGTATGCTAGAGCGCGTTAGGCATGCCGTTGCCGTGCGACAGGGGGTGTGTCGCATAGCATATAAGGTAGTCTACTATACACAAAAGTGTGGCGTGGGCCACGCCCAACTTTTAGTGTGACAGTTATGAGCCCGGGAGGGTTACACCCTGTAACTTCCCACTATAGCGCAACTACCTTGCTACGACGTTCGAATCCCACTAGTAGGAGCACTCTAAAAAAGGCCACTTCTATATCTTAGAAGTACATTTACTCTATAAGGGCGGCCTCTCTCTAAACAGAGAGGAGGTAAAGCGAGTAGAGTCGTAAGATGCCTAGCAGATAGAGCCAGCAGATAGATCCAGCAGAAAGTGGCAGCAGATAGTGGCAGCAGATAGTGGCAGCACATCGTGGCAGCAGTATGCCTTGCCCAGGATCTATGCTCTAGAAATAGCTCTAGCATTTAGGTCAGCTAGAGCTAGGGGGTGTGTCGCATAGCATATAAGGTGGTCTACTACACACAAAAGTGTGGCGTGGGCCACGCCCAACTTTTGGTGTGACAGAATTGATGCAGAGTGGCGGACACGCCGCAGCCACAGCGTCTATTTATCCAGCTGTCGTGCGGGGAAGCACGAAGGCCGTTCCTTCCGTATTTGATCCCAACGCCCGCCTGTCTCCCCTCTATTATGTGTCTAAGTAGGAACGTGATCAGTAGATAATTTTACTTCCATCACTCTTGCTTTCTCAATTCCTTCCCTGCCTACTCTTTGCAATACTCCAAACAAACTCTTCCACGCACTTTTGGGTTTTACGACGGGCTCTTTGCGGGACGTCTCTGTTGCGCTTTTATACGTCGTTGGGCTACCATTGCGGTCGTGAGCAACATCACAAAGAGAAAAATATAAAAATATCAAAAAATGACACCAACACATATACCTGTTGTACAACCCGTGCCTCTTCCCGCAGGGACAGCTACTTATGAGGCGGCCAGGCTGGCGGTGCTGCAAAGGTTCGCGGCCGCCGTACCAAAAGAACTTCTTCTGCCTGACAGGGTCATCCAGAATCCGCCCAAGACTGTCGTCGGCGTCCCGCGCCAGTGCGGCCTCTTGTCTGAGGCGGAGCTCGACATCACAGAGAATTATGATGCGACGGCGCTCGCGGAGGCCATTGCTTCCAAGAAGTTGACGTCGACCGCCGTAGTCACGGCGTTTGCCAAGCGTGCCATGATTGCACACCAGCTCACGTGCTGTCTTACCGAGTGGTTCATGGACGAAGCCATTGCACGTGCTCAGGAACTTGACGACCATTTAGCTGCCACAGGGCAGACTGTAGGTCCCTTGCATGGCGTTCCCATTACTATCAAGTCTCACATTCCTATTGCAGGGCATTGGAGAGATTTGGGATACTTGGATACGCTGACGAAGGACACCAAAGACAGTCAAATGGTGGCTATTCTGCGCTCTGCCGGCGCCGTATTCTACTGCAAGACGAACCAGCCACAGAGCTTAATGCATCTTGAGAGCACATCATTCTACGGCAGAACCCTCAACCCGCACAACATCAAGCTATCGGCAGGGGGCTCGACTGGCGGCGAGGCAGCCTTGATAGCGCTTCGCGGGTCGGTTTTGGGCGTCGGCACAGATATTGGAGGTAGCGTGAGGGGCCCTTGTGCATTTTGTGGCATCTACGGCTTCAAGCCCACAAGCTACTCGCTTCCGATGAAGGATTTCCTGGCGGGTGGTGTGTCTGCTGAATTAAATGTGTTGTGTTCCACAGGCCCTATGGCCCTGACGTTGAGAGACATGGATCTCTTCATGGCCGTCGTGATAGGGTCGAAACCATGGATTGAAGACCCCCGAGTCATACCTATTCCGTGGACGGGAATGAGAACCAGCGTCGGACAGCAGGTTGCAGAAAAGTGCCGAATTGGTCTCATGATGCACGACGGGGTCATCATACCCCAACCGCCCGTCACTAGAGCTTTGAATTGGGCTAAATCACGTCTTGAGAAGGCTGGCTTTCAGGTCAAGCTATTCAAGCCCTACAAAGTCGCCCGAATAATGGAAAACATTCGCAAAGCATACTGGCCAGCTGGTACAAAGTACACAGACGCCCATCACGCTCTCACGGGGGAGCCCAAGCATCCTCTCACGGAATGGATCCAGCGAGAAGCTGCTCCCGAGGAGCTGCTGGTCACAGCCGTCCTTGAACAAAGGCTTCTCCGCGACGACATGCGTTCCGAATTCTCATTGGACTGGGAGAATCAAGGCGTTGATGTAATCCTATGTCCGGCATTTGTAGGGCCCGCGAGCAGCCACGACACGGCGTGGTATTGGGACTACACGGCAATGTGGAATTATCTCGATTGTCCCGGAGTAGTGATACCCACCCCGATCAAGGCATTGAAGAAGGGCGAGGAAGAATATGATGTCAAGGACGCACTGGGCGTGGAGTGCGCACGAGTTAGGAAGTTGTGGGACGAGGGCGACTTCGAAGACGCACCCGTTAATTTGCAGCTTGTTGGGAGACGATATCACGATAATGAGCTGTTCCAGGCTTTGGCAGCTGCGAAGGATGCGCTGCAGCTGCGGTAGGTGAACCAGGTCTGATTTGGTTTCCTGCAAGCGCCTCAGGACTGTTCTTCTGCGATACGAAGGCCAGCGGCAGACGAATATGACAGTATGCCCGGCAGCATGCGTGCTGTTGCAAGTGAAGCGCAAGCGAGTGGAATCTTGAGTCGAACCAGTCTTCTGGCCGACCAGAGCTTCAAATCGTGAGTGCCAACAGACGAGACGCATCCATCGTAATGTGTTTCTGTCATGCGTCACGCAGCACCTTGCATCAATTCCTCTCCCACGCCCGTATCTCTGCCGGCTTCTCCTCTGTCCATGCCAAGTCTCTCGTGTTTTGATTCCGCCACCATGACGGACGTCTTTTTCCCTGCCTGGACAATCCAACAGAAGTGTTGATTAAAATCGTCAGCTCGGCGCCAGGCCTCGCGACTCTTGACCACTTTGCTCTCGCGCCACCTTGGCCAACATGGCATGTCTCCTCTCGAATCAGCCACGGCCAACGACAACTCGTCCTGGAACTCGGTGCTTCGTCCGCCTCGCGGCTCAGGGTCTCGCACCTGCACGCCAGAGAACCCAATGGCCTCGACGTGCGAAGAAGCTGTAGAGAAACACACGACCTGTCGGTTTAGAGAAGTCTGCCCTGGACCGTGACAGTCGACATTCGTGGCCGTCTGAGCCCTCCGCCGTCACTCTTCGGTGGGGAGTTTGCGGACTGGCCGCGAGAGGTGCTTCTTCTCCATCGCCGTGCTGCGATTCCCTCCAAGGCTTGCATCGAATGTTTCCGGCACGGTCGCAGACTTGATATTGCCTAGCCCAGTAGACGAAGGCAAAAACGCAAAGCCGGGAATCTCGACAGTGGAAAGTGCATGCAGTGCGAAAAACATGTGTCGCAGTGTCGAGGAATGTTCCAGCCCGTACGGTTGCTGCATCTTTGAAGACACCGATCAATAACTAGAAGCCCGTGACGGCAAGGGCGTTTTGGAAAGACCAAGCGACTTTTAGCACCAAAGTGTGTTTGCTACATGGTGAGTTGGGCCAGCTGGTGCTCCGAGCCCTCCGAGGGGACGAGCCCTTTCACGATGGTTCGTTCGTCTCGAATGGCCAGGTACAGCTTCGAGGTTACGAAGAGCATGGAAATGAATAAATAAAATTCAAGTCAATTTACGTAGCTAGTAAGCTAGTACCATCTCCTTGAATTGTCATGGATTTCTCCTCGTCTTCTTCCAGACATATAAACGTCAGCATGTACATTTTGTAGCAAGAGCATCCCTTGGCCTCTCTGCGTCGCGGCGAGACAAAATATACAACTTAGTTCTATAGCCGTCTAGAAACAGAAGGGGGCTCCGCATTTCAAGCCCGCTTGTTTGACTGCCCTCTTCCACGGGTTTGGGGGGGCTGGAGCCCCAGGCTGAGGGGGGTTTCGGAGCCTCGCAGAGCCACCAGGCATTGCAGCCCCAGCATCATGCTCAGGGACTACAGCAGGAAGCGGTGAACCGTCGGGCGGCGGCGCACGACGGCCGAGGGCAGCGGGTTCTAGGGCATCTGCCATCTTGTAAGAATTTTCCTTCCTTGCGGGCATCATCCACGGCAGGGGGGGGTTGAGACATGTTGCTATACCTGGAGGGCCGCCGAGCTCGCCGGCTGCGTCGGCCGGAGTCGCAGTCGGGAGTGACTGGACTGCGGCGGCAGTCGCGAGAAGCGTCACAAGAGCCTCGACAAAGGTGCGCTGGAGTCTCATTGTCTCGTTTGTGCAGTGTAGGTTTTGCACGACCAAAGAGGCGGGAGGGGGTTTGTGTCGCGGTATGTATTGTTATCTGGAGAGACGCGGTGCCTGGCCAAGTTGAGGAGGGACTCGGGACTCGCCACGAGGTTTCCCACGCGGGTATTTATGTTGCTCTCGTTTGCGTCGTGGGACTTGCGGGAGCGCTTGGAGGGCCAGACCGGGCAGGCGACGAGGCCGACCAAGGCCAGCGGCCGCCAGAGTCAGAATCAGAATCATACGATGTCGGGCACCGGCAAGCAAGCATCGAGCCTGCTCGTCCTGTCTTGGCTCGGCATCTCGAGCACTCGTGGCGACGCCGATGCCGATGAAGATGCCGGCCAAGAGCAACGCGTGGTCTGGTCCACCCACCGCCGGGTTGAGCTCGAGCCCTTGACGTGGACCATGTCCAAGGCATGGTGTCCTGGTGCGCGTTGACATGTGGGCAAAGCGACGCGAAGAGGTTGTGGTCTTGGTGGTGATTTGTGACTCACGGCCACGGATTGCTGCGCGCGGCAAGCCTGCGTTGGCGGAGCAGACCAGGACAGGCATCGATGATGAGGTCGAATCCAGACATCAGGGACTCAAATGCCTCGAGCCAGCCGCCTAGGCCCTCGTGTGGCCGACAAGGGCGTCACGGTGCCTGAAGCCTGCAACCTTTTGTGCATTGCAAGTCACGCCTTGACCGACGTTGCCGTTGTGGCCTGGGGAGCCTTGACGGCCTTGGTCGACGGCGTACTGTGCTGTGCTGCATGCACGGATTAAAGACTTGCAAAGACCTTTTGACGGCTTGGACTTGGACCTGATAAACTGGGACTCGACTTGGAAGTGCGGGGACGACGCATGGCACCCGTTTGGTGAATGAAGCTGCGGTGGGCTGACGAGAAAGTAGAAACTTTGTTTTTGGTCATGGTTATATGTAGAGCATGTACGGAGTAGAGGGAGAGGTCTTTGTATTACGTAACGCTGTTAACTACCTAGCCAAGGCGTGCCGGGGAGTACTCGTCCTCCTGCTCTCTCCTATTGGCCAATTGGCCAGGCTACCCACTTTCAGGGTCTGAATCGTGCCTTTTTATAGACTTTATATCCTTTTTCACATGTGGAGTTGCATCTTCACGGCGTCCAGTTGACACACAAGCTGCTCAGTGCTGCCATGGACGGGAAAATCACGGACACAGCCGCTGGCCAAAGAGGAGTGCTTCCTTGATATCCAAGGAGGACGAGCGCTTTCTTACCCAGGAACCGGCAGCAGCCAAGTAGTAGCCAAGCTTGACGCATCCCGTACAACGCAGCGTCCCTGGCCCGACGGACCTCGAATTGCTCGAGACGCCTCACCGGTCGAGAAGCACTCGGATCAACATCCCTGCTCCAAAATACACCTCGATATGCTCCCGATGCTGGATATTTATTTATACACAAATGCACCCCCTCCACATGACCATTCCAAATGAGCCAATGCTAAGCCATGCCAGTCCCCGGGGCCCAAGCATCACGGCCATCCTTTGCCAACACGTCATCCAAAAGGCCACTCGACTATCGGGCAGCCGCATCGGCAGGCCTTCCCACAACAAGCCCCGACCCGCAGTCCGACTCGGTCCCCTGCGGCGTCTGCTTCTCAACCGTGCCGGTGCCGGTGCCGGTGCCGGTGCCACAGCTCTGCTCCCACTCGATCCTCTCCCGCACCATGTCCCGCTTGCACCACCACACCGAGATGCTTACCCACACGGCGCACCAGATAAACGGCACGGCCCAGCATATCCCGTACGCTGCCGTGGCAGGGACATCATGGACGACCGCCACCACCGTCAGGGCGGCGGCCAGCACGAGCGCAGGGACGCACCAAAACATGCTCTGCACGTACAGCATCCTCCGGAACCGCCGGGACGCCTTGAACCGCGCAGCCAGCGCCTCGCGGTACGGCCGTCCGGCCTTGACATTGACGGCAATGACGTCCTCCATGAAGTAGTAGGCCGCGGGGAGGACCTACGCCAGTCAGCACACGGCCCTTGAAAGGACAAAGAGGAAGAAGAGGAGGACAAGGACAGGGACAGGAAAGAAAAAGACGTACCTTGCCCCCCTTGGCCGTGGAACTGATCCTAAACGGCGCCCCCCACCCCATTCCGTGCCAAAGCATCAACAGCGCCGTAACCCCCCCCAAGCAATACAGTATAGCCGGCGCAGGCATGCACAGCACCCTCAGCCACACGACGTGCGGGGCGCTCCCGACGACGAAGAGCGCCGTGACGGCCGTCATGGTCACGACCGACGTCCACGTCAGCATGTCGAAGCACCAGCGCGACTCCGTGCCCAGGGGCCTGTAGAACCTCTCCTCCTTCATGAGCCGCAAGGTCCGCACGGCGAACTCGAGGTACGTGGGCCCGCCCCAGATGGTCGTGACGACGGCAAAGATGATCCAGCCCTCGACGTGGCCCGCGTAGTGTAGGGCGTAGTACAGCGCGATGGGGACGACGGACGCGTCGACGAAGACGAGGAACCCGAAGAGGAAGAGGCGCCAGCGGCGGCGGCCGTGGTGCCAGGTGAATGGAAGCTGGGGCAGCAGGAGCGGGTTGGCGTCGTAGTATTCCTGGAGAGTCCGTCCGCGGCGCGCGTACTCGGTGCGCGTGGCAGCTCGGGAGTCGTAGTACGCCGGAGCCGGCGGGCGGAGCGCGTAGGAGAGGCTGCGGCGGGGGGGGTCGTGCGTGGGCGGAGATGAGGGCATCTTCCGGCCGGAGACGCTCCGCCGAGGGGATTGCAACGACGGGTCCGGGACTGGTGGTGAGACGGTGGTGGTGTTGGGGTTGTGGATGTGGGAGCCGGACGAGCCGGTGGCACAGCCTGTGGTCGTGTCGTGGGGAGCCGCGTCGTTTGCCGGCGGCTCGCTTGCTTCTGGGGAGGCATGGTCGTGGCCGGATGATGATGCTACTGTTTGCAGAGGCCGAGCGTGCCAATCGAGGCTCCGACTTCCTCGTCTGACTTCGGGCATGGCGGGACGGCGGTGGCGATGCGAGGCTGCGAAAGGGGGAGGAGAAGGGGACTCGGCCCTGTCGTGGTCATGGCTTTTCGGAATTCCCCTGTGCGCAGCTGAGAAGACGGAAAATCCAAGGGAGACGAGAAAACTGGCCACCGAAATATTATGCAACGAGTGGTTTGTGATGTTGCCTGGTGGTGGCGGTGGTGGTGGCGGTTGTGGTGGTGGTGGTTTGTGATGTTGCCTGGTGGTGGACGGTCGTGGTGGGCAACAGGGATGAATAAGCGACAGAGCCTCTTCGGAAGGCCGATGCGATGGCGGATGACGTCTGGTGGGTCAGACTCGGACCGACAGACGTCACGCACTCCGCAATTCGCGCTCCGCACGCGGCTCAACCCCTGCCCCGGCGCCACCTTGGCCTTGGTCCTTGGCACCTTCAGACGTTACACGTTACACGCGTCAAATCGACGACGGTTGGACCGTCAACTCGGCTCCCTTCACCACCAAGCTGCTGAATAAGCTCTCGCTTGCCACAGCCACTCGACGGCATGACAAGCCCCGACAGGAATCACACATCTCGTCGAGCCGTGGACCGAGTACCGAATAACAACCGGGGTATCGTCATTCCTCAGCAACCTACAACTAGTAGTAAATATAACCAGTGCAACACAAGAATCCACGCTTGATCCATCGTCATATTGCAACAATCCTAGCACTCAACTAGCGTGACAAGAATAAGGTGGGGAAAAAAAGGACCACTTGTTCTTGTCTCCTCCAACTGTGCTCCCATCATCGCTAAGTACCTAGGTTCGTGGTCGACGTCACCTTCAGGTGTATATATTCATTTCAAGGTAAACAAACAGGGGCGAAAAGAAAAAAATGGGGGGGTATTAAAACACCAAATATTCTCCCAACGTCAAGTACTTCTTCCTCTGTCCAATCAGCCACCCAACGCTGGTTCGTGAATTGAATTCCTTCTCTTATTTACCTTGACTGGTGTGCATGCGTTATCGAGTTGAGCAGTCTGCACCGCATTGATCGATTAGTAAGCCTTCCTCAGTCCAAGTTGCCCTCCCAGCATCATCATCACCGCCATCGTCATCACTTACTGCAAATTGCGGTCCCTCATTTCTCTGTCGAGAGCATCAATCTGCTTCGCAATTAAGCGCGCTTTAGTGAGCTGCACCCAAAACACCCGCAAAAGTTAGCTTCAGTCACCCCTCTCAACAATGCCGAACCGAGGGAAACCGTGCAAGCTACGGCCACTTCAACAAAGGGGCCCGCGCACCGAAGCCAATGCCGCTGAAGAGTGGTCATCATCATCGCCGTTGTCGTTGCTGTCATCCTCACCTTCAGCCGCGTCATAGTTTGCAACAGCTCCGTCGCTGCCACTTCCTGCGCCGGCGAACCTGCTGCTTGACAGACCCTTGGAATTGCTGACGTTTGCCTGTCCACCCATTAGCATCCCATGCCAGTCCATACCATGCATCTGTGTATACTCATACCCTGGCCTCCATAAGCTCGGCATCCCTTACTTTGAGCTGCGCCTCCAGCTCCTCAATCTTCTTGCCGCTTTCCGCCGCATTTCTGGCTGCCTCTTCGAGCTTAGCCTCTAGCTCCTTGGCCTTGTTGTTGGCATCTTCCACCAGACTAGTCATGCTGTCGTTGAGATCCTTGTAGTCGGCTTGAGCAGTCTTGTGCTTGGCGTCCGCCTCCGACCTGTGAGCCTCCAGCTCCTTTTGAGCGAGTGCGACGTCATTCTTCATGTTCGCCAGCGTCTGCTGAGCATCCGCAAGCTTGGCCTTGTGTGACTCCAGTTCATTGTCCTTGTCCTTGAGCGCCGCCTCGGCCGCGGTATTGGCGTCCTCGTGCGCCTTTTTCAAGGTAGCGAGCTCCTTGCGAAGGGCATCCGCTTCTGAAGTGTCGGGCTTGACGCTCTTGGCAGCATCCAACTCGGCCAGGGCCGTCATGCGCTCCATCTTCTCCTGAGCAAACTGCTGGCCCATCTCTTCAACTTCGGCCTGGGCCTTGGCAAGGGCCTCCTGCGCAGTCTTGAGGGCACTCTCCAGCGCCTCATTGGCCGCCTGCTGTTCGGCGAGCTTCTCTTCCAAGCCGGAAGAGCTGTTTCGGTACTCGGCAATGGTGTCCTCAATGGATTTGGCGTGGGTGGCAGTCAGCTCTTCCAGGTCCTTTCGTGCTTGAATACCATCAGCCTGAATCTTATCCATGGCCTCGGCTTTCATGGAGACAATCTTCTCAATTTCGCCAATGTGCTTCTCCTGGAGCTCGTTCTTGGCAGTCTCAACACCAAGTTCGCCATCGGCCCGAGCCTGCTCAACCTGTTCCTTGGCGGCCTGCAGCTCAGCACGAATGGCTGCCAGTTCGCTAGTGTGTGCGTCGTTGCCTGCGCTCTTGGCCGCCGAGAGGGCCTCGTCGTGGGCGGCCTTTAACTTTTGGCGCTCGTCGGCGTGTTCCTGCTTCAAAGCATCAATTGTACCGGCATGCGTCGATGCGAGGGCCGCAATTTCCCTCGCCAAAGAGGCCTCGCTCTCCGCCTTCAAGATGTCCAGCTCTTTAGCATGTTGAACCTTGAGGGCATCGAGCTGACCAATGTGAGCCTCCTTGTCCGCAGAAGCACCAGTCTTAGCGCTCTCCAGCTCCTCAGCATGACTTGCGCGGATAGCATCCAGGTTCTTTTGGTGCTCCTCCTCTTTGGAAGCCAGCGCTTGGACCGCGGCGGCGTGCTCGGCCTTCGAGGCAGCAAGGGCATCACTGTGAATCTTGGCAGCCTCCTCAGAAGAAGCCTTGACCTCATTGTGCTGGCCTTCAAGTTCCTCAAACTTGCGCTTAAAGAAGGCGTCGCCACGGAGACTCTCAATTTCGTTTTCGTAATCCTGAGAAACGCTCCTCATGCGCTCATCATGCATTGTCTTAAGCTTGGCGATCTCCCCATCCTTGTCAGCCAGAGCAGACTGGGTCTCAGCAACCTTGGCCAGCAAAGAAGACATTTCTTCCTTGGCCGACGAGAGTTCCTCGTCCTTCTCAGCCAGGCTATTCCGAAGCTCCGTCAGCTCACGGGTGGCACTCTCTGCAGACTTGCGAGAGATATCGCTGAGAGCCTTGAGCTCCGCAACCTCGCCCTCAAGAGCGGCAACCTTGCTCATGTGGGCCTGCTGGTCTGGTTGGGACTTTTCGCTGTTGTCAGATTCTAGGGCAGCTTGCGAGGCGGCAAGCTCATCAATCTTGCGTTGCAGTTCGGCAACGATCGACTCGTGGCTAGTCTTGAGATCTGCAATAGCCGTTTCGTGAGCGGACGCATCAGTCTGGCTTTTATCGACTTCTTTTTTGTGGCTGGCCTCCAGCGTCTCGATAGCAGTCTTGTGCTGATCAGTCAGGGAGTTCCGAAGCTCAGACAGCTCCTTGGCATGATCGTCCGAAGCCCGTTGCAGCGCAGCTTCGATGGCCTTGACCTTTTCTTCACTCTCCAACTGAGCTGTTTCGAGAGACTTTCGCAGGGCCTCAATTTCGGACTCGGTGGCAGCTTTGGACTCCTCGGCGTTAATTAGGTTGGCCCTGTGCTGCTCAAGCTCAGACTCGGCAGCCTCCAGCTTTCGACTGGCTTCAGAGAGCTGGCTCTGCAGACTAGCCAGTGCAGATTCGTGGTCAGACTTCAAGCTCGCGGGAGCCTCGTCAGCCTCGACACCCTGCGGGGATTCGGTCTGGAGAGCGGGAGCCGTCTTGGTCAGCTGCTCGCGGAGATCAGAGATTGTGGTTTCTGAGCTTTGAATCTGAGATTTGAGGGACTCAATCTCGGATTCTCCCTGGAGAAGCTTGGTCTTGAGCTCTTCAATCTCCCTGGCACCAGTGGAGGCATCGGATTTGGCAGTACCAGGTCGGCTGGCTGTGGCAGAGACACGACCGGTAGCACCAGAAATGGACATGCGTTTCGAGGTGGTGCTGCTCGTTGCGGGAGCCCGAGTTGCCGTTGTTGCTGATCTGCTTGAGGACGTGGTTCCTGCAGTTGACGACCTCGAGCCAAGTGCAGAAGGCCTCGTCCCAGCCGTAGTAGCGGCAGTCGTTGCAGGCTTACGAGCCGTGGCAGCGGTAGCCGTCGTTGGCGTGGTTGGCTTCTTCTCGGCGGGAGCGACCTTTCTGCCGGGACTAGACACGAGGGTGCTCGTCCTCCTAACAGCAGTGGCAGTCAAGGCGGATTTTGGCTCATCCTCGCTCGCGCTCACACTGGGTCGGCTACGGTGCGTAGAGGTGGTAGAGGTAGCGGTCGTTGGACGTCGCGAAGTGGAGGTGGTGCTCGCGGGAGGGCGTGTAGGCGGCTTGCTCAATCCGCCCGTGGCGCGAGCTGCAGCAGTCGAGCCGGTAGCAGTTCGAGATGAAGAAGTGGTTCCGGTCGCAGCAGTTCGTCGAGCCGTGGCCGTAGCTGTAGCTGTGGCTGCACCGGCGCGCTTCGCCGCGGGCGAGGTGGACGCCGTGCTGGCCTTGGATGAGCTCTCGGGCGAGATAGGGGTTGACTCCTTGGCGGGCGCCACGTCGGAGCTCTGGGCAACGTCGAGATTTTCCTTGTCGGCCATTGTCGATACTCAATTAGAGCGAGTTTGATGTGCGGAGATGGAAGGACTGTAGAGAAGACAATGGCTACGTCAGCATCATACCTCATCAATGTGCTCAGCTGCACGATTGCTACACAAAAAAATAGGTTGAAGGCAGACAGAAATCATCGAGTGGGCATATTGTGGTCATGGTCAGCGGGGGGGCTGGCTGCCACGCGTGTGGAAACGCGTGGTTTTTGGCTCCGGTTTGCTCTCCAATACAAGTTCCAAGTGTTGATAAGGCTCACCTCGTTGGTCGTCAAGATGGATGCCACACGACGCAACACTGGGCAACGGCTCAGCTCAATGTCTCACAAACGGCTGCCCACGTCGTGGGAGCTGCTCTCCTGAGGGCGAAGATGCAGAACGGGGCCGCTCGACTGGGTAGTTACACGACACGGCAAAAGATGAATAACAAGGCAAGACTACTCCGTAGCAAGCAAGGGTCTCTGCGATTGCAAATGCAACAAAAACAAAAAGGAAATAGATAAAACAAGCACCCAAGCTGATGACGACAGGGCAGTGCAGGTAGGAATAGGTGAGGAAGAAGGCGGTGGTGCAAAGGGGGAAGAAGATAGCAGAGGAAATTGCATGTGGTCCAGGGGGGTGGACTGGTCCGCAGTGGAGTCTGGATAGCGATGGATGGCCCTGCACCAGACAGCAATCGGCCGTCACCGCCTTCCCCGCCTTCCCCGGGGTTTCGCGCCCAAGCAGACAGCAAATTGGACCAAACCCGCGTGCCCGTGCCACAGCTACTGCCAAGTACCTTAAGTACCTAGGTAGGTACTTACTGTACGTAGGTACTGAAGTGGGGAGGGACAGTACCTCGGTACTTAGGGCACGGAGTGATTTCAACTCTCCAAGGTATCGTGTCCACGACTCAACCCACTTCACCCATCTGCATCGAGTCGTCCATCACCACCTGCACCTGTGCCAACCTGCATGCAGACGCCGCCGCCGGCAGCACGCCATGATGAATCCCGCAGCAAAGAATCGCCGCCACGACGCAGGCACTCCCCATTGATGTCAACTTCAACGCTCGTGCTCCCCGCCCGTCTCCTCGCGCTTGTCGCCCCCAGTCATTCTGCAGCGGGGACTTGGAAATCCGTCCTCCGTCCGTCCCTGGGCAAAACGACGCGCCCGCAACGTGGTAATTTCCCACGGTCGTGTCGTCGCCCGCTTTGAACTTGGTCTCCTGATCCCCAACTCTTCTGTTCTACTGCCGCTGACTTGACTACTCCCGACTGCCGCCGAAGTGGAGAGGCCAGTCCGCAGGGGCATCACGGCAGGAACATCAAATGAGGCGCTGGTCCCTCCATCCGTCATTGTTCAAGGCTACCGAGTACTTCGTACGCAGAAGCTAGTGCTCCGTTCTAATTGACTTGTCAAGTAGGTAAACCAGGTAGCTACTCCATCTACCGAGGACCAGTCTCCGTCTGTTGTGCCCGCCGTGGGCTGCCGCATCATCCGGTTTCACAAAGCACAGCAACACATTTCCAGCATCTGGCCCGCAATCCGCAAGCCTCGAATCTGATTGCTGCCGCTCCAATTCATAACTCGTGTGACAAACGCCAACCCGGGCTGTCCTCGAAAACGGACAAAAACCCCAACCAACTTGTGCACAGTCCCGTGTTATGAATGATAACACCATTTTGGCGGCAAGACACCCGCCGCCTCATACTTCGCCTTGATCCATTCCCTCAACTCGATGACTCTGTTCGTGACCTCTCCTAGTGATCTGCCTGGTACCTGCCTGGTCAGCAACACCAGGTTCGGAGACCTCGTCTTGCGAATCACCCCGAGCAGCACCTCATCTTCCCACAGTCGCCAACCGTGCCTGTCGTAGTATTCGTCCCGTGGCTTGGGCGTGTCCTCTGGCATGCGCTTGGTGGAGGCCACAAACAGCATCATTTGCTCGTCCTTCTTCTGCCTGATTATCCGGTCCCTTTCTTCCTGCGCCTCCCGCAAGCTTCTTGACCGCTCTGCCAACTGGACTTGCAGTGGTGGACTTTCCGCAAGACGCTTCAGCTCATTCATGCCTGCTAGTATGCGAGGTTTCAACACCTGCATACAATTCGCGAATTCCATCCGCGTCCGCCGTCGCGCCGTTGCAGCCGCACTCTCCTTCTCCTTTTCTGGAGGCAAATGTGCCATTGCCACGCCGTACAGCTGATCGATGAACCCGACGACCCGAAGCGCGAATTGCAAAGTGCATGCCATGAAGAGTCCACCTTTGCAGCCGATGACCTCTGGTTTCGTCCTCAGCCTTGAGTATCCTCCTAGCAATAGCGCCTCCTTGAGTGCCAGCACGAGCGCTGGTATTAACATGCCGTGTATACGCTTCAATAGGTCTCTTTGTTGGCCTTGTGCATGCACATTTCGTTTCGATTTCGAATTGCCTCGTCGGAGGTTACTTTTCGAGGCGTCGCTCTTGACTTGCCCCGTCAAAGTCCGTACCAATTTGAGGTGCTTCTGTATTTTTCGGGAGTGCTCTCGTAGATATCGTGCCTGCAAGTTGAGTGATGGTGCTTTGGGAATGTCCTTGAGACTCCGCCACAGGGCAATAATCTCGTGAAATAGCTTTTTGCAGTCGTTGGCTCCAATGACCTCGGATGCGGCCCTGGACTCTTCCTCAATGCGAAGCAGTCCATCTGCCCACTCGCCTCGTTGGTCCATCCAGCCTCGTCCGCCCATTGCAGTTATCATTGTAGTCAATCCATCACAATCGAGGTTAAAGGTCGACACGCTCGTGTCTGGTGGTTCCGGCTCGATGTACGCCATGTCGGTGGAAATGGCGTCCATGTGGGCAACGTGTTCCAGTTTCTCCATGCGTGAAGCGTTGCCAGAAGCCACGGCAGAACTTGTTGCTTCCGGAGCACCATGGTCACTGTTGTCATCCTCCTCTTCACTCTCTTCTGCTTCGTCGCCATTGCCCCCCACACCGGCGTCTTCTTGCCTTCCCACTTGCTCGTGTGATTCGTGTGCCACGCCGCCATCATCAGATGGTTCTACGGGTCCATAACGAGACGAAGAATTACCCTGCTCGCTGGTCTCTGGCACGGCGTGCCTCTCGCTTTGCTGGCTTTCCTGGAGTAACTGCTCCTCGGCTGCAGCATAGTACTCTCGCCACGTGACGAATCGTCTCTTTGCCTTGGCCCTCAACGCTGCTTTTTCGTTGATTTCATCGTAAAAAGTTTGATCCCGCGGCACGTCGTCCTCGTTCTCGTCCTCCAAGGCCGTCCTAGAGCCCGTCCGCGTGCTCGGCCGCCCAAGCGCAGGTCTCTTGGCAACCGGCGCGTCCGGTTTTGCATCTCTCCTGTTTCTCTTTCCTGTGCCTCTTGTAGGCGTAGTAATTGAAGCGGCGTTCCCAGCTACGCGTGGGCTCGTTGTCTGCGACGCATTTGCCCGGCCGAGAGAGCGGGGGGGATGGTTTGAATCACGGCCAGCGAGGGCGGCTGCACCCCGTCTCGTGGTGGGCATCTTGACAGCGCGAGTCGCAGCCGTCTCAGTCTAAAGGTGACGAGTTCACGGTGCACCATCAGCGAAAACTTGGTCAACGGTCCATCGTACTCGGCATGTCCGAAAAATTCATCATGTTCCAGAAGGAAAGCCGACGGTCACTAACACAGGCCCAGGCGCTCGGTGGTTCTTGTGCGACGGCAAATGAAAATAGAAATGCGACAACCGCGTCCGACATCCCAACCTGGAGAGAGAGCTGCAGCTTCTGCCCCACATCATCGTGATTCGATTTACCCCACCAAGTGCCGAGTTCAAGCTGAAGCCATCAGCATGGAATGCGCAGGATGGACTCCGTACTCCGTACTGTATGGTTTCTTCTGAACTGCATCCGTGTAGCTATATCACGATAGTACACGTTGTCTTCCGCATTGCAATCCCGCTTCGCTACTGACCTGTGCGCTCCGTCACCCGACGGTCGAATGCTGACTAATTCGAACCAATTTGCAGCCCACTTCCCGCCAATGAGCCTCGACTTACATCAGGACAACATCTGCCGAGCCGCAACGCCATGGCACGGTCGTCTCAATATATCCATTGACCACACCAAGGTTCAACAACCGCAGATTCCCGTCCGCCGCACGAATATCGCCCGCGGCCGCAGACCTCGCGTCCATCATGGCCACACCTCCGCATCCCGCGCCGCCCCTCGCGCTACCCGTCATCCCAGCCGCGCAACTCGCCTCCCACAAGTTCATCAAGCCCAAGAAATGCATCAACGAAGGCCACCACGTCGCCCACTTTCTCACCTCCAAAGCCTACAGGGACATCGGCATCTTCATCCTCCAACTGAACCACTCCCTCTGCCCCCGAAATCAAGCCTCCTCGCCCACCCCCAAGACATTTCCCCTCACGCCAGGCTCTCCATCCTCCACGCCTTCTGTCCAGGCTCTTCAGCAGCTACTGTCCGATGTCGAGGCCCTCGTCGAGCAGGCGCCTCCCGACCCGGGACCACGGCGCTTCGGAAATGTCAGTTTCCGGAGATGGCACGAACTCGTCCAGGACCATCTCGACTCGTTCCTGGACAAGGGTATTCTCGGAGAAGCCCTAGCCACCAAGGGAGCCGACGGGTCCACGGCCAAGGATGAAGTGGCTGCCTACCTACTAGGCGCCTTTGGTAGCGCGCAGAGACTGGACTACGGGACCGGCCACGAACTGAGCTTCGTCGCATTCGTCGCATGTCTCTGGAAACTGGGATTTTTCAACGACCCAAAGGAGGGCGGTGAAATCGAGCGCGAGGTCGTCCTGAATGTCATTGAGCCGTAAGTACACCTCCATCACCATATGCACGGCGCAGGCCGCACCCCATTCTAGAGCCACGCCGAAGAGCTCCCTGTGGCATCTTGACACGAACACCTAGGTACGGTATTGCTACGAATCCAGCTGACGTCCCAGTTACCTTCGCGTCGTGCGCGCCCTCATCCGCAAATACACCCTCGAACCTGCGGGCTCCCATGGCGTATGGGGGCTTGACGATCACTCTTTCATCCCCTACATCTTCGGATCCGCCCAGTTCACACGCCCCATCACGCTCGCGACCGAGCCCATGCCCCTCGAGGGCTCCGTCAAGGGTGCCCCCAAGCCAGGAGACATCACCAAACCCGATGTCGTCAAGCATCTGCGCCAATCAAACATGTACTTTTCGGCAGTAGGCTTCATCAATGACGTGAAGAAGGGGCCGTTTTGGGAACACTCACCTATCTTGTTTGACATCTCGGGCATCAGGGATGGGTGGGGCAAGATTAACAAAGGCATGATTAAAATGTTCAACGCTGAAGTGCTGTCCAAGTTTCCCGTGGTGCAACATTTTCCATTTGGATCACTATTGTCATGGGACGCAGATCCTACTGCGCCTGCACCTTCTCAGAGCGTTCACATGATGAACCAGCCCGTGGCCGTCGCGCCGTCTACTGCCGCACATACACCTCTACCTCCGTCTGCTATTGGAACGGCCGCGCCATGGGCACAGGCGACCAGGATGCCGCCGCCTCCCGGTCCAGGAATCCCTTATTCGAGGCTACCCCCAGGGCCAAGAACAGGCTCGTTAGCATCTAGACCATCTCGTGGCGAAGGATCTGGTTCAGGGTCTGCTGCAGCTCAAATCACCGTCACTGAGGCGCCATGGGCGCTGGAGTGACTTGTACTCGGCCATTGGAACATCAACATTATCCGAATCGAAATCAGAGCAGCACACCGCACGGTACAAGGCAATATGTTGATGAAATGTCATGAGCAATGCAGACACGGGCGATTGAATGACACGCATGGCATGAACCAAATCTGCCTTAGACCATTATAGCGATAGACCCAAACAGCGGAGGGAATAAACAACGCACGCACGTACGATAACCGTGATGGTGTGGGGTATAAGTTGCATGCACAAGGGTATATCGCAAGCCTCCCTCTCGTGGGTATCCAGCGCTTCAACGGAACAATGAACAAAACCAACGCGCAAGTTAATGCAGTATGATCAGGCCCCCAAATCGACATACAACCCTTCATAAAAGACACCAGCAATCAAATGACACCCGCAGCTGGGGGGAAAACTAGAGCGGAAAACAGCCTGCAGCATGGGTCATAGGTGACAGCCACAACATCATGTCCAGGCTGCGTGTTGGGATTTATGCCGGAGTGGTGGCAGGAGCAGCAGCTGGCTCATCCTTGACTGGTGCGGTAGCAGCCTCGGTAGCAGCCTCGGCAGTAGGCTCGGCAACAGGCGGTGCTTGAGACTCTGTTAACAGCCTGGCGTGAATGGGATGGGCGTAATCGCAAAGAAAACACTCACCTGGAGCAGCTTCTTCAGCCTTGGTAGCCTGGATCGAGGGAGCTGAAGCTTCAGTTTTGGGGGGGGCGGCCTCAGCCTGAGCCTCTTCTTTTGGAGCTTCAGTGGCTGGTGCAACTTGAGCTAATCAAAATGAGGCCAGTTAGAATAAACTTCATCAACATGGCAAACGATGAGAAAAATCGAGGCAATAATCTCAGGGCAAGCTTACTTGCTGGAGCTGGAGCCTCTGGCTTCGTTTCAGCTGCTCCAGCCGTGACGGTGGTGGTTGTAGCAGGAACAGCAGGCTCAGCAGGCTTTGCGGTGTCGGGCTTGTTGTCAGAGGTATCAGCAGGCTTTGCCGAGTCGGGTTTGGAACTGTTCTTCTTCTTGAACAAAGTCTTCAAGCTAGCTTTGACTTTGTCAAGAGCACCAAACGCTGCCGCAAACCGTAGTGTTAGTCCCAACATGCGGCAGGAGGCATTACACTTGTTCAAAGGACCAACGACACGGCGGCGGAAAACGTACGGATGCCAGGCATGCTGAATGTCAGGAAGTGGCAATCAGATAGATATGAGTTGAAAGGCCTGCAATGTCGGTTTTGTCGTTCTGCTAGTACAACACGTTAACAATTCCTGGAGATGCATCTTGGAGATGTGCAGCGCCGGGTCTTGCCCAGGATGCGGATGAGAAGGATGCATGGCCATGCTCGCGAACCCTGGGGGGCCATGTGGGATGAGGGGAGCACAAGAAACATACCTAGCTACCTTGCAACGGATGAAGCGAGATGATAACCTTGTACGAAACGATGCTGGGGGATTGATGAGAAACCGATGGACTGGTTGGAAAAGTCGGAAAAGCACGGTGGAAGAGACAGAAGGCAGAAGAGAGAAAAGAACAGCAACGCAGCAAACAAGAAGACAGGCCAGGCCAGGAGGAGGAGACGCGAGAGGGAGCAGGAGGGAAACAAATCAATCAAGAAGGAGGGGACCGACCTGGTCTGTCGCGAATGGAAACGATAATCGGGCCTGAGGGCTAAATTTGCCGGGGGGTTGCACAGGCAGTAGGCACCTGCACCGTGACCTGAGCACCTAGGACCTAGGACTCAGGAGGCACTTGGCCAGGCGGGTGTGCCGAAGTAGCGTCGAACTCAACTCGACGTCAAAACTTGGTGGTGTGAGCTACGAGCTACAAGCTACAAGCCACGATGACATGGGCGGCAAGCCACCAATATCATTAGCTTCTGGTTGGTACTTGGTAGGCACTTGAGCACTCTACAAGCCGCCAGCCCTAGTCCCGAGACGGAGACAGTTGCTCGCATGCAGACGCCAGATGCAAGTGTCCGTTTATCATTTTATCCTGTTTATGAGATGCCAGACCAGGCGCCAACGTGGACCGGCCCAGATGCCACCATTTGAACTGGGCGAGCATCGGCACGGCGGGGCAACAATGGATGAGGCTGATTAGCACTTTAGGAGCACTCCGTAGGTCCCCAGATAAAGTATTCACAATGAAAGGTACTTGCCCAGCTACGACGTCGCACTCAAGTTCCGAGTACTTGGGCCCCCTGGGTACTCGGGTACTTGGATTCAATGCGCCGCGACATCTCAAAGTCGCTGCCGCCAACACCCAACATCCAACATCCAACGTACTCAAGTACTGTAACCTTGGCATCGTGGAATCAGTTGCATGCAAAACCCCCTGCTGCGTCTCTCGACGTCCGTGTCGGTGCAAGGTACGCAGTTCTCCTACAAAACTTGCAGATCCTTGAGCGCGAAACTCACTGCGCATGCACGCACGCCATGCTTGAGACAGTGGCCAACGGCCAGTTCGTGTCATGTCATGTCTTCATTTCCTCTGGCCTGCAGTATTTGCCTAATAAGTGGACATGCAGACCACGTTGACTTGCCCCTCGCCTCATGGACTCGGACTGGCCGCATCTCGAGGCTTGCTTGACCAGGGCTGCCTCACTCGCCCTTTGTCTCTACCACGACTGCTCCGTACGCACGAATTTGATGTCCGAGACTTGAGGTCCAAGCAGACCGTGAGGCGGACCCAGCGGTGGCTCGTTCTCCTGGGCTTCCAAGGGTTGGTTGACCATGGCCACGCCTACGACAACAATTTTTTATATTTCAAGAACGGCGCTCCACCGCCACTAATAAAACGCAGCCGTTTCAACATTGAATGCACTGGTGGTAACTATAAAAAATGAGCCTGGGGGACCTGCGCCTTGTGCCTTTGCTACCGCTGCAGGGCTGGTGCTTGGCGGGCCTCCAAGGAGTACACACGTACTCCGTACGCCGGGAACAAAAGAAGCCGCCATCATCCTTCCACGTTCCAACAGTGTAGCCTGGTAGGTTCCAGCTCTGATTCATGGCACGAGCGACGGAGATGGTCATGTACTGATACTGATACGCAGGATGTAGGATGCTGGTATGCTCGGATAAATTAAACATGCAAATCAGCGAGCAGTCGCTTTGGTGCTCGATGTGATGGGTCGATCCGCTGTGAAAAAGGACTTGATTCAGCGTATACCGACAGCAGCTTGCAGGCCAAGTAGACCACTCGAAAGGGGCTCGCTGCTTCTGCACTTCACGGCTTCCAACGACTGCAATACAGTCGGTAGTCTTGAATCAATGGTAGCAGCCCGTGGAGTCCCGACGTGTGCGAGTGAAACTTGCTCCTGCCCAAGGCAAATAGTGGGCAAACAATGCGACACTGCCACGGCGTAACGTCGAGCGCCATACGGAGTACCATGGAAGCCATCATTTCTACCGAGATGGGGACGAATTCGGGTGTACGACTGCTGAATAGCCCGCGGTGGAGAAGGAAACTCAATCATAATTTCATAATGGACCGCTTTTGTACGGAGTACTCGAAAGAGGATGGACAATGTCATGTTGCATCAACTGCGACATTCTTTGCGCTGCAACAGGACTTGAGCATGAACAGCAAGCGGGCCAGCGCCAGCTAAAAGGGTTTTATTTTATTGCCTTGATGTGACCTGACCTGGCCCCAGCTCATTCACGAAAAGCGACGCTGCGGTCGCCAATCACCGTCATCCGCCGTTCGGTGGACTCAAGACAGTCAAAATGATCTGTCAAGAGTCTTGTTGCTTGAGACGGACACCGAATTTTTCCGCAAGAAGTCGAGACCTGGCTGTCGACGGAAAATATAATGAGCCCCAACCCTCGATGACGAGCCAGCTAGTTGATGATCGTGGGAGAAAAAGAGAGCTGGCGGCGCCAGCGTCCCCGGAAATGCAAAGCCTTGATAAAGTGGATTTTTGGCTAGTTATGACATCAGGTGGCCTGGTGGTCTAGTGGTATGATTCTTGCTTTGGGATCTTCATCTCGTTAATCTGTTATGTTGCAAGAGGTCCCGGGTTCGATCCCCGGCCAGGCCCTCTTTTTGCCCAGTTTCGGAATTCCATTTTGCTTTTTCGAAAAATAAAATAAAATAAAAGAGGAATTCCTTTGCTACCTGCTACGTACGAGTCCTCGTGGCTTAAAAGGGCTTTTATGATTTGTGCGGCCACTTTTGCGGGGCCGACGCGTGCGGGTCCTTTTCCATCCCTTGTTGTCTGTCCCTTGTGGGTTCGGTAGATAACGTTACTACGCGCGCGGCTGAGCTGGTCAAAAGCGAGGTTAGCGCGTGGGAGGATTACGGTTTGGCTCCGTATCGTACGGTGATCAGCCGTAACGAAGGTACAGCACCAGCTATGCACTGGAAACTGGTTTCTTGGTAGGATACACACCACCATTTGACCTCGTGATTATTCGCACGTCGGCGCTGAAATCTAGCGGGCCGCGAAATATGCAACCACTGAGACCATTGGCGACATATCCCTTGTTAAGGGCGCCACAGCGCCTGAGTGCGTGCAAGTTCATGGTTTGCTGCCTCGTCCAGCTTTGCTGGATCCTGAGCTTTCTAGCGGCTGTGGTCGTATGTAGCAGCTTGTCAAGCAAATCTGTATATAACCTTAGAATAGTATACCCAACGATTCAATGTACGACGGGGGTATGTATTCCTTTTAGGCTCGCTGTCTACCCATGCTCTGCACATGTAGTCAGCGAGATTAGCTGCGTTGAGCTCAGGAGCTTAAGAGCTCCCCAAGCTTTGCTTTTCTTTCCTTCCCTTCTTACCTTAAGATACTTGTTATAGTCTTCTAGCTAGTTATTAATGTACTTAGCTATTAGTTAGTAAGAGTAACTAAAGTAGCCTAAAGAGAAGAAAGAAAGACTACAAGTATAATGCTTAGAAAAGAAGGTATTATTATAAATAATTGCTTGTATAGGTTATAGTATAGCTTTTAATATTTAATATTGGCTACTCAAGCGGCACCCTCAAGGCGGCAAAGCTGCTTTGCCCTTTAAAAATAGAAAGGAATAAACTATAAGGGCAAGCAAACTTGAAAACATTGCGTAGTGCTGTGCATTTTGGTGCATAGTCTTTTGAAATACCGAGGGCGGATTAAACCGCAACTACTAGACGGATTTGGGTCTGGCCTGGATTGAGACTTCTTTTGACACCCGACAGTTAGTTTGCAACCAAAAGACGCCAACTGGTAGAAGAGTCTGGTCCAGCTACGCAGAATTTAGCAAAACATTTGACATTTGCCAATGATTTTGACCGAAACAGGACAGCAGACCAGTGACTCAGGTAATCCTAGTTAGAGGGAATCGTGGCAGTCTCGAGAGCAGCAATTGAATGGTGTCATCTAAGTTAAATGTCTGCCTTGAAGCCTTGAAGTGCTTTACCAAGTTTTACCGTTTAATATTGTACCACTCCCTTGGTCTGATTCTTGTCTATATTGGACAAATGGAACAAAATAAACCAACGATATTGCTCCGGGCAATCATGGCCGAGCCCAAGGGCAAAACGGCCGATCGGCATAATCAATCTGCTTGATGTCTTCTAGGAAAAGCCAGGTATCACGGCCGCTTAAGTTGTCCTCCAGGCTGACGAGGCGATGCAGAAGCGACCCTATCGTTACACACCATGCGTGACAACGTACCACTTCGGAATCTCAGCGCTTGACAGAGCAATTGCAGACCGGAAACCGAGGACCGGAAACTGTTGGCCAGCATGCGCATCTGCGAGCTGTGACGAAAATAGCACCGCCCTTGATGCTTTTCTGCATCCTTGGCAAGGCGGTGCATTTTAAGACTTACACAGTCGGGTTATGCCATTCACAACAATGCCAACTTCGTGACGTAAGAATAGACAAGGTAGACGTGGGAGGCTAAATTGGGTTGCAATTCGCGGCATCTAATTTGGCCGCACAACAAATTGTACGTCTAATCCTGTGTTATATAATTATGTATAGTACACCGCAGGTCATGACGGTAGCGCGACCGTTGGTGTGTAAAGTTGGAGTATTATTCCGGATCATATGTCCTAATTCCCCTTTGGTGTGTTGCGTGTTTCTAGTGCGTGGCATTGAGAGTTGAATTATCGTATATATTTGCCAGTGAGCTGTCTGCCCGTATCTAAGTGGTGTTAGGCCAAGAGAGAATAAGGTCGGCCTGGAGTACTCGATGTATAGGGATGAAACGCATAATGCAGGCCGTCGGTCTGGTAAAATTGCTGCCCAAGGGCACCGAGGTACGTAGGCAATGGCATCGAGTCCTTAGCTCGCCGTGGAGTAATGGGATGTGAAAGAGCTTTCGGGAGCACCAATACTGCGGTTTAGTTGGATCAGCTCTTCCCCAGTGGTATCGAGGAAGAACAGGGTATGTACCTAAGTAGTCTGACACCATGGTATACTAGATGCAACCATGAGATATATAGTCGAATGGTCGATTAGCACTGGGGGCACATTTCAATGGCGGCTGCAAACTGTGAATGTTGGAGTTTTGCAGGAATGAAGCCTTGCCCGCCCACACGTTTGCTTCTCATTCAGGGAGAATAGCACTTGCCATCTGCTGCCTCACTTTCGTTGGTCCTTCCCAGGCACTGGTGGAAGGGATTTGACAGACAGGGAAGGGACTACCTTCCTCTGTCCCAAGCATAAAAAGTCATCCTCCCCTAATAATCAATCCTGCTCTCCTTTCTTCCCTTCACATTGCAATTCACAAGAAATGGCAGTCAACTTATTCATCTTTGGTTACCGCCCATTTATGCCTTTATTTCGCTTCCTGGTTCGTTCTGGGGAATGCCATTACCAGGGACTCAGCAGTCATTGAGGTTCTTTTCTTAGCCCTCCGAGAGGAAAACCTCCCGATAAATGATGGTCATCATAGTCCCGGGGCTGGCCCTTGGTCTGCACGCAAGCTGGTCAGTGCTTGTGTTGCTCCTTGCAAGGGCCTACATAGATTCAAGTCCCGAAGCTGGTATTGACAATTAGGGAACATCGCCATATGTCCCCATGACTTTTTTAACTAGAACAAGACTATGCAGGTAAAACCATAGTACTTCGCGATACATTTTTCTGCCCGAGCATGATTGTCGTGTATTTTCGCAAATTTTCCAGTGAGCTCAGGCGTAAACTCATCATTGCCCATTGTATGCACACAGTGAAATGCCACAAAAGGTGAAGTTGTTGATACTCACGTGTCGTAAGCCAAGCCAAACCATCCGCAACACTTGTTCCCTGTGTCTGTTTGTATTTGTGCATTGTGCTGGCCTTCGTGACGACATGTTTTCGTTGGAACCCTGGCCGGAGAGACTGTAATGTTGTGGCCATTTCAGGTATGCTTCATAACGAAGAATCATCATGATCTCTGACTCTCTGGCACAGAGGGAACATGGTGACCACGACTTTGTCAACCAGACCACGAGTACGTCAGTAAAGCAAAATGCTTGTCTTGCCTGGTTGCAGAGTTCTTGTGCTGTGCAATATATATGTATATATTGGTAAAAAGTGCCAAGCGAGGTGTTGGCCTGGTTTTCGCGGGAAGATGGAGGGAAAGGCAAAAGTGGCGCCGTGCGAAGTTTCGCGTACGCCAACAGGTATCTGCCACCTGTCAACTGTCACCTGCCATCTACAACTGCAGCTGCACATTTGATGTTCATGTTGCGAAACGTTTCAGTCCACGCAGTGTCCCGTCAACTAATGCCTGGTATCAATAAATCCCATTCCCCTCCTAAACACAGCCAGACGGCTCATGTTGACGCCCCTCAGAAAATTTACAACATTCCCAGCGCCAACGCCAGCTTGTATCAACGGTCTCAAGTTGCAGTGCAATCATTAGGCAAGTACCTTGGCTAAAAAAAAAAGGCAAAGATTCACTGCTCACAATAAAATTGCGCCACCAGCTTGTGTATATAGCGTATATGGCGGTCATACTCGCTCCTGATTCTACGAGACTCCCGAAAATAAAAGTCTATCAAGCGCCACCCAGCCGCTAGACAAAAGGATATGATGACAAGGGTGCTTGTCCAAGAGTACGCTATCGTTACTAACCTAGCTACTAATCCAGGGCTCGCTAGGTTATCGTGGGAGATCGGACGGGAGGCCTTTGTCTGGAAGCGCCACGGTGTCACAACCCCTGTATCGTAGCATACTCAATACCAACTATAAGCTCTATACTTATAGAGACAATTAATGACACTGACAGACACATACGACCATAGCCGCTAGATCACTCACGATCCCGTCCGATCTCGTACGATAACCTAGCGAGCGCCGGATTAGTAGTTGGGTCGGTGACGACCAGCGAGTACCCGGTGTTGTATGTTTTTTTTATAAATTTTTCTTTTTTTGTAAATTTTTGAAATTGTGTAGCAAAATCTCTCCAAGACCCGCACATTCATCTACATCAACGGGTCGGTCCTGCGGGTGCCTGCGGGTGCCTGCGGGTGTTGATTGTTGTGTGCGAAATTGCGAGTGAACGACAGACAAGCCAGTTACGCATCGTACATGCATGATGCGGGTGCCTCCATGAGTCCATGGCAATGTGGACTGCGGAACGGTAGGAAAAGTTTGCAAGGAATGAGGTTCGGCTGACATCTCACAGCAATACTGGTGATTTCTTTCATCTGCGTTTCTGCCAACTCGTGACAAGGTCGTACGTAGGTGGTGCACCAGGCTTCTTGCCGGCCAGCTGAGGTGATTTTGAACCAAGAAAGCATCATACGAGGCCGTGTTTTGCATCCAGTCAGGCCATACCCAGCTTATATCAAAAATCTATGTACGTAGTTGGCAATGATCAAGTGGAATCATCGGCTTTCTAGCCATGTCGTTACGGCGTCGTGTCCTGCATCCCCGAGTTCTACACCGTCTCTTTCCAGCCCTACATCCATGACCTGCACCCGTCTGAGTGCTTCATCGACGCGGGTATGTACGTCTTCATCCCATTTGCTCCGCTCCTTCAATTCCACAACGTCGACGCTTCGCCTCATTAGTTCGGCCAGCTCTGCTGCCTGGGCCCCGAAACTATGGCCTTTTGGCTTTGCACGTTTCCTTGGTCGTGCGCTCTTTGGCTTGGTAGATGGCTTTGGGACAGGCAGTGGAGCAGAGTCAAATAGTAGAAGAGTGTCGGGGATTTTGAGCGTCGATTGTCTTGGCGGAAAGACTAGGTGGGATTTTCTTGGTGCTTTGATGGGCTTAAGCGGTGGGATTTCCTCGTCGTTCATCATGTTTTCAATGAGGGCCGAATGCTCCAATGTCATGAAGAATGATTGCGGCACAAGTAAGCCTGGACTGTGGAAGAACAGGCTTGGGCTCGCAAACGGATCAAACAGATTTGACGGCGCATCAAACATGGCCGGCATGCGCTCTTGCAGCCTATGTAACTGCGACCCCTCTGCAGGTCCTGGGGGAGCTGCTGCAACCTTGGTCCTTTTGGGTGGTTTGTTGATTCGGTGATCTGGGAGAAACATTGTCCAATTGTATACGCCATTGTAAGCGATGAGGCCTCTGACGCCGAACCTTGCGTGCGTATGAGCTTCCGTGAGAGCCAGAGACGCGGCTAAGCTGGCGCCAAGGTATGATCCGTAAATGTAAATGTCGCGCCTGTCGTGCTTGGGCGGCGCCAAGCTTTCGACTAGCCATGCAAAGGCGAACGCGGTGTCGTGGACCGGTGTCGGCCAATGCAACGGGCTGAAGACTTTGCTTTCCTTTGAGGGGGTCGAGAAGGGTCTCCATCGGTAATTTATGCTGGCGACTGGTCGGTTTTGGAGGAATATTGGCAGTTTGCATGCTGAGCCATCAGCTTGGGGGAAAGGAGGCAAGTGTATCAATAGGGGCTCAGATGTAGGACGTCCAGGGACGTTGAATAGGCTTGATGATTGTGAGCAACTGATTTCCTGGGGGGTTGGTGATGTCAAACATCAACACGACTACTGTAAGGTGACCTACTCGATGGTGACGTGGCCTGCAGAACCGCATCTTACCTCTACCCTCTCTGATGCCGCGCTGCTAAACGATCTTGGGGAGAAGCCGTGGACGTTGACTCGAAGTAGCCGACGCCATCGAGGCATCTTGATCCAGCAGGCCCGGGGCGAGCGCTCTGTCAATCTACGTTGAACGGTCCCTGCAATGACCCCCGCGCATGTTAGCCTTCATCTCTGACGTTGACCTTTGAGAATATCACCACCATGTCGCGCCGAAGTGCCCAAAGCGCTCTACGCTGTAAGTTTTGGGTGAGGGAATAGCTTGACGGCGTCGAACTCGTCGGGTGGACGCACATGAATGGTGCTTACCAGGAAGTCGACGTCCAACGCAAGTTCTAGACGGCTAGTGCTACGGCCAGCACGCTGGTCAGTGTTGATGCGATCATGGCCGACGTTCGGAACCAGACTGGTTTCCCTTGGCGGGCTTTGGCTGACGGATGAGGGCACTTGAGATTGTGCTGGTTAGACCGTTGACCGTTGACGATGTCAGTGTTCCAGCTGCAGGGTAACTAGTGTCGTCTTGGACCCACAGTGTATGTACCTTGCAAATACAGTACGTGCCGGCCAATCAAACCCTAACCCTGATCCATGCTCTGTAGTGGAGCTGTCCTCCGAGTTATCTACGGCCTCGTCGAAGTGTGAGGCTGGTGGAAGTTGAGTAAATCCTGTCGGGTGAGCCATGCATGCGAATCAGTAAAGCGGCCGCAAGACTTTGGCGACTTGCTCCCTGTGTGGCCTGACAGACAGGTGTTGGTGAAAGACTGCAGGAACGTTCGCGTCAATGGCGTCGATGGCGCCTGCCACTTCCACCTTGTCCAAGATTGAGAACACCAGTTAGCCGCCTCGTCAACCCGTTTTGCCCCGAGGCTTGCACCTCAGACCTCAGACACTTGACGTCTCCTTTTCGCCTCTCTCTCTGTTCCTTTGTGTCCTGCATCCTTGATCTATGCCCCAACGAGCCATTTCCTATCAGCCATATCCAGCTTGACTTGACAACAGATCTCTACGCCACCGTGGTCTGGACGCAACTGAGACCCCAAAACCTTGAACGTCGAGAACCCTCGTTCCTGACCGGACTTGACTTACTTAGCTCTCTCCTATCTTTTCCCTTCACTCTGCCATGCCTGCAGCATCACCTATGTACAGCTTCGTCTCTCCAAACTACCTGGACAGCCGCACCAGCCTACGATACTCGAGTCCGTTGAAACCGAGGGCCCCGAACAGTGTCTCGGCGCCCTTATTCTCATGCCATGGACAGCAGCCAGCATGTAAATGCAATCGAGAACCATGCCTCAGCCGTGGATAATGATCCCCCAAGGCACATGTCACTCCAATCCCAGCACCAACGCTCCCGCGAGATACGTTTTCAAAACGACTTGGCACATCTCATTCCTAGGTAAGCTCCTACCAATACCCGCTTTCATCGGATCATCCTCCGCACGCCCGCTCATATAGAATCTGTTCTAGCCGATGGTGGTTTGCCTCCTCCGCATTCCCCATGGTTGCAGCTACGCTTGGCCCTGTCGCCTCGGGTTTCAGTATCTGCGCCTTGGGATCTCAGTGGCGCCAAAAACTCGTCCCTGGCCAAAGTGTTGACGATGCTATATTCATTCAAGACCCTCCTTGGTACGTTGCAGACCGGCTTCCTAACCGAATTTGCCTCTATGTTGAAGACTAGTAAACAAATGTGACAGCCAGCTAATGTCGTCTCTATAGGCTCACCATTGTGAATGCCATCCAACTAGCCGTGGCCCTGGTCTCAAACGCTTTTCTTTTGCTGAATATGACTAAGAGAGTTCGCTTTAGTATTGCTCAACCTATCACAATCATTGGATGGTACGTTGCTACCTGCCTGCTTTGTCGCAAGTCTTCGATTCGATGCTGAGACTGTCCGTTATGTGAATAGGTACATCTCTGCCATATGTCTACTAGCCCTCAATGCCACCGCTGCCGGTCCTCTCGACGATGACCTCGATCTAACACAAGACTTCATCTGGTCACAGGCTTTCTATTACGGCATGTGGGCCGCCATTCTGTACTTTGTCGACGCCTCACTGATGGTCGTGACGTTTTGGGGAGCCTCCTCAGGCCATTACCCCAAGGACTTCAACCTCACTCGCAGCCAACGGACCCTCATGCTTCAAACTATCCTCTTTCTAATGTACCTCCTGCTTGGAGCGCTGGTCTTTTCGGAGCTGGAAAGCTGGAGATACCTAGACGCCGTTTACTGGGCCGACGTGACGCTTTTCACTGTTGGCTTTGGAGACCTTGCACCAAAGACAACACTGGGATGCGCGCTGCTTATCCCGTACGCTCTCATTGGGGTTATCAGCCTCGGTCTTGTGATTAGCTCCATTCGAAGCATGATACTCGAACGCGGAAGGCGTCGATTGGATGCTCGGATGGAAGAGAAGAATCGACGAAGATTCATTCGCACAATGACAAAGAGTGGCCGCGATGATATCCTGAACCCGATTGACGACGACACAATCTCAAACTGGGGCCCGGAAAATTCTGACTTGCCTCAAAATGAACTCGACCGCAGAAAAACTGAATTCTTGCTGATGCGAAAGATCCAGCAGCAGGCCTCAATCCGTAGAAAATGGATGGCAATGGCAGTATCTACCGGCGTGTGGATTTTACTATGGCTTGTGGGCGCAGTGATCTTTGTCAGAGCTGAAAAGTCATATCAGAGCTGGAACTATTTTGATGGCGTTTACTTCTGCTTCATCTCACTCATGACTATCGGTTATGGAGATCATACACCGACCTCGAATGCTGGCAAGTCATTCTTCGTTTTCTGGTCATTATTAGCGCTGCCCACCATGACGGTTCTTATTTCCAACGCGGGCGACACCGTGGTCAAGTTTGTCAAGGACGCAACAATTCGTATCGGCACGATTACAATTCTTCCCGGCGAAGAAGGTTTCACGGGAAATGCAAAGTACATTGTTAATCGCGTTTCGCTTGGCCGTCTCTTTCGCAGTGCAACCATTGCGATCCGGGAGCACGAAAGAGAAAGGCGAATGCATAAAAAGGCGGAAGACTGGACAGGTTTCGACCCCAAAGATGTTAAGGACACGGAAAAACAACAGAATGAATCTGGCCATAGCGGCGGCTCAGGTTCTCAGGAACATCAGGCGGATGATGAGGAACGTCAAGGAAAGCACAAACTTTGCAAAAAAACCGAAAGTCCGCCGGGCCGTCCTTCTTTGGCCGAAGTACAGTCTCGGCTCGACACCCTCCCTACTGGCGCAGAACTACATCTACTGCTCGTCAAGGAAATTCAGACCGTGTCCCAACACCTTAGAGAGCCTGAGCCGCGTCGATATACATTTGAAGAGTGGGCATGGTTCTTGGCTCTAATAGGAGAGGACGAACGGGACCCCCTAAATCACCGAAGAGTGGTTCCTAAGACGAAACACAAACGGACACGCAGACACAGACACAAACACCACAACCGCCATCGTGGCAAGGGCGTTGAAGCCCACGATGTGCCTCGAGATGCAGACGCTGAGACAATTGGAGCCCCGCGACCATCCCTGCAACCAGTAGCACCACTTCAACTCCCCGATGCTGACGCCCGCGTCAAATGGTCTTGGGTTGGTAATCGTAGTCCTCTCATGGGTGGACAGGAAGAAAGCGAATGGATTCTAGATAAATTGATGGAACGACTGGAAGAATGCCTTTGGGAAACGAAAATGGACGAAGACAATGCGAATACGCCCTGAGTGTATTTGACTTGGGGGAAAGGGGCGGCGGCGTTGGAGAAATTGCATTAGATACCCAGCATACGATGTACGGCCGCATTGCTTGAAAGCATGTATTAAGGATCATGTCCACACAGCATGACTATCTTTGTATACTACATACTCTTATCGTTACATGGCTGCCTTTGATACTGTTACATAAAATACGCAAGGCAAAGTCTCTTTGCACCAAAACGCCCCCTGATGTCTGAGAATGTGATATTGTCTATCTCGCTGTTGAAAATCTAAAACAAGACAAACCGCTACTTCTTGTTCGTACAATGTTCTCTAAACAGACAAATGTAGAAACTCGCTGATGCGCATGATAAGTGTTGCTGTCTGATTGTCATGAGATCAAATACCACCGCCCAGGAGAAGTCTTCTATTCCGCTTAATCACAGCATTGAGGCCCCTCTCCAGCTTCTCCGTCTCCTTCCGCGAAGCTGCCAAGCGGACCTCTGCATCGTCAACACTCATCAGGGAAATGCCACCGAGGCCATTGGAAGGACCGATTTTGCTGGCGTCGGCAGCCGGGCCGCCGCCGGACGAGGAAAAGTCTTGCATAGCGCGAGCGCCGTCAGGGGCACTGTAGATGCCCACGCCAGCAGCCGCATCAGGGCCATAGAAGTAGGGAGCAAGAGCGTTGAGACTAGCCGCTGCGGCATCACGAAGCGGAGAAGCTCCCTTGGGGAAGCCCATGTTTGCGACGTCCAAGTTTAGGCGTGGCAGGACATATTGGTTGATGTAGCTGAGGGCGTCTTCTCGCTGTAGTTTGCCAATGGGATCCTGGGTCTGGGGCTGCGCCGCGGCCGGGAAGATGTTGGGGCGGCCGTTGGGAACTGCGCGCCCCTTGATGAGAGAGAAGGCTCCGCTGCCCGGTTGGTGTCTCGGGGCCACAAATGCACCTGGGTTATCAGCCGTGTTGGCAATGGCGGCTTGCAGGTTGAGGAAGACGTCTTCTTGCTCAGGAGTCAAGCCGCGGATGCAATCCCCATTAGGCGTGATGAGCATTCTGCTGCCGTCAACATGGAATTGTTTACGGACCGGCTTGCCCGCTCGAAGGGCCGTGAGATCATCGTCTTGGATCTCGCCGCACTTGCAGGCGTAGTCCTTGCAATACACGGACTGGCCTGCGCCACTTGCAGTTTGGCCATGATCGGAACGTGACGAGCTGCTGCTTACTGGCTTGAGGAGTAGCAGCTTGTCCGGAGCTGATGTCCATAGCGAGCTTTTGATCTCTTGAAACACAGAGGCTGGCCCAAACTGCTGTGTGTCAGCCGGGTCTGATGACTCGATAGGTTCGGCGGGCACTGAATTGACAGCCTCCGCCAGCTGTGACGGTGGTGTTGGTGGTGATGCTGGCGAAAGAGCTGACTTTGCTCGGCTCTTTCCCATGTTCACGTCCTTTGCCTTGTCTTTGTCTTTGTCCTTGGCTGCTTCTTTCTGAATCATCCTTCTTTTAGAATCTGTCTCTTCAACAACCTTAACACTCGTAGAGTCGGGCTGCACAGACCCGTCTGGCCCAGTCTTGGAAGGCTCAGGAGCTGAAGCGGTTGAAGCGACAGGCTCTTCCTGAGCAACTGTCGCCTTCGCCGTCCTCTCCTTCTTTTGTTTCTTCTTGCGGCCGATGACTGGAGCATGCTCCTCCGGGTCTGGCTTTGAGGCCTCGGCTATGGATTTCGTCTCCTGCTTGAGAGCCTCCTTGCGCTGCTTGCGCTGCTGGCTCTTTGTGGTAGTTCGCACGGCGGCGGAACCAACTTTGCTTGGCGGAGGCGATCCTGCACGGGATGCCGATATTGAGGCAGACACTATGGAGGCCGTGTCACTAACCATCTCGCTGCTCGGGGTGCCTGGCCTGTGTGACATAGAGACTGCCTTGGAAGCCACCGACTGTATGGGAGAGGGCAGCGCGGGAGACTCTAAAGCCCTTGGAATCGACATGAGTCGCAGTGTTCGAGGCCCGCCGCGATGGACTGGTGAAGGAGAGCTAGCTGTGGCCGTTGGCAAAGGAGGGAAGGTTGGTGAATCTTCAGCCGGCTTATCCGTGCCTTGAAACCCTTGACTTGCAACAGAGTTATCCGACGGCAGCTGGAGCTTGATAGCAGAGGGTCTGTTTTTGTTCGACTTGATCACAGCGGAGACAGAGTCATCGTGGGTGCCCACCGCCGATTCAGCAGTCTTATCGGTGCTCTTCTTTGGCGCTGGAGTCGGTTTGGGCGTTGGAAAGACCGGAATAGCTGGGGCCTGGGTTGGAGCCTTGATGGATCGCGACGACCCAAGTGCCGGGAAGTCTTCATCTCCTAGGGGAGACGATACTGACTGCTGTTCAAATTGAGGCTGCGATGACGCACGCTTTGATGGCCCAACTTCAGACGCGGATGGGTTGCTGGTCCTTGTTGCATCCACAACGGGAACAGCCATCTTTCTCGGGGTCTGCACTGGTGTCACGGTACCATGCTCCAAACCAGGCGGAAGGGGTGCCCTGGGCAATGCAGGTGCGACGACACGAGGCTGGTGATGTTGACTAAGCACTGGAGATGCCATCGCTGGCGTAGCCAAGTTTGCTATTCCTGGAGGGATGGCAAATCCAGGAGGTACAGACCGTGTCATTCCCATGTCAAGGCCGAATCCTGATCCTGCGTAGGCTCCCTGGGCTTCATCGGAAACCAGGGCATCGACCGAACCTGTTGCTTCGTCCAACGAAAGTAGCTCGCCTTCTAAAAAGATTCGTTAGCGTGATGCCAAAATAAAACTTTTTCTTGTGCAACACAATCAACACCGGCTGGGTCTACAGCACGAGGCCAAAGTTAAGTACATGAAAGACAAGCAGACAGTGGCGGATCGTCCTACGGCTTCCATCATCGTCTTCCACAGGGAGGGACAATGAGGGGCAAGGCGAAGTTGGAGAGAATAGACAATATTGCTAATTTCTGACCAAGGATGCTACCCTCTCTGGAGGTGCGCACCATAGTGTGAGCTGTTAACGTACATAGAAGGGGCGTATGTGTGTGCGTTGTGGAAGACGATGATGGCTTGCCTGACTTGACCCTCCTATTTCATCCCTAATGCAACGAGTCTGTAACCGACGCCAGGCAGACCTAGAGCAACCAAAAAAACATGGAATAATTATCGAGGTCGATGTGGCATCGCCTTCCTGTGCATAATTCTGGTTCCCCAATAAACCAAGAAAGAGAACTGACGCCCTGTGCAAAGACCTGCTGCTCACCCCACGTAGGGGATTTTTGCGGCAACCACACAAATGCCTGCTTGATCAAAACAAAAAGATAGGGATATCTCTGTGCTCCCAGAAGATGCAGCCCAAAGCTCCCAGTGATTGTGCTGAAAGCATGCTGATGAAACGCCAAAACCAGCCGAGGAAGTACATAAAGAGCGAAAACAAGAGAATTGTTCGTGACAAACATGAAAGTAAAGGCAGTAAAGGGCGAGGGAGGGGGGGAGGGGGGGGAGGGACAAAACATGGCTCCATACTCTGTAGTCCTATTTTCCTAATTTTTCTTCTTCGACTACCAACGCCCATAGCCGGTGTTATACATCATGTTAGGATTGTACCCACCTTGGCTCTGGCCACCACCGAACAGTCCTTGTTGCCCGGCGACTCCGGCATTGCTCTGTGACTGATGCTGCATCCTTGCCTGCAGGATACTCGGGTCGGCAAGATCTACTAAGCCACTCCCCCCTGAGGAGGAAGTGTTAGCATGTCTGTGCTTCTTGCCCTTCTTCTTCTGCTTCGAACCGAAGTCTTGGAAAGCTCCAGGATGGTTGCCGTAGAGCGATGCCAGGAGACCAGAAGCAGGAGCTGGGGTGGAGGTAGAGGGTGGTGGATACTGGTTTGAGAAAGAAGAAATCATGTACTCACGCTTTCCAACATCCTGAGGCTGGGTGCTGCCTCCTCGATTGCGGCCGATGAGCGTTTGCAGTAGATCGTTGGAGGAATCTTTGTGGGCTCCGCCAAATCCTGAGCCGCCGCCGAACCCTTGACCAAACATGCTAGGCGGGGTGCCCGTGGACTTGAGGCCAGGCGGCGGGCCAGGCATAGATGTGGAATAGAACAGATTATTGTTCGATTGCGACTGGAAAGGACTGGGCATCATTGACGACTGCTGAGCCATAATCCGGGGGTTTGTGGCCAGTTTGATATTGGTAGTAGAGTTACCGCTGTCGTTGGCAAAGCTAAATCGGGAGGATTGGCGATTATGACCCTGGTTTTGAAACGGATTCTGAGTTGAAATACTAGGCGGCATTTGATCCGCGTAGCCAGCTTGCAACCGAAGGGACGCCAGCTGTTGCGGCGTCATGGCTCTACCGATGTTGCTAGAGCCCTGGGGAAAGCCGGAACCGCTCGATGGTGCGCCGTACAACCCGTCCGTGCTCCCCCGCTGAATCGGAGGTTGCGTACTGGGCTGTCGTTGATCAAACCCGTGGACATCTCTGCCGAGCTCCCGATGCTCAGGCTCGCCACCAAGGGCAAGACTGCCCCCAGTTTCGGGTTCGCCTTCGGATGGTGCTTGTGCTTCGGTCCGGTCTTCCTGGTCGATTCGAGACTCATCGTCCTCTCGCATGGCCCTTCGCTTCTCGCCGCCTCGGATATCAAACAAGGGTGGGTGAGCATCATCGTTGTAGCCATCAGTAGTAAAGGCCGGCAGCGTGTAGGTTTCTAGAGTCTTCAGCAGAGCAACGAGGGAGCTGTCCCTTGATTTATGCGGGTGTTGCTCCGTCTTCTCCAGTGAAGGAGCAGAAATTTGAGCTTGTGTCGCATGCTGCGGTCGCTTGCCTTTATCTATCACGGGCTGCGTAGATGGGACATCAGTGTCTTCTACAGCCTCCTGGGAAGCCTCCGTTCTAACGGTTTGCAACGCGGAGATGGCAGGACTAGACGCGGCGCCGCTAGTCGCGTAACTACCTCTCCGGCTGCGTTGAGGATTTCTGGCCCAGTTTGCAGATGACGGCAGTGCGGATGAATCAGCTCCATTTTCAGAGTCCTCTTTACTAGTAGTGCGCACCATCGGTTGTGCAGAAGCAGGGAGGGGGACCGTTGGGTGCGGAACTTGTTGCCGGGAAACCGAGCGAGATGAGCTTCCGCCCCCGCCTGGCAATGGTCTCTGTGTGTGAATACTATTCATAGATGAGAGATCTTGTCGAGTATAGCTATCCTCCTCATCTCCTTGCTCGTGAAGGAACATGCAGCCAGGGTTATTGCACTTTTCGTTCTTCAGCCAGGCTGAACAGTACTTGGTTGTGCCATGCTGAGCTTTCAATATCCGGTCGCCGTTCGGAGACCCGTGTACCGATATGATGCATTTTGTCGCTTCCTCGGGCTTTTCGAACGTGACGTAGATGCCAAGGGAATGATGTTGCCCATCAGGACTTTTGCGGTTGCTTATGGATATTTTTTGAATATTGCCATATTGACCGAAAAATTCAGGCTTTCTCAGAGTCTTGAGCAACTCATCTTCACGAACAGTGGGTGCCAGTCCAGTGATGTAGACCAGGTTCTTCTGAACTACTCGAACGCCGACTAGGTTTTTCCGGTTTTCCTTTTCGGCTTCGCGTTTTTGCACTTCCTTTTGTCGTTGCTCCTGTGCTCGCTTCTTCTGGTTTTTCTGAATGTTGGCGCGGAACTCCGCAACTCTTAGAGAACATGTATTAGTAATGACTTTGTGTCCGTGTATATGCTAAGAAGGAACGGCATCGGTAGAGCGGGATATGGAAGGGGCACTCACTCTTCCTGAGTAACGACTTTCCATTCTATCGTCTTCTCATCGTAGGGCCGTCTGCAAGCGGGACACAGGCCGTTCATGTTGTTCTTTATGTTGTTGAAGCAAAACTGGCAGACCTGCAGGGCATCGTTAGTTTCAAGGCCAACCAAGGCATCGAGCCGCCCAGGCAAGGGTAAATAAACCGACCTGGTAGCCGCAAGGACACGGCCGGAAGTTCCGATCCGAAAGATCGAACTCCTCGATGCATAAAGGGCTGTTGTTGACAACTTTGTTAGCTTGTGTCGAGATTGATGGTGCCCGACACGCGAACCACTGAGGAGGGAGCGAAGTGCGGCTGGCGCGTCTGCCTCGGGAGGCTCCAAGACTGGATAAGACCTACCAAACATCGTCCTCTTCTTCTATGAAGGAATCCTGTGGTGCCATGATGTCTTTCTGAAATAGCGTGCTATGTAAATATCAAGGAAGAGGGGAGGAGGTTGAATATTAAGGTTGGTATGCAAAGGGCAAGCAGAGCAAGGAGGGCCTTTGGGCAGAATAATGATCCATTCGGAAAGCTTTGGAGGAGAAAGTTGACTTTGCATTAATCCCAATATGGTCTAGTGTCCACCTAGGCTTCACGTGATATTTATTCTTTGTCAGCGCAAATAGAGCTCATTCTTGCCTGGCCTGGCGCCTAGCAACGTCTAGCCAGGTACCCAATCACAGGGTTCAGATTTGCCATTTGTCTCTCTCTTTACGTCCGGCAGAGCCTCGGAGGGGTTTTGCTGTAGCGATCGATGGGTTCCCCAATCTCCAGTCCCGAACTTGAGCTCACCACCACCACCACCACCTCGGCCTCGGAATTGGCTTCGTCAATTGGCCGCTTGAAAGGCGTACGATTAGGCCATGGCGACAAAAATGCCTCGAAGCCGAGCACTCGTCTCAGCACTGCGGCCTTCAGCGGCTGTCAGTGGACAGGCCCTCCGCGCCTTTTCTGTGTCGGCCGCTCAGCTCGTCAACATGCCCAAGGAAGCAGAGAATATGCGAAAGGCTCCCCGGGATCATGTTGGAGTTCTCAAGGCTCCTCTGGTCAATCCAGCCGACAAATACCAGAGCAAGTCGGATAACATGCACCGATATGGATCGTGGCTCATGGGCTGCCTGCCAAGGTACATCCAGCAGTTTTCTGTCTGGAAGGACGAGCTCACCATTTACATCTCCCCGTCGGGTGTCATACCCGTCTTCACCTTCTTGAAGTGTACGTCTATCAACGCTATACCTCTACCGGCTTAATTGAGTCCGTCACCCTGCATCGGGGTCGCTTCATTGCCGCGGACGGTCTTCGCTAATCGCTACAGCGAAACAGACAACACCTCTGCTGAGTTCACCCAACTGAGCACCGTCACCGCATGCGACTTCCCTACCCGCGACAAACGCTTTGAAATCGTGTACAATCTCCTCTCCGTCCGCCACAACTCCCGCATCCGTGTCAAGACGTATGCCGATGAGGCCTCGCCGGTCCCCAGCGTCACCAGCCTCTACGACGGCTCCAACTGGTACGAACGCGAGGTTTACGACCTCTTTGGTGTCTTTTTTGCCGGCCATCCTGACCTGCGACGTATAATGACCGATTATGGTTTTGAGGGTCACCCGCTCCGCAAAGACTTTCCTCTGACGGGCTACACCGAGATCCGGTACGACGAGGAGAAGAAGCGAATTGTCACCGAACCCCTTGAGCTTACGCAGGCGTTCCGTAACTTTGAAGGTGGCTCTAGTGCATGGGAAATGGTTGGTCCTGGTGAGGACCGTAGACCGGTTACTTTTAAGCTGCCCACGCCTAAGCCGGAGGAGAAAAAAGAAGAACCCAAGAAATAAATGGTGGGCGTAGCGACAGGGAAAGCAAGAAAAGGGCAACCTCCTGTACTGTACATGAGTTTTTTTTTTGGTTCTTTATAAGGAATCTGCCATTAAGATGGTATGTACAACTGGCAAAATTTCTACCAAATCAATTCTGAATAGGGCCTTGTGATGATGATTAAATCGCATGTTCTAGTCCACCTAGTTCATATAGCTAGGAATTCTATTGAAGCATGTGCAAAACGCTTCAGCCTGTTTGTTTACATCAGTGTAGCATTTTGTGTTGCTGTAAAAATAACGGATCACGTGGTGGCCATCGTCTCCGAGTCAATGACGAAAAGACATGTTTAACATCAACAAAGAAACTCCTGTCAACTCTGACGACGGCCCAAATACCAATCCTTGTATTATGCCATATCCTGCATCAGCCTATATTCTCGTTGCACAACCTTAGCTCTTACGCGTCGCTTCCCACGCGCTGCCCTCGACTACACGAAGAAAGGGCGAATCGAAATACAAAGCCCCATCCAGTAGGCTATTTTCGACAAATCATACATCAACCAAGAAGGAAACGTAAAGGAAATATGAGTTGGAAGAACAAAAAAAAGAAGCTAATATCCATAGTCAAGGTCTTATGTCGACGCTTCTCCTCGTCGACGGCAGTTCGACTCGAGGCACGAGAAGGAAAAGTACACCAAGTGCAAACAGACATGCATAATATAGAATCGTTATTTGCGCCCACCCTTTAAAGCTTTCGCCTTCGCTGTGTGAGAGGGGGAGAGAGAGAGAGAGAGGTGGGAGGAAGGGAGAGAGAAATTGAAGTAACCCAAAGTAAAGACCCGGGAGATTCGAGATTTGCCCGTGGCAAAGCCCAGAAGTGGAGAAATTTGACTTTCTGATTGCAAGCACGCTGCACCTCCCAAAAATAAAACTCCGTCGAATGCTGGAAAATTTAGTATTCTCGTATACAGCTGTTGTATGTGCCTCTTATCAATGGCGTTGATCTACTTTGTCTTTTTGGCTCGGTTCGTTTCTTTTCGAGGGGAGAAAAATTTGAGAAGATGTTACAGACGATCATATAAAGTCTTTGGAAAACGAAGAAAACGATACTGTAAGTAAATGGAGTGATTGGGGGCCATTTGATTGGTTTCACCACATACTGTCGCCACCCTGACGTCGATGGTGTGAATCATTGCCTTGATGTTGGTAGTAGTCCTTGACGCTGTGGCCATATCCGTCTTGATTGTCATAGCCATAGTCGTCTTGGTTGTCATTGCCGTGCTCATCTTCGTAAATTTGAGCTTCATCAACATAATCAATTTGGCTCTCATGTCCGGACTCAGCATACTGGATGGCAGCCTAAATCATCTGTTAGTGCATGAACATTTGCGGACAAAGAACATGGGCTTACTCTGTGATAGTCAAAATTGTATTGCTCCAAGCTATTGTCAGCATGCTCGTCATCCATTTGCTGTGGCGCAAGATACTCTTGCTCTTGTCTCTTTCGTCGAGCCTCCTCTTCAAGTCGCTTCTGTTGCGGAGATGTTGGTACGTTCATCTGAGGGTGCATAGCCTGGACGATGGCCAAATAGCTGTACATGAAATTACTGAGCAGCACCTGGCTGAGCAGCGGTCGACGAGGATTGGCCAGTTTGATATGAGCCATTCGATAGATAGCTCTCTCCTCCCCCAATGTATACCGTGTCCAGCCATAATCCACATCTGGCCTCGGAGACTTGTCCACCGGCCCCTCAGGAACTTGGAGATGCTGGCTCTTTTTGCCCGACTTTTCCCTCTCCTCTTTTCGTTTGCTGCCGCCGAAAATCGACGAGAAGATGTTGCCATCCTTGTCTTTCTTGGAGTCGCTTTTTCGGTGGCTTTCTTTTCTCCGCTCCTCCAACAACTTGCTATCAATGTTGTCCCTATCCAGGACAAGACTTTCGCGTCCCTTTGCGGGAGTCTTGTCAATCGAGCTTTGAATTACGTCGAGTCTAGCGTTGTCGGACGTTTTTTCGGTGAGCGCCTTGGCCTTTGCACGTTTGCTCTCCTCTTTCTTCTTGTCCTTATCGTCAGTAACGCCTTTTAACCATTTCCACGCACTTCCTGACTTGCTTGATGTACTAGCGGTGTCGTCATCCCTGTCTTTTCTTGATCTTTTGTCAGATTTTTTGTCAACTTGGTTAAAAGTGGGAATCACGGTCAGGTTATCAGTCCGTGATGCATCGCCGGCAAGAAGAGACGACGATGGCAATCCGAGTTTGTCGTTATATGGCGGTTGTTGTGAAGGCTTCGACAAGTAATGAGCCTGTTGATTTGGTTTTTGAAGAGTATAGTTACTTGTTACGGGTGTTGAATGCCTGCCGCTTTGGGGGGCAAGCGAATCTTCCACAACGAGCTCGGGTGCTTTTGGCGTGGAGTTGAATTTCAACGAACCGACAGTCTGCGATGACGATCGTTGAGGAAATGTTCCTGGAAGCTTACTGCTCGCACGGCCTGCGTCTTCGTTTCGCGGCTCACTCTCCGAAGGCGAGGCAATTGTTGGCATCGAGACTGCTCGAACGTGGAGCTGCTCTTGCGCCGGTGGTGATGTAACTCGAGAGTCTTCTTCGCTTGGAGAAGATCCAGCTTTCCCCAGCAAGTCTTGAAGCAAGTCTTGTTGCTTTCTGACTGATGGTGGTGGCCTGGGATAGGTTTCTCCCATGAAGTCTTGACCATTTTCTGGAGTCTTCCCTCGTAACATATCACTTGGTGGTACACTGGGAAGGTCCGGCAATTCGCCATCTTGCTGCTTTTGGGCGAGACGCTTTGAAAACGGTAATCTATCGCCAGACCGTAGACTACCGCCCTTGCGATAGGTTGTTCTTGTCGATCGTCTCAGCCCCATCCCAGGAGCCATTGGCAGAATCGGCATATCCTCAGCGCCGCCCTCCTCTCCACCGGGAGTACTCTGTGCTTCCTTTGCAAATTTTTGAACGGCGCGGGCAGCGTCCTCGACCAACTCGTCGGGGCTCAATATGTGGTTGTGACGGCCTGCAGTTGACCGTTTGCGCTCCAGACGGTCTGCCCCGTCGACATACCCCACTGCTCCTTGCCCACTGGAGTTATCAATCTGCCGAGAGAGCATGGATTTTTGACGTCTTAGGGACCCAGCGTTGCTGAAATTCAGATTATTACCCTCTGCGGAAAGAAAGGATTCGCCGGATCTCCTTTTGAACGACTGTACACGATTCTCCAGAAAAGACTTGAATTCGCTGGGGGCCAATTCTGGATGAACCCTAGCTGGAACCCATAAAAGCCTTGAGGGATCATTCTTATCGTCATTTCCGGACGGGGCTATGACTGGCATTGCTGAGAGTCCGATAGGTGGTATGTCCGGATCACTACTGTTTCCGACATCCATGGACATGCGCCTGAGGGCCTGGAGGTTGCTCAGTTCCTGCGCGATATCATTTGGGTTTTCAATATTGGTAAGCGGGAACTGGGATGCCACCTCGTCGGCTTGAGCGTCGCGTAGTGACAACGTTGGCGGCGCAGGCGGCTTGGAACCTCCTTCATACTGTATACTGGCTCGACGATTTGGCGATGGGGCGTTTGGCGTCTGTGACTTTTCAAGGCTCCCGCCATTTTCTTCATCAGAGTGCTGTGGGCCATATGGCTCGTCTGACGTTGACCGCGTCAAGGGCTCGCGGGTATCGTAGTCCATTTGCTGCTGATGTCGGGAGCGAGCGTGAGCATGGTGATGTGAGTCCAGATGAGCTGGCCGATGTATCTGCTCCCGATACGAAGATCCATCGATAAAACTTAATGGTCGACCGCCATTTTCGGACCCAGAGTCGTCTTCATCGCCATAAAGCGTCCCTATCGCTTCGGTCACATGATGGCTGGGGTCTGAAATGGAAAGTTGACTTGCATGGCCGCGACGGCTGCTGAAGCTGCCCGCAGCTTCGTCGCGAGGTCGAGATGAGGTCTGCGGGAAGGCGTAGTATTAGCAACCGGTACAGGAGGCGGGGATCCAGAATGGACGGCATATCCTGCAGACAGATAGGCTCTCGTGTCGTGCTACTAGTCTTTACGAAGCGGTGTTTTGCGGACTTACCATCATCAAGGGCAAAGAGAACGGCTTTCCTGCCGCCTCTGATATGCCGCGGAGCTGTTTCCAACGACCTTTTTGCACAAGTCAACGCCCCGGCGTCGGTGGTAAGGAGGCCGCCTCCTGTCATTCACCAGCAGTCAACAACGCGGAGCAGGTCTCGCAGCGGTTGCCAATGTCGAATCGTCGACAACAGGGCGGCGAACTAAAGGCCTCCCTAGCTCGGGCCTTGCTGTCGTCGACGAGCTTTATCGTCGCATGAGGGATACGAGGCTTGAGGGGGCGTACGGAGTGTTGTCGATGCTCAAAATGGTGGGGGGTTTCTTAATTAGGAGACGCCTGCAGTGGAAAGCCGGCTACAGAGAGACCGGACGAGCGATGCAGCTGGATTCCGACGATGGGGAACAGTGTTGGGCGCGTGATTTCGAGTGAGTCGATGTCGTTTCTAGACTTGGTCGTCTTGTCGTTAGCTGCGATATGTTTTGTGAGCGCCTGCGACTCGGGGCTCGGATGGGAAGGAGAGATGTCCGACGGGTCGAACGTGCCACTTGAACCCGGGACCCCAGTCACTGCCGTGTCGGAGGGCTTGTGCTGCGCCGCCTTCTCAAGTTGTGGACTTCCAAGTTGGGCACATTGAGCCTTGGCGGCAAGTCGATACATTCATCAATGGTCCGGTGCTCAAGTGTGGAGTACCAGACAGCCAATTGACTCGGGGCTTTAGCACGTCCAAACCCGCAGTCTGGTGCGTCACGTGGCCGCCCAGCGCCAATCGATGCCTGCTGCACAGGGGGGCGCCGAACCACGCAGAGCTGAACTTACTAAGAAGTCCTTAGGTACTCAGTACTCAAGTAATTAGTAAGTACCTAGGTACTAAATTAAGCAGTAAGCATCAGGCTTTCCGCCAGGCACCAACCATCGAAGTCCAGCTTGTCGTTGCTTTCTAAATTGACGAGTCGACTTGCCTTGAAGCTTCGATTTCTGACTTCCTACTCATTCGAACTCGGCACTTGGGCCTTTGCCGCGTGGCTGTAGATGAAGCAAAAGGCAGGACATGCATATCGGAATGAGTGAGTCCGTGCCTCGCATTCTTATGCTATTAGGTTTATATTATTTTCCTTGTTGTTATTCCAAAGTTCGCTGACCTAATATTACTAGCCCCCCCTGTGAAACACGGGTACAGCCACAACAGATGTACTCCTATAATTTCAATATAATATCGTTTGTTCCTGTTTCCGGGCTTGGGAGCTTAACGCCTTAGTCACAATCTGATGTATTACTTCGTATGTGCACCACCAATGTTGAATTCTATCAGGCCATCTGGACCCTATAGGGTAGCCATCTGTGCTGAGCAAGGATCAACTTGTGCTAGTCCGTGTCTACCCAAGAACGCACCTGGGGCTCGAGCGCACAGGCACCCTTTGTTGCTCCGCACGCTGTAAAATGCGCCTCATCAGTCGCGACTTTTAGTGGTTTTGGGCGAGGGGGCCCTGCTGTTAGCCCAGCCCACAGCACACTTGGTGTCTAATCCCAGTGTGGCCAAGCTCAAAGCTCGCCTCCTGACTGCTGGGGATGGACGCCACGCAGCACAGTACGAACCAGTTGACCAGACGCAAGACTGTCTGGTGGTAAGTATTAGGACAGCCCGGTGTTAGATCAGCCAACTTTTGCAACTGGGAAAATTATCTCCAGCCTTGTTTGACAGCCGGAGCCGCGAAGACCACACCTCACCCGAACACCTCCTTGACTGCGGCCCATCTACCCTCTCTTCCGTCATCCTTTTTGATACCCAGGTCATCTCCCACCGGGCCTTCACCTCCTTCTCCTTTTCCTCGACGACCGACTGTACATCTCGTGCGCCTTGGAGTTATCAATCCTCCCGCCTCCCGCCCCCGCCTCTCGCCCGTCGCCTGTAGCCTCTGGCCCGACCCCCGGAGCGCGTCTGATTGATCGATCGACTAACTGATCGTTGAAGAATGGCTGCTGTAAGTTTGCTTTTCCCAAAGCGCTGTCGTTTGCTCCTTCCTGCTGGCGCACTGTCAATTCCATCCTTGCGCACATCGGACAGCTGGCGGCAGCTGGCAAACACCTGTCTGACGAAGCTGGCTGGTGCATGACTTTGCGTTTTGCCTTCCATCGCCGTGATATTCGAGTCACATCCCCTTTCTCCTTTCCCTTCCCGCATCACCGTCACCTCATCACCGGCGCAGTGCAAGACTCAACGTTGTCAGACTTTCGCTGCCATCACACAATCATCCCCACGTGCCTCACATGGATGCCGCCTTCAGCGCTGCAAGGGCTGCTCCTCCAGGAGCAACAGGAGTGAGGACGTCTGCTCTACGAACCCTTACTAACGGGCTACAGTCACGACCCTACAATAACCAGGGCTATCTGCAAAACGGCGGCAGCAGCTTGCCACCTGGCGCCGCCCCCCTACTACCGAACCAAGGACGAGTTATCCAGACAGGCCCCATTCGAGTTCTTTGCATTGCCGATGTTCGAGGTGAGAATTTGCACGACACTTCCCTTGCTCAAGTTTGCTGAGCAACCACAGTGGACTCAAACTCATTTTTTTGTGCTACAGGAAACCTGAGGTCGTTGAACGAACTCGCAAAGCAAGCTCGCGCTGATCACATCATTCACACTGGTGATTTCGGTTTTTATGACGACACGTCGCTGGAACGTATTGCGGAAAAGACTCTCAAGCATGTCGCTCAATATTCCCCCCTGATTCCCGATCCAGTCAAGAAGGCAATCCAACAAGGCGGAAATGGACCTGTCAAGACTCGGTTCCCGGCCAGCGACCTCCCGCTTTCCGAGCTTCCCCTTCTGCTCAGTGGAGAGGTGAAGCTAGATGTCCCAGTCTATACCGTCTGGGGTGCTTGCGAAGACGTTCGAGTATTGGAAAAATTCCGGTCTTCCGAGTACAAGGTTCCCAACCTACACATAATTGATGAAGCTCGCTCCATGCTGCTCGAGATTGGTGGTGTCAAGCTCAGACTTTTGGGTCTTGGTGGTGCTGTTGTCATGCACAAGTTGTTTGACAACGGTGAAGGCCGAACCACGATTGCTGGTGGCCAAGGCACTATGTGGACAACGCTGTTACAGATGGGAGAGCTTGTCGACACGGCACACCGAGTGTACGATCCTACCGAAACCCGAATTTTCATCACGCATGCCTCGCCTGCGAGAGAGGGTATCTTGAATCAGCTCTCTGTTGCTCTCAAGGCGGACTTTTCCATTTCCGCTGGATTGCACTTCCGATATGGAAGCTCGTACAATGAGTTTAGCGTTAACCCAACTCTGGACCACTACCGCGGAAAATTGGCTGCCTCCAAGGCCTCTTTCAACGACGTATGGGAGACTGTGAAGGGTGAGGTGGAGCCTGCCATTTCGCAAAACGAAGCGCAGCAGAATCTGCTCAAAAACGCGCTACAAATTGTCGAAAAAATGCCCACTACCGCTGCCGGCGGTAATCCTTTTGGTGGCCCGGTGACCGGCCAAGCTGCATTGGGCCAGGTTGATGAGAGTGCTTTCAAGAACATGTGGAACTTCAACCTTGCTGATGCCGCGTTTGGCTATCTTGTTTTGGAAATTCATGATGGACGTATTGGTACTGAAATGCGCGCCCAGGGCTTCAACTTTTCCCATCGTGGTGCCAAGCAGCAGCCCGGAGCAGCTCCCCCTTCTGCTGCTACTAGTGCTCCTCCCCCATCTGTCTCTACTGCCGGGCCTACTGTTAGCACTCCTGCTCCTCCTGTTGCTGCCGCACAACCTGCGGCCCCGGCCAGCAGACAGGCATCATCAACACAGCAGCCTGAGAGTGCTTCTGCAACCACTCCGGCACCCGGCCTTCCCAAGCCTGCTACCCCCCAGCCGAGCCAGACATCTACTAAGTCTGGTGGCAGCAAGGACAGTGAAAAGACCCCGGCTGCTCCGAATGGGTCTACCAACAACGGCCCTGAGCCTGCTTCGTCTCCTGCCCCCAAGGCTCTTACTTCTGACATCATTGGTCTGTTCATCATGAATGTGAGCAGTGAAGACCAGTGTCGCGACCTATTCGATGAGGCCGATAAGGGCAAGATCGTTAAGATTGAGAAATGGGGCAGCCAGAACAAGGTTGTTCAATTCAAGACTACCGAAGACAGAGACACTGCTATGGCTCGATTGCCCGAGGAGATCAAGACACGCACTCAGGAAGACAGGTCTCGACCCCTTGTAAAAATCTTCCAACACAGAGATGGAAAGACATTTAGTAACCGCGGTGGTGCGGGAACCTGGGGCGCTAATGTTCGTGGGGGCACGACAGGTAGCGGATATCGAAGCGCAGGCGGTAACAGCGACTCGGACAGCAACCGACGAGGCGGACGAGGTGGCCGAGGTGGACGGGGAACTGATCGAGGACGTGGTGGGCGCGGTCGTGGTGGCATGAAGGGCGAAGCTGGTGCCTCATCTCCAGCTGCTGTCCCCTCAACGCCAGCGGAATGAGGAAGCAATTGTCATCAGTCACTTGTTGCTCATGGGCTATTGAATATCCTCACTGTTTTGCCCTCCCCCGCTTTTCCGGCACCTATAGAAACCGAGCCATAGTCCTTGGCATCAATTTTCTTGTCGTATTTGATTGTAGCTCTGGAGCAAGGTTGGGAGGAGGGAGAGGAAAAGCAGCCGCTTCTCGCAAGGGTCCGCCGTTTTGAACCGCGTTTCTATGTACGTGTACCTAATGAGATATTGAGCCTGCCGGGGCTTCGCAGTCGCGGATTTCGGCCACCTATTTTTTCTTACTTTTTAATTTGATTTGTATGGAGTTTATTTGTTCGCAACTTGGTCCCGTTTCTCCGTCGCCTTTGGCGTGAGGATGCTTGTCTGTTTGCTGCACTGGGCAGCCGAGTGTGGTAAACAGGTTGGCGTGCAGTGAGAGTACTATTGATGGGCTAAAGGTGATGGTGGTGGTGATACCAATCGCTTGAGTTGTGCCAACACGAGAGAGTAAAAAAAAGGTGAAGGTGAAGATGAAGATGAAAAGTCTACATTCGCTTCGTGGTTTCTGTACGCTTGCAGCTGAATACACACACTATTGTACAGCGAGATCAGTCGCAAGAGGTAGCTGCTGGTACCCTTTTACAAGGGCTTGATTCCCTTGTGAATAGCTGCAATGCCACCAGTCAAATTTTCGTAGCCATCACCCGACACAGCAAAACCAGCATGGACAATCATATCCCTAAATTCCTCCTGGCTGGGGAACCGCTCGATACTCTCCACCAAATACTGATAGCTGTCTCTATCTGCGGCGACTAGCTGGCCAATCATGGGAATGGCACTAAACGACCACCGTTTATAAATGGCATTCAGGAGGGGATAGTGGTCGACCTTTGAGAACTCCAGACACGCAAAGACACCACCTGGTTTGAGGACCCTGTGGGCTTCCCTCAGCGCGGCGGGAATGTTGGAGAAGTTCCGGATGCCAAAGGAGACGGTGTAGAGGTCGAGCGAGTTGTCTCTGATTTGGGCAGGGAGCATCTCGGCATTGGCTTCGAGGAAGGAAAGGCCGGACTGGTAGGAGGCGGGGAGGCGGAGGGAGCGCTGCCTGCCGACAGCCAGCATGTCGGGGTTGATGTCGGAGATGGTGATGTGAATGTTTGGGTTTGCGTTGTGGACGTGCGAGTGCCGGAGCATGCGGAAGGCGATGTCGCCTGTGCCGCCGGCGACGTCGAGCATTCTCTGGGGCTGGCCGAGAGGCGTGGTTGCTCCCGGGTTGAGGGAGGAGACAAAATGGTCTCTTTTGCGAGGCGTGTCAGTGTTGGCATGGCACATGGCGTGGGAAAGAGCCAAATTGATAGCTCTGACAGCTTTAAAAGGGAAGGGAAGGGAAGGGAAGGGGGAGCGTACTTCCATAACCTGTGAACGCCGAGCGACATGAAGTCATTCATTTTGTCGTAGGACTCGGCGACGCTGGAGAAGACGCCTGCTACACGGTCCTGTTTCTCGCTCTCGGTGACCGTCTCATAGCCAAAGTGTGTTGGGCGATCTGCAGTTGGAGTGCGCTGCTGCTGTTGGCCAAGGTGGGTTGTGCAGAAGGCGCGGGAGACTTTGCGGTTGAGCCATGGTGGCGGTTGTTGGAAGAAGCTGCTTGTGCATCTTCGTACAGCTCGGCGGGCCGCCATTTTGTCTCTCTCTCTAGCTCCGTTTCTGGTCCGCCTGGGACTTGCAACTGGTGGTGATGATCGGGGAAAAATTGCGGTGGTGACAATGAAAGCAAGGCTTGTGTGACGTTTGTCGGTGGGAAGTTGAACTGGGTTGGTGAGTGGAGCTTGAGCCACAGTCGGTGATGTCTTGTGGCGTTTAGACGGCGGGTGATGAGCTGCAGATGGACGGCATCATGTGGGTTGCTAGCAAAACGATGAAATGAAGAATCAAACGAGAAGAGGGGAAATTGAAGAGGAAACGGATAAAGAAAGATTCGATAAATTCTTTCTTGTCTAGGAAGATGGGGCGGCGGTCGAGTTCCCAACAGCCCGCTCGGCATCGGTGAGCTTGCGCTTGTAGGAGAGCAGAGCATCGACAAGCTCGTTGACGTGGGACCTGAAGAACCAAAAGATGATGCCGCTCAGGCCCATGATTCCAAGAATGAGAAGGCCGAGAGTGGTGCCAGGGGACATCATGTTGGCGTCGACTGCTTCAACGTGCGTACGGCAACGTTGTAGATGAAGACTGCTGTAAATGGAAGTTTGAACATTTGAAATTATGATACATGTAACATGACGGACCCGCGCAACCGTCAACAGAAGCTGCCAGCTGTCACAGACAGTCCCGAACACAGGGCGGTAGATTCACGAGGGGCAGTGAAATCCATCGCGACTGCGTGCCTTACGAATGCACAACACAACAAGCTTGAACGTCAAGTGCAACCAACAAGTACGTACTCCGTGCTCTGTACGCCGCTGCTTCAGCGGGTTCCATCGGCTCAATCATCATCGCCGCCGCAGGCCGTCGACAGCCACCGTCATCAATGACAGTCACAGACGGCCACGACCCTCCTCTGCGTCCACCGTGCCGAAAACACCGTTGATTTTCTTTGACTTTTCTCTCCTCTCTTTTTCGACTGGGCGGCTGCGGCATCTTCACACAACAGCTACATCGACTTGTGAGAGCCCCGACCCCCCGGGCGCCAACGTCCATCGCCAAGACGGCCTTTGCTGCACCCGTCCGCGCCGCGAGCAGCGTCTCCCAGAGACCCAATTCTGACTATGTATCCTTCCCCGGTGCTCTCAAGAGCGCCTTCACAACACAATTGAGCTTTGAGCATCCCGAGTCGTACAAGGCCCTGCCCACCTACAGGGTTGTCGATCAGAATGGCGCCGTGGTCGACCCGTCCTTTCAGCCCGATATATCGGACGAGACCGTCGTCAAGCTGTACAAGGACATGCTGTTCATTTCCATCATGGACTTGATCATGTTTGACGCCCAGCGCCAGGGCCGCCTGAGCTTCTACATGGTCAGCGCCGGCGAGGAGGCTGTCAGCGTTGGCAGTTCGAGTGTTCTGGACCCAGAAGACCCCGTATACTGCCAGTATAGAGAGCAGGGCTTTTTCAAGGAACGGGGCATGACCACCAAGGAGTTCATGTCGCAACTTTTTGCCAACAAGAATGACACCGGCAAGGGGAGGAACATGCCTGTCCACTATGGCAGCAAGAGGTTAAACATTGTGAGTATACGCCGTCCATGCTGACCCCTCGTCAAGTCTTCTTCTTTCCCGCCCTCTCTTCGAAAGACTAACCGCGTCCATAAAGCACACTGTTTCTTCACCGCTGGCAACGCAGATCCCCCAAGCGTCGGGAGCCGGCTACGCCTTGAAGATGCAAAAGCTGCAGGACCCCAGCTCCAAGGCCAAGGTGGCGGTATGTTTCTTCGGCGAGGGCGCCGCCAGCGAAGGTGACTTCCACGCCGCCATGAACATTGCCGCGACGCGCTCATGCCCCGTACTCTTCATCTGTCGCAACAACGGCTATGCCATCTCGACGCCTACGCTCGACCAGTACCGAGGAGACGGCATCGCCAGCCGCGGCATCGGCTACGGCATCGACACGATCCGCATCGACGGCAACGATATCTGGGCTGTGCGCGAGGCCGTCAAGAGGGCCAGACAAATGGCCCTCGAGGATGGCGGCAAGCCCGTCCTCATTGAGTGCATGACGTACCGCGTCTCCCACCACAGCACCTCGGATGACTCCTTCGCCTATCGTGCCCGCGTTGAGGTGGAGGACTGGAAGAGGCGCGACAACCCAATCACACGCCTGCGAAAGTGGATGGAAGCGAAGGGGTGTTGGGACGAAGCCAAGGAGAAGGAGGCCAGAGATGGCCTGCGAAAAGAGATCCTCCAGGGCTTCTCCGAGGCGGAGAAGGAGAAGAAACCTGCGCTACGGACTATGTTTGAGGATGTCTACGAGGAGTTGACGCCCGACTTGAAGGCGCAGATCAAGGAGCTTCGCGACATGCTGGACAAGTATCCCAATGAGTATGACTTTTCACAATATGACGGCGGCAAGGAGTCCTTGAAGGTGTAGCACGCGACTGGCACGTGGAACGAGTCAAACGTGAAAAGACAAGAATAAATAAACAATGTAGAATTCTGGCAAGATGCCGAAAAGACGATGTCAAGTTAGTCGTCCCATGACCGGCAGCAAAATAAATAGCCGTTGTACCGCTTGCCTTGAGGACTACGCGTCGAGGGCTGACGGGGGCTCAAAATCATCGTTTTCTTCCAATTTTCTACTTTAACCCCCAAGGATGTAAGTCGCCCTGACGTGGACGCTCGTGTATGTCTACGCTTTCTCTGGGCACAACTTGGCTGTCTGTCCCCCCGGTCCCTTTTTCCCTCCCGACTTGAGAGTTTATATGAGGCTGGTCAGGTTGCAGGCATGGCAACACCCCGGACTGGGCGGATACGCGCTCTCACCATCGTCCGCATGTGCCCGAGCATCGGCATCCAGAACTCGCCACCGTGTACGGAGTAGATCCACATTTATATGCAACAACTTGGCTGAGTGTGCCTGGCAATCCATATCGGGGCCGGAGGGCCGGACGTTGAGCTCCTGCTTGCTAGAGACCTTCCTTAGTAGCCGCTGAGGAAGACAGCATGGCAACAGTGTCCAGGGTTGCTCGTTGGCGCTTCTTATATGGGTTTGAGGAAGAAAAGAAACAATGATAGGAATGAATCGACGCATGAGTGGTCTCGACCCGACCCGGCCAGGAGGAGGGCGCGAAGAGGAGAGGGCAAACAGTCTTGGTCCAGCACAGAAAAAGACAGGCCTCTTGAGCAGGGACAAGATGGTTGTTCTAAAAGTTTGTCCTCAGCCCTCCTTCTCTGCTCTTATTTGATATGACTCTTCTGGTTTATTTTAAGTTTTACTTGTACTCATTTTATAACGCAGTTTTGGAGGCCACTGCGTCAAGCTAAGTATGGAAGGCTCTTTTTGCTCCTTTGTTATGCGACGTGCATGTTTGCGTCGACGGCCAAAAGTCATTGCACCCGGTATTTCGTCGGCTTGTACGGGTATAGCCTAGCTAGACGGATAGAAGTATCGCAAGGGTGTATGAAGCGAGTTTTTCCAAGAATTCCCCCAAAGCTTCTCAGTGTCCTTTATTGTGGATCATTCTCTTTGATGTGCTCGATCAGAAGCTCAGGGGAACATATATTGGGCAGTCGTGTCGATCTGGCCCGGAGAAGACCCAGCATTGTTCAAGATGGGAAAGTCGCCAACAAGCTTATGAGCGTAGCCGGGTCAGGCTGCTCGTTTCCTGGCCCTCTACCAAAAGGGCAGCGCAGCTTCACGGACACGTGTTGCCAAACAGTCATCGTCCCCATCTGCGTCACTGACCTCGTATGGCTGTCTCCTGGGCTGCCATGTCCCTACTGGCTAGACAGGGCATTTTGTTAGCCGCGAAACAAGTCACACGCCACGCGGAGTCAGGCCTGGGGACTCTCTTCTCTTGTTGGACATCAGGCAAACGACAGACGAAAAGAGCTGGCATCGCGCTCCTAATGTCCACCCAGCGAGCAATGTCGGCACAATGCTGGCCCCGGCCTGCGTTGCTCCCGCATCCCATGAGCTTTTGCCTCTTCCCAAGCCATGGAGAAACATCTTACCATCAAGCGTGTTCGAAGCGTGGTTGCACATATTTTAAATCAAAGTCATAAAGTATCTAAAATCCAGTTAGATTTAAAGGCTGAAAACAGCTTGGGAGCGGGGTCTATCTCGCCTTACCGAGAATTGCTTTGGTCATCAATGCCGACACATGCGCGGAATTGAACGTCGGAGACTAAAAGCAGTCATTTTGCCAGGAGATGTACAGGTAAAAAGAGAAGACGTCAAAAAAGAAAGGACGGGGACAAGGCGAGGCCACGACGGGAGGCGTGAAAGACATTCATCTCTGATTGGCGAAGCGAGGATCGGCTGGAGCTGGGCCAACCACTCAGGATGCGGAAGCCCCGACAGCAGCACAATGGCCTTAGACTACCATGCCGCCATGACACATCCTACATGGCCCATCGCCCCGACCACACATAGGTGACTGCAGTTCACGCATCCATCCATCAACATCTCCCGCCACTCTGTCCACGAGCCTTCGAGACACCATCCTCACGACTGTCTGCGCCCGGCTCCCGCTTTCACATCTGCCACGCACTGATGCGTATCGTCGAAACCGCACGGCATTGCTTGGCCGAGCTAGCATAAGCACGGGGAACAACGAAACGCCGAGACGTCACGGTTCGCCTTGTGCCATCCCCGTTCTCGTCGCTCGCCCGTACCATTTCAATACCCAACGGCCGGCCCGACCACAGGGCAACGTCAAAACTCGTGCAAACTCATCACCGCGCCAAGCCACGCATTGCACATTGTGCCTTGTACATCACGCATTGTTTATTGTTCATTCTACATCGCAAGTACAAGCACCCGGCATCCGGCACACGGCCGCACAGTACATAACCACATACCCACACACATCTTCGGTCTCCTCTCGCCGTTCCTTCCCCGTCGTTGCCTCTCAGCGAAACCCGCGCCTGCCCTCCTGATGGCGTAGTCCGGGCATGGCAGAACGAACATTGGCAGGTGACAACGAAGTGCGACTTGCCTCGTCGACGTCGACAGCCTCCGGTGCTGCGACTGCCGCTGCCGCCCCCGCTCAAAGGTAAGGGAAAGAGCGACCTTCCCTACTCGTTGCCTGAATTGCCCATGTGTTCGACGCATTCATACTCCGTGTGCCCAGTCATATGCTCAGTTCTTTGGCTTGCTTGCGCTTAGGATACCGTGCTTCAAGTGGCCTTGCATGGGTTTTGCAACGAGCTCAAACGCGACCAGCAATCTAGTCAGAGTCATCGCCCTCTTTCCGTCAGTCCCCATCCATCATCATTTTTTACTTTCTCTCCTTGGCTCTGATTGACCTTGCCTGTGGCCCGACTTTCCCACCTCGGACAAAAGATTTCGACCCAGCATCACCTCTTGCGTTGCACTTGACACAATAGCCTGTCTTGGCTGGCTGCTTTGCCTGCCCTGCCCGCCCATCAGCCTCCTTTGATACATATCTTGGTGATATTACAGCTGGCGATCGATTCTCTCGGGAGTCCCTACTTCAAAGCGCTTCCTACTGAAACCCGGCTGTTCTCTCGCCCTGTTCTTGTGAAATTTCAGATCACGCTTTACGGCCAAAGTCGACATCGGACCACAGGCAGACTTTTGATTATTCATCTTCGTCATTTGCAGGCGCCACGACACCGCACACACGAGGCGGCTCAATAACTTGCCACAAAAGCTTGTTCGGCGTCTTCAGTTCCTGTCACTCCGTTTATCCCCGCACCCCCTTGTCACGTCCGACTGGTAGAGAGTATCACCGTTCGGCAAGACCTTCCTTGACACACCCAGCATTGGGCTTGCTCAATTTGTTGGGCAGTTTCCCGTTACACTTGCTCTTTTCGTCCCCATTGCACCTCGCAGATGTCGGTTTCGTCGAGATCTTCATTAACTCATGTCTCCCAGAATCACTAGGTCCTCGGCCCGCCAAGCTGCGAGCCAGGCAGCTCACCAAGCTGGTTCTCTAGCTTCCCCGTCCGCTCCCGGAACTGTATCTGCTTCCATCGCACCAGCCTCAACCTCGCAAAGTGACCGAAAGCGAAAAGTATCCTCCTCCACTAGTCAAGAAAAGCCCCCTACACCTGTTGCGGCACCGCATCCTAACTCGGGTCGACGGTCCAAGAGACAGAAGATTTCCGAATCCCCCTCCAAGGGAACGACGCAGGACACCCTCAACCTTCCTCCTCAAGGAGCTAGGAGGAAGGGTAAGGCTACTGCCGCCATGGATGGCAACGGGTATGTTGAATCTGAATCTGCAAGCAATCCCTACTCCCAATCTCCATTCCTTTTTTTATTTTTATTTTTTTTATGCAAACTATGTACGTGTGGGCAGGCTAACCCAGCACCGCAATCCTACAGTGATCAGGCCTCCCCAGCGGAACCCCCCGAGGTCACTGGCCGACCAGTTACTTCCAGCAGAAAATCAAGTCGCAGCAAAAAGTCCGACTCCACTACTCCCACTTCTGCCAGACGAAGATCCAGACGTAATGACGGCAGCAGTGCCGATCAGGACACCGCAATGACCGGCACGGATGAAAACGATGAACCTGGACCACCTCCGCCACCTCCCGTCGAGAATCTTGCCGATGATAATGGTCAAGATCATGACGAGCATGGACCTGAAAATAATCAAGGCAAATTAGACAATCATGGTGAAGACCATGATGAGGATGAGGATGATGAAGACGAAGAAGATGACGACGAGGACGAGGAAGACCCATTCGGTGGTTTTGGTGGCTCAGGGGGAGCCGTTGCTGGTCTCTCCAGCACGCTTCGGGCCTTGACAGGCATGATGTCCGGTTTGACCGGTCGGCTACGTGAGCTTCTCAACAATCTGAGAGAGGACGATCTTTCGGTTCAAGTCATTGCGCTTCAGGAGCTCTCCGAGATTCTTCTCGTGTCCAATGAGGATAACCTCTCTGGACACTTCTCGCCAGATTCGTTCGTCAAAGAGCTCGTTCTCTTAATGAATAAAGAAGAAAGCCCAGAAGTCATGCTGCTGGCATGCCGATGCCTGGCTAACCTTATGGAAGCATTGCCTGCCAGCGTTGCCAACGTGGTCTACGGAGGGGCTGTTCCGGTCTTATGTCAAAAGCTTTTGGAAATCTCCTTCATCGACCTAGCCGAGCAAGCACTGAGTACACTGGAGAAGATATCAATGGAGTATCCGGCGAATATTGTGAGAGAAGGTGGATTGACCGCGTGCCTGTCGTACCTTGACTTCTTTGCTACAAGCACTCAGAGAACTGCAGTCACCACAGCTGCAAACTGCTGTCGCAACATCCCTGACGACTCTTTCCCCGTCGTTAAAGACGTCATGCCTATCCTTCTCAATGTCCTCAACAGCAGCGATCAAAGGGTTGTGGAGCAGGCCTCTCTTTGTGTGTCAGGCATTGTTGAGAGTTTCAAGTACCAGCCAGCCAAGCTTGAGGAGCTCGTCAGCGTTGATCTTCTTTGCGCCGTTTTGCGTCTTCTTGTTCCTGGGACGACGAATCTCATTGGGTCTGGCATCCATACACAGTTTCTTCGAGTCCTGGCTTTTACGGCACGGGCCAGTCCACGACTGTCTGCGGAGCTTTTCAAGCTAAACGTGGTGGAAACTTTATATCAAATCCTGACCGGCGTTTCCCCCCCAAGTGGAACTGAGAACGTTGCCTCCAAACTGGACAGCGTCGTCGTAATGCAGGCTCTGATTCACCGTCCGAGGGAGCAAATCGTGGAGACGCTCAACGTTATTTGCGAATTACTACCAAATCTGCCCCGGAATGCTGACCCTGCATTTGGGGACTTCGTTGAGCTTCATGCTACCACTGAACCCATTACTCCTTCATCTGTTGGCGGCAGAAGCCGACGGAGCCCAAACGACAAGCGGCTTGATCTTTTGGAACAATGCAAGCCGGAAGTTCGCCGGTTTGCCTTGATCATCTTCCCTACTCTTACAGATGCCTTTTCCAGCACTGTTAATCTGAGCGTTCGACAGAAGGTGCTTACAGCTCAACTCAAAATGCTGTCTAATTTGGATGAAGATATTCTTACAGAAGCTTTGGTTCCTGTCCCCTACGCATCATTTCTAGCATCAATTCTATCACAACAAGACCACCCGTCCCTTGTCATGTTAGGTTTGCAAGCCACAGAGCTTCTCGTAAGCAGGCTTGAGTCCATTTATCGGTATCAACTTTATCGTGAGGGGGTCATTCACGAGATTAACAAGCTGGCATCCCAAGAGGACCCCTTGGATTTGAAAAAGGAAGAAACCGATGACGACAAGGAACAGGGAAGTGAAGACGAGGACGAAAAAGACGAGGGCGATGGCGAAGAAAAATCGCAGGACACCACAAAAGATGAGATTAACAATCGTATGCAGTCTTCATCTAATGCTGTAAGCGGCGGTAGTGTTGCAGGCGGAGAGGAGCGTGAGAAAGACGCGGAAGAGGCTGAAGCGGGTGCCGACGACAATAATTCTTCTGGTGGCGAAGATGAAGATGATCATGATGACGAAGACGCGGACGATGATGAAGAAAACGATGGCGATCACGTCCCTGGCGATATGTCTCCTGCTAGTTCCCGTGGGTCTACCATGTCGGTGGACATGGCACCTCATCGTTATATCTCGGATTTGAAGTCAATCACATCTCGGATTCGGAACGTCGCCAAAAGATTCCTTGAAACTCATGAAGGAGGAGAGCATGCACAAGCCATGAAAAACAAGGCAATGCTCATCCTCAATGACCTGTCCGACCTGGCTACAGAGCTGGAAACATACTATCTGAAACGGACTTCTGCTACGCTCGGAGGAGCGCAAAAGGACAAAGAGCTGTTCGCAAAGCTTGCGTCCTATTTTGATACTGACGTTCTTGAAAGTGTTACTAGTGCTGAGCTGTTGGCCTCTGGACTTGTACAGACCTTGCTTGATATCTTCAGCAACCCTGACGAGGAACTTGCTCGCACAGCCCAATCGACCTTCCTTGAAGTCTTTATGGGCTATTCACTCAAATCAAAGCCAAAAACAGCGACGGTAGACTCGCCCGCTACCCCATTTAGCGTGCTGGTACACAAGATGCAAGATTTGCTCAGTAGGTCAGAGCATTTTGAAGTGCTTACCGTTCATCACAACAGTTTTGATGGCAACCGCAGCAGCCCTGCGTCGATGCTTGGTAAACAGATCCGACTTCGCCTCGTGGCAGATGATGAGTCCAACATTCCCCGACCCTACAGGAATATCATGGTATCAATTCATGCAATTGCTACTTTCAAGTCATTAGACGACTATCTTCGACCTCGGATCAGTTTGGCAGAGAGGCCACCGATTGGCCGCAGAGATGGACTTTCTAGAGCTCTCGCTGCTGTTGCTGGGATGGGAGGGCTACAATTCAGCACCACTGGACCCAGGCTCACTGAAAGATCACCATTTGGCTCTGTGCCGCCGCCGCCACCGCCACCACCACCACCTCCTGGGGCTACTGCAACTCCGTCGAGTTCCCGGTACTCACGAAGGTCTAAGAATCGGTCAATGCCTCTCTCCAACACCCCGGTGACCCCGCAAGATCCTTCTGCTGGGCCATCCCATGACAAGGGTATTCTGCGCCGTTCCTCAAGACGTCAAGTAGTATCAAACGAAGAAACTGCGTTGTCACGACCACCACCAACCGATGGAGACGACACACAGAACACCCTTGAGTGTGCTGATGAGAAACAGATGTCTGATGAAGATGACTTGGTTGATGGTAGCACCCTAGATGCTATCGTAGGGGAGCTCGATGAGGATATGGACGGCGCAGATGCCACCGGATCTGGGCCGGACCCCTCTGCCGTGAATCTTGAGGTGGCCACGGGCGGGAAAATAACTGCAAGAAAGGATGATGGAACTAGGGTTCCTACTCCGTCCAGCTCAGCTCTCCACGGCAGTCGCAGTGGTGGGGGCAATACTGGCGTTTTTGGAGCGCCGCCTCCTCCACCTCCATCGTCAGGGCAGGGAACTCCGACACCTGCGACATCACGACCACCCATGTCGTATGCTCTGGCTCTCCAAGCAGTACCCCAGGACTGGCATATCGAATTTAGCCTCGACAGCAAAGTAATACCTAACGAGACCACCATTTATCGAGCTGTCCACACATCGACTTCCAGCTCCGATGAGCTTGTCAGTCGCAGCATCTGGTCTGCTACGCATCCCATTAAATTCCGGCGTGTCCCTGGACCATCTACTGCCGAGCCTGCCACATTTGGTAGCAACCCAGACAGTGAAGGCGAGACTGTGAATGGTATCCCTACATCTCTAGCGAAGAACCCAACGACGGCCTCTATCCTGCGGTTGCTTAACATCTTACATGAATTAAATGCAAACATCGAGGATGTCCTGGCCGAGAATAGGAATAGTTCTGTCAGCCTCAATGCGGAGCCTTTGTCCCAGTTTGTCAACACCAAGTTGACGGCCAAGCTGAACAGGCAGCTGGAGGAGCCCCTGATTGTAGCCAGCAGCTGCCTCCCTGGCTGGTCCGAGGACTTGGCTCGCTTGTATCCCTTCTTGTTCCCTTTTGAGACGAGACATCTCTTCCTCCAGTCCACGTCTTTCGGATACGCCCGATCGATGGCAAGGTGGCAGAATGCGCAGTCTGAAGATACCCGTCGAGACCGCAATAATGACCGGCCATTTCTTGGTCGACTGCAACGGCAGAAAGTACGGATCTCGCGACTAAAGATTCTCGAGTCTGCTCTCAAGGTCATGGACTTATATGGTGCCTCGCAGAGCATACTGGAAGTTGAGTACTTTGAGGAAGTCGGTACTGGCTTGGGACCAACCCTGGAGTTCTACTCGACGGTATCCAAGGAATTCTCCAAGAAGAAGCTCAAGCTGTGGCGTGAAATGGACTCGGTTGGTTCTGAGGAGTTCGTGACTGGCCAGACTGGGCTATTTCCTCGTCCTCTGAACCAGGAGGAGCTCTCAGCACCTAATGGGGAGCGGATCCTCCACTTGTTCAAGATGCTTGGCAAGTTTGTTGCTCGATCAATGATTGACTCTCGTATTATTGATATTCACTTTAATCCGATCTTCTTTCGCATCGGCGATGCCCCGAGCACAGGCATCAAGCCGTCTCTCGGCGCCGTCAAAATAGTTGACCCTGGTCTTGCTCGATCCTTGAAGACGATCAAGAAATTCGCACTGGCCAAGAAGGAAATTGACGAGGATCCCAATCGCACACCTGCGCAGAAAGTAGCAGATACAGAGTCCATTGTGATTGATAACGTTCGCCTGGATGATTTATGCTTGGATTTCACCCTACCTGGTTATCCTAATATTGAACTTGAGGATCACGGATCTCACAAACGCGTGACTATCGAGAACGTGGATATTTACCTCGAAAAGGTCATTGATGTGACTCTCGGATCTGGTGTGCGTCAGCAAGTCGATGCTTTCCGAAGCGGCTTTTCACAGGTCTTTCCTTATTCTGCGCTGAGTGCTTTCACTCCAGATGAGCTCGTGAGCTTGTTTGGAAAAGTTGAAGAGGATTGGTCTTTAGAGAGTAAGCTATTCATGTTTTTCCACATATGCCATACGCGTTGCCATGGAGGCTCTAGCTGACGTGACTCGCCCTCAGCTCTTACCGATTCTATCAAGGCCGATCACGGTTTCAACATGGACAGTCGTAGCGTGAAGAACTTGCTACAATCCATGAGCGAGTTTGACGCGCAACAGCGACGCGACTTTCTGCAATTTACAACGGGTAGCCCCAAGCTTCCAATTGGAGGTGAGAGCTCTCATGACCAAACTTTCCCGTGTGCTAAGAACAGGAAGGAGATGCTAACAACTGACTGCGACAGGCTTCCGAAGCCTGACCCCAATGTTTACCGTTGTATGCAAACCAAGCGAGGAACCGTACACGTCTGATGACTACCTACCCAGTGTCATGACGTGCGTCAACTACTTGAAGTTGCCCGATTACACTACGATTGAGACGATGAAAAAACAGTTATACAAGGCAATGAAGGAGGGTCAAGGCGCCTTTCACTTGTCGTAAAAACGTATGCAATTACGTTCGTGAGGATTTTATACACGCCGCCTTTCTTTCTTGATGAAAGACCTGCAGAACCTCGCGAAACCTGGATGAAACTGCACATGACCATGTCATACATAATTCTTTCGCATCAAACCCTGAAAACAGGAGTCGTCTCCGTGTACTACACATTTGAAGCATTCCCCATCAAACATTGGCGCATTTGATGACATGACGGAGAAGGTAATACTGGTCCTGGCAAGCGACGATGAAGAAAATGGATAGAGGGATGAAAACCTTGCGACGTAGTCACCGCATTTGCGGGCTTTTGTTGACGGACGCCGATTCCAGCGATTATTTCCCCAGCAGAGTCGGGACGGATGGTTCTAAAGGCCGTTGAAAATTGGTTCCTGTTGTACGAAGAAAAGTGACAAGGTGGACACAGGCAATACATAACTCAGGCATGGCAGCTAGGTATAGAAATTGACTTAAATTCGCAGCGTCTATGCTGAGTGTGTACGTGGTTCCCACGTGATGAATCAGGCAAGTTGCTGAATTGCATCTGCTAATAGAAAACATGCAGGCTGGGAACAGGGACAAAAGTAACGCGACGCCTAAGCACCCCGTAAGTCATTCAAAATGTACGTGTTATACAAGACTGCGTCCCCCCATCAGTCGTCGTGCATCTCCTTCAAGCCAATGTGGATAGGCTTCTCTCGCAACGCCGGCTACAGAGAAACATTGTCGTCATCCGAGTCCCATATCTCGGGCTGCAGGGGCGGAGCATGGTCCTGTATCAGACTATCCGGCAGCATCTGACTCTTGGTCAAGAGCTGCGATGTGGATCCCGAGGAGGACGGGAAAGGTAAGCTGCCGAGGGAGCCGCTTTCAACGAACTGCACGCTGCTCTGGGAGGGGTTGCTCGCCCGTTGCTGAGTCTGCTTCCCGGGGGTGGATGGCTGCGAGAGGGTGGTGGCCTGGGAGGGCCGGACGAGTCTTGACGGTTTCCTGGGTGCGCGGGGGGCAGGGAGCGTTTTCGTCTTGGTAGTTGCAGTTGATGAGGAGGGGAGCTTGATGGGCTCGTTGGAGTCTGGTGTTGATGGAACCATGTCGTCCGAGGTCGGGAACTGAGTGGACGAAGCGATGTCGCTGTGGATCTGGGCTGATATTTGTTGCGATACCGTCATGCTGCCTGGTGGTGTGACGCTGGGGAGCTGGTTCCGCGCGTGGTCCATGTCGGTGCCTCGAGGCGGCTGAGGTTGAGGTTGAGGTTGGGGGCTGGGATGGACGAGGGAGCTGGTGACTTGTTGTTTCTGCTGTTGTTGTTGTTGCTCGAGGAGTGGTTCGCCAAAGACGGCATGTCTCAAGTTCCATAGTAGTTGTCCGATGACAGCGGGCGGCAGGTATTTGTATCGGGTGATTGGGCCGCGCAGCCATGCTTCTTCGCGCATGTCCTCTTCGCAAACGGGGTTGTTTAGTTCGTATACTTGGGTGGCGTGGTATTGCCACTGCCCTTGTGATGAGGAAGAGGAAGAGGAGCCGGCTGGCTGGACTTGCTGAGCTGGTTCGACAGAGGCCATGTACCGGAGGAGGTTGTTCTCGAAGAGCCAGAAGCGGACGACCTGGGAGGGAACTTTGAAGGGTGCGGTGATATGCAGCGTGTGACCGGTTGTGAGGGCTTCGAGGGAGGCGGCTGACACGGGAATGATTATGTCTGAGCGTGCGGATGGGGTGGGGAGGGATTGGAGAATGGAAACGGGGACGCGTTGGGATTCCCATGGTTGGCTCTGGATTTGAGTGCGGCTGGACATGTGCGGGATGGGTTTGCGGATGGGATTTGAGGGCGGCGGAGGAGTCGGTTCTGACGGTGTCGTGGGTTGCAGCTCGTATTGGACTGTTAATGGTGCGGATTCGGGTTGTGTGTGCCGCCTTGAAGTCCGTGCCGAACGAGGCATCGCATCCTGGGACTTGCCAAGCTTCTCTTCCGTAGACGCAAGCTCACTCAAGACCAGCTGCGTCTCGATGCCGGCGCCATATCTCTCCTCCATGTTCTCGCCCTCGCCCTCGCCCTCGCCCTCGCCGTCGTCCTCATCCGAGTCGGGAATCTCATACAGCTCCTCGGCAGCCAGCATCTCCGGCAAAGTCGCCTCCGCTCCCCTCTGGGCCCCTTTCTTCTTCGTCGGCATGTCCTCATATCCTACAGGGCTCAGTATGGACGGGGCATGATGCGAAGCACGCAGAGGAGTCGGTGATCTGCTTTGCAGTATCCTCGCCTGGCTCTTGCTGGGCGTGGTACAATCGTCCGTGGTATACGAGTCTTTGATAACCAGAGACGGCGGTCTCGCCGCGCCCGGCGAGTCCCGCCAAGGCTCCCCGGTGAGTTTCACCGGATGCGGCTGCATGGACGAAGAGTGATTCTTCAACGGTGAGTCCTGCTGATCCGGTGCCCCGTAGCGATCAACCATGGTCTGACCGGGGGGCTGTCGTCCCCCCGAGGAAAGATCAAACCGAATGGAAGTGTTCCTCTTCGCCGGGGTCTGGGGAATAACAGAATTTTCGCGCGACAAGACTTCATCCGCACCGCAGACGGCAGCTGCAGTCGCTGCTTCGTGATGCCGCCTCGCAGATGGCGACGGATCGTTCCGTCTGCCTCGCCCAGCACTCGGACTACCCGGTTCACCTAGCCACGAGAGAAACCCATCGTCTCCATGGTCCTCGTCGAGATCCAGGTCGTCATCATCCGAACCGGCTACGAAGGATGTCTGGTGGCCCAGGAACTGTGTAAGGGTCTGCGTTTGATAGTTCGAAGATGTCGGCACATCACCCAACGTCCTTCGCCGTGATTTGTCCCCCTTCCTGGGCGCAACGGCTCTCTTTGCGTCATCGCCCATGGTTCGTCGTCGTTTTTCCCCCTGTCGTGCTGTCGATGAAGCCCATCTCTTGCGTCTCGTAGGGATGGGCTCTTCGTCATCATCTTCCCCGTCCTCCGCTTCTTGGGCCGTTTGGTCCGGCTCGTCTGCCAAACGAGGCTTTACATTCTCCTTGTCCTCCGAGGCAAGGCCTCCTCCATCTAGAGCATCCTCATCGCTGTCGCTGAGAATTTGGATGTCCTCGCCCAGGCTGGAGACAAATTCGATCTGAGTCAAAGTCTGTTGCTTCAGGCTCGGCTGTTCAGAGCCTGCATATCTGCGAATCCTTTTCCGTCGCGCGGGAAATTGGACCTGCTGCAAGGCGGGCGAGGAGTTGTATACCCGGCTGGGAGGAGGCACGCCACGAGAACGTGTCTCGGGAGCCATAGCCACTGGCCTTTTCCCCTTGAGACTTTGAAATGCGAGAGCAAGATGGATGAAACACGAGGCCCTATGTCGAGAAGTTGATGATGAGATGCAGAGCTTCCCCGGGATGAAGGATGATGCCAAGTCGGTGGTGGGGCGATGGTGAACGGCGAACGCGTTCTCACTTTACGCGACGGGTACGTAACCCATGAAACGTCCGCGCGGGGGCGTTACCCTAACCCTGACCCCAAACCGAGAGCCCATTGCGTGTTGTTCCCGACATCCATCAATTCGCAGTTCTCTGCATCAATTCACTATGCTACAACAAACAGGGTTTCATTGGTCACGTATGTCATCTTCCATGAAAGTATTGCACGCTCTCGTGGACGCCAACATGGTTTCATCCCCGTGCGTCTGGGCGACAGCCTCGCTATCGCATGCCGGCTCCCGTCAGAGATTAAACGACACTCCCTCCCGTTACTCAAACCTCTGCTATCCGCCCCGTCTTGGCCGTCTTTGCTCGTCACGCTCATCTGAAGGCCAGCTTGACATCCGCTCTGGGCCATTCAAATGGTACGTCGCCTCCATACACATCCGTGGTGACCTGGCCAATTCTGGTTTCCACATTGAGGTAAAACTTCTCACATTCAGACGTCACCTTTGCCACTAGAGCACGGCTGAGCGCAGGATCATCGGCGTCGCCAAAGTGTTTCTCAACACGCTTGCGTAGGGCCTCGACCCCCTTGCGGACCTCTTTTGAATCAAAGCTCCCAAGAATCTTGTTGAATATGGCCTTGTCGTTGGACGGTTGTCGTGCAATGGCCGTAGGCGATTTGCCCGTCTGAATCTGGGCCTCAATGTTCTCGAGGTAGTCCAGGAGCTTGCCAAGGGGCCTGCGGATGACGGCACTCAGGTACATGTCCATATGTTCATGATACTCGGTGTTAGCTTGGTCTTTCCACTCCTCTAGCACGTCAAGGCCCCGCGTATCTGTTTCCTCAAGGAAGTGATTCATGTTTTCGATTAGCAAAATGTGGAAGTTGAGTGCTTCCTTATCCTCAGGATCAGCCGGGCCAGTGGACACACCCACAACAGCCGGCCGCTCTCGAGCGATGACCATGAGCGAGTCAAACATGGACTTGAGAATGCGATCGTACTCTCGGTCGATCATGCGTCGAAGCGCCAAGTTCCCACCGAGCCCGCTCATCATGTTTTCCACCGCCGTCATGAATGCAGGGAAGACACGGAAGAATGAGATGACTCCTTTTCGCTTGTTAATCTTGACCTTGGTTTCTTCGATAGCCTTGATCTGCTCCTCCACAAACTTGCTGAAGCGACCTTCCAGAAGACTGTGCAGCTTTTGCAGTAATGTGTTCAAGTAATCCTGGTTAGATTGGCTGATTTCAGACAGCTTCTTTTCCAGCACTGCGAGAACACCAACTCCTTGTCTATGGACATGATAAGTATAGGATGCGGCCCGTAGTTGACATCGGAACTTACAAGGGATCTTGTCCAACTACCCATTCCATGAGTCTCTGTAATTCAGACTCGAGGAAGGCAAATATCACCTCCATGGAGCGAGTCACTCTTCGTGCCAAGTCACGATCTGGCTCCATGAGACGGTGGCGCTTCAAATCCCCCCCGCGTCGGTCTCGAGGTGCGCTCGCGGCCACAGCATCAGTGAAATCCCCCTGCTCCAAGGTCGTCGCATGGAAGAAGTCGATGATGAAGTTCTGCTCCATCTCAATCAATGGCAACAGGTCATCCAACACGCCGGCAAAGACTTCATAGGGAAAGCTTCTGCTGTCGGTGGTGGGCGACTTCTCTGGAGTGGCTCGGCTACCGCTGTCTGCCAACGGCGACCGGAGAGCTCTGGCCAAGGTCTGACTGCGCTTCACTGTTATCTTCCTGGCGGCAGTTGCCACACCTTCTTGTTGTTTTTCGACTTGCGATGAGAAAAGCAACTCGGTCTCTTCTCCTGTTGATTTTCTTGCATTCTTACGCCATACACTAATGACGTTTTGGAACTGGCCCTTGTACAGAGGATGGCTCTTGTCCTGATAGATTTGGATGAGGTGATTCCAATTATTCAGATCAACGTCTCGTGCATATAGCATCAGGGGGCCGTACTTCCACAACAACTCTCGGCCAGCGTCGTAGTGGGATGAGTCCACCTTCTTGGAGAGAGCACCTTCAAGCGCACGTTTTGAACCGGCGCACGCCTCATCAAACTGGCGAGCCATGAACTCAATGAGCCGTTTCATGAAGACTGCGCTATGCTGTAGGTACATCTGCTTCTTTTCTCGCACAATTCTCATATTGCCGTAGTCGGTATTGAGAACAGGAGGTTGGTTGGCGCCGGATTGGGCTTTTGGTGCTGGTTCAATGCCTCCCAATGAAGGATCGATCTTGATCATGGCCTTGAAGAGCGTCACAAGGGCCCTCTCAACATCCTCTAGACCCCGCGAGTTCTCCAACGGGGCGAGCCGCAGAGCCTCCAGGTCTCCTGCAGTAATAGCACAGGTTTCCAGAAGTGATTCCAATTCTTTCTTCAGAAGCTTTTGATTTGCTGTTTGCACTTGAAGGCCTTGACACTGAGCTTCAATGTACGTGATGTCGTCTGACAGCGTCTGTTTCGATATGTTAGCCAAGAAGCCTCATCTCATATAATTTTTCTTCCCCACGATTGTCGGCGTATCTTACCGAAAGTTCAACAGAGTATAGAGTGAGGAGGTTCTCCAACTCTTCACACTCTGCCATGGCTAGATCGATGCCGCGTTTGATAGCTTCCACTCGGTCGTCTTCCTCTTGAAATCTGGCGAGCCAGCCACCAGCTTGAGCCCTGTTTATTTCCCGTTCCACATCTGCCTTTATTTCCTCTGCCGAACGAGAGCGCATTTCCTGCCCGGGTACCCAGCCAAAATAGTCCAGCCATTGACTGAACTCATCACTTCGGTCATCGAGAAGATTAGGGTCCACACCGAGACTTTGGAGATACTTCGCATCGTTCCCTGTCACGATGGACCTTCTGGGGGCTTTTTTGAGATGCTCCTCTGTCTTGGGCTCCTTGGCTTTGTCTGGTTCAACAGCCGCTGCCTGATTGGCGTTGGGGACAGTGAGCGTCACCTCTGGAACTGCTGCTGAATTCAGAGTCGAAGCCGGAGACTCGCCAGCAGCAGGATTGGGGATTCCAGTTGATGTTTCCGCGGGAGCAGAAAAAGGCTTAGGTATGTCAGGAGTGACGGGTCGGGGTGGCGCGGGTACGACGCCAGTGATGCCGTCAGGGCCGTCAGGTTTAATTTGCAACTGACGTAAACGCTCTCCGGCACCGCCTGGGCGAGGACGAAAAGCCGAGGCAGCTGTGGCAGCCTTCCACAGCACCCCGGCAATGTCGCCCTTTGACTTCTTTTGTCTGATCATGGGCCCTAATCCTGGCCGTGCGTCTGCCCCGGGCTCGGGAGGGGCCCCCGGGACAGATAGAGCATCGTTAGATGTCGTGACTGACAATGAGGCGGTAGAGTTATTGGTTGATTCGGGCGTCTCGGAATTTATACTCTCCGCCTTTGAGTTGTCCAATGGCGGCGCTGGCGGTCCTGGAGGCAGTTGGCTGGTGTCGGTTCTGGGCGATATTCTATCACCACTTCTGGGTGGTGGAGCAACGGGATCCTTTCTTAGTGTTTGGCTGTTCAGAGGCTGAGGGACAAGATCGCGATCATCAGGGCGGGTGGGGTCCATTGGCGGGCGTCGTCTTTCGGGAGGTGGCTTTCCATCTGATTGAAGCGGTCCTTGGGGAGGTGTGGGAATAGGTTCTTGAGAAGGTTCAAACGGCTCTCGGGGATCCCCGAAGCGTCCAAATGCTCCAGCTCCATTCATACCGTTTCGAGAGCGCGGGGGTTGACTAGACGTATCCTCGCTTCTGGCAGTCGTGAATGAGTTGGCCACAGAATCCTGACTCTTATTTGCCTGGCTCGTCGTCCATCTTGGAGCCGGGCGATCAACCGGGCGATCAGCCGGACGGTCCCTTGACATTGCCGAGTCAAAGCTACCTGCAGGTGAGTTGCTACCGTTCAAGGGCGGCCGCATCGCCATCGGGCTCTTCTGGAACCGGGCGGGATCAGGCGTGCTCGAAGTCGGTGGCGCCAACGGCGGAGCGGGGGGACCAGGTGGAATACTTGGTGCTGACGAACCCGAAGTTGCGCTCTGCTGGCTAGGGACTTGCTCCAGCGGAGGTCGCGACGGAGATGCGGCCCGTCGTCGTCCAGCCCCCAACACTTGATCGAGCTCTCTTTGGTCGAAACCAGACAGCTCGGGTGTCTTGCCACCGGTGTACTTTCCATAAATTTTGATTAGGCTGGCAATGAAGAACTTCTTTTCTTTGTCGGTCTGTGCCTGCCAGTAGTACGGCTTGCCGAGAGTCACCAAAAAGCCGGTATCCCCTCCCCATTCTCGATAGTTTGGCTTCACCTGGGGTCCGGTGAAGGACCCGATATCGGTCAGGTCATCGAGGTTCCATGTTTTTCCGATGGAAAAGGTTCCGTTTGCATTCTCCTTTGACTTGTGCATGCGGACGCGACCTGACTTGCGCACTGCTACAATGATGACTCTGGCCTTCTCGGCTTCGGGCGTACGAGCTTGCGGTGGCGGGGGGGTTGACGGATATGAGGAATACTCCGTGGTGCGTATGTGTGTGATGTAGGTCTCGAGAACTAGTGCAAACCTCACGTCAGTTTACTATTGATTAAATAGGCCCTGTAGTCGGCAGGCGATGGCTGCGAAAGGGTCAAGCTGGGCTGCTCAAAGGTGCCAGCAGTTCAGCGGTAGTAATGCCATGCCAGAACGCCAATCCGAAACCATGCACCGAACAGCGGCAGGACCAGCGCAAGGCCGAATACTTACGAGAGCCGTCAGTGTCCTTCTTGCTAAAGCAGCTGTCGATTATGCGGCGCTTTTCATCCTCAAACCGTTGCGCCCTCGAGGCGGCAGTAGCGCCAGGCCCGGCTCCATTTGCGCGGTCCATCTGTATGCGCGTTATCCAGCGGGATCATGAAGGAGAGTCGGCAACGTAGACAGAAGGCGAGAGCATGGTCGTCGAGTCTGAGGTCTGTCCTAGACGGAGACAGGAGACGGAGAGGGGAATGGGACGAGGATGCGAACGCGGACAGCAGGATAATGTCGACAACGTTGCTTGTGCTTGCGCGCTGCAGCGTCGTGGTGCGACAGGGATTGGAGCTGGATAGCCGCGTATGGTAGGTTCGGTTTGGAGATGCCAGCGTCGCCGTGGAGGTTGAGGTTGAGGTCGAGGTCGAGGTAGGACAAGTATCAGGAGGGCTGGTTGGACTGTTCGAAGTGGAAGTGGGCGGGACATGGATCAAGGGCCAACGGCGTGCAGCGAGCGCCTGTGGTCCGTCTGGTTGGTTGGAACTTGGCGCCAGGCAGACTGTGGGATTATTTTGCTCCGTGCTCCGTGCTCCGTGGCACGTCGTCACCCAGGCACTCGAGTCCCTACTTGAAACTTCAATGGCCGCCCAGCCTCCAGCCTCTTTCGTCATTCAAACTCCAGAGCAGCTAGCTCATCGGTGCCATTCACCGGGTGCGAAGTTCCTGTGTCGGAAGCATGACTCTGCATTTGTCAATCATCGACGCGTCAAATTCGAAGCCGACTAATGTACGTCAAGGCCTCCCGGCCATCCAACTCTCAGGTACGGAGTATCAGATATCATGACCCGGAGACTTCAAACCCGCAACAGCAATCCTGCGCCGACAATCTCCCTCGTCTCGTCCAAATCCAGTGTTTCGGCCCTTTCTGCTCTCGAATACCATCATCGTCTCAGCCACGCAGATGCATCGTAGATTGCCCTCGTCAACCGCATACCTAATCGCCTCCAATAAACAGTTGACTCAATCACCGTGGCTCATCCGAATCACTCTCGGCATCGAACGGCGAATAAGAATGTCGCCAGACGAATTGTTTCCTTAACCGCCAACCTTGCCCAGCCCAACTGTGGCCCGGGTGGCAAGCCTCTGGAGCTGAATGGGAACCAGAGGCGCATCTCTTGCCATGGGCATCTGCAACGACGGGGATAACATGATGAGATTTTTAAATACACGTGGTGGCCTCCTCGTAGACGATAACGTGACGGTGGTCGTTGACTCCAATGGCCGGTGCTTTGCAGGGGCTGTTGGATTGTCGTCGTGCTCCGACCGGTCCAATCAAATCACGCCGTGCCTGCAGCAGCATATGAAATGAACCAATTGATGAATTAACTACGTAGTTGCCAGTGCGTCCATATCTTGAGGCGTCACGCAAGAAAGACACTAGGGGGTGGTTGCAGGTTGCAACGTTGCCGTGATCCCGGCATGTACCTGGTGAAACCCATCGAAAAAAAAAGCCTCCCCCGCAATCGGCTAGCATTTCAACCCGCAACTCACCAGCTTCAATCAATCATTACCCGAGCCCGAGCGCGCCGAGGCTTAACATTGAACCAGTTGACCACTCCGCACTGGTCACTGGTGGGTTCCCTGCACACCCTCATCATCAATCTTCCATCTCAGCATCCCACATCACTTTTGTCCTTTCTGCTGCTGTCCTGTCGTTGTCAATTTCCTCGACTATTACACCAGTTGAGCTAATACCGTTTGCTTCCTAAAACGAAACCGCCATGGGCGCTCCCGTCCGTGTTGTTCCCAACGTAAGCTTTCATCTTCCTCCTGCAAATGCCGCCAACGCGGACTTGACTTAACAGCCTGTACATGCAACAGGCCGCGAAGCGGGCAACCAGCCTTCTTCGTACCATTCAATATACGCATCCGCCTTCATGCCCATGCCACTCAAACCCAGGTTACCACAAGGCTCCTCCATCTCTAGTGCCCCGTGCGAGAGAAGCAGGTCGCCGGCGATATGCTACACCCGCGTCCGTGAGCCAAGATCTGAAGGAATATGCCTTTGAAATGGCAGCTTCATCTATCCGCTTCGGCCCGGGTGTTACGCAGGAAGTCGGCATGGATTTCAAGAACATGGGCGCAAAGAAGGTGTGTGTTGTCACGGACCCTACCGTTGACAGGCTGGACGCCATGAGGCAGGTGAGGGAGGGCTTGACAAGAGAAGGTATTAGCTTCGAGGTCTTCTCGAATGTGAGAATTGAACCCAAAGACAGCTCGTAAGTTGATGGTCTTCACCGGTCGTGCGCTCTTTTCGTACACCCAGTATAATGCGAGGCTTACACGGTGTTTAGAATCAAGGAAGCTATCGAATGGGTTCGCCCGTACCGGCCAGACGCCTTTCTCGCCGTTGGCGGCGGCTCAGTCATGGACACGGCCAAGCTAATGAACCTTTACTTGAACTATCCCGACGCCGACTTTTTGGACTTTGTCAATGCTCCCCTTGGCAAGGGAAGGCCTGTCGATAAACCCCTCTGCCCGCTTATTGCCGTTCCGACCACCGCGGGAACAGGGAGCGAGACCACCGGCACGGCCATCTTTGATCTTGTATCTGAGCGAGCCAAGACTGGTGTCGCCCACAGAAACTTGAAACCGACACTGGGAATATGTGACCCCACCAATACACGAACCATGCCTGCTGCGGTCAAGGCCAGCTCTGGACTGGATGTGCTCTGCCACTCTCTGGAGTCTTGGACGGCCATTCCTTACAATGAGCGTACTCCACGCCCGCCGAACCCAATCATGAGACCCGCTTACCAGGGCGCCAATCCCATATCCGACGTATTCTCTTTCCATGCTCTTCGCCGCACAGTCAAGTACCTGCCTCGAGCTGTCAAGGATCCTGACGACTTCGAGGCGCAGAGCGAGATGCTGCTTGCAGCTACTCTTGCTGGTGTTGGGTTTGGGAACGCAGGCGTTCACCTGTGTCACGGTACGTCAAATATACACCATCGCCACGCCGCAACGGTGGCGGGAGCTTCCAACTGATTCTTTGTCTTTTACGCAGGCATGTCTTACCCCATCTCTGGACAGAACCCTGGATACAGACACGCCGGCTACGATGTGCCCGCACCGTTGATCCCCCACGGTGTCTCCGTCGCCGTTTCTGCTCCCGCCGTCTTCCGATTCACTGCTGCTTCTAACCCCCAGAGACATCTCGAGGCCGCTGAAGCTTTTGGTGTTGACACATCCAACGTGAAGCCGGAGAGTGCCGGGGAGGTGTTGGCAGAGGCATTGACCAAGTTCCTCGCAGACCTGGGCGACCAGCCTGCAGGTCTCAAGGACCTAGGTTTTGGCAGACAGCACATCGACGCCCTTGTCGACGGCACCATTCCTCAGGCTCGTGTACTGATGCTGGCTCCCGGACTAGATAAAGAGCTGCAAACCGAGAAGGAACAGCTCCATAGACTGTTCGAAGACGCCATGAGCCACTAAGCCCTCATGCAAATATGTAGTCTAGCCTATTGATCGTACAAATTAACGTGGTAGATGTCGCATGCTGTGGCTCGCTCGCGGCGTCACTTGAACTTGTCCGGGTTGCTGGGTATCATCTTTTTCAAAACAGCAATCTGCTTTACCAGCCCCAGCTTCCGCATGTCTGTGACGCCCCGGTTATCTAATCGCCGTAAGCCATCCGAGTAAGCGACGGTGTAATCCGGTAGATGCTCCCCCGGTGGGATAACCGTCTTGGGGGAGATTGTGCAGTGTCTTCCGATTTTGGCGCCGCTGCCGATCTTGCACCCGACCTGCAAGGTCGTCCCCTCGCCAACCTCGGTATCGCCCGCTTCAATCACTGCTCCAACTTCCACAACGACGTAGTCTCCTAGCACGACGCCTCCAGGCTTGACGGTGTCTACATCAGAAGGGCGCACTCCGATGTGGGCTCGTTCGTGGATGATGCACCGTCGTCCTACGAGTACACTGCCGAGGTGGGATTCGAACCGCGACCGAGGATGTATTACAGTCTCGGACTGCATCGTGATGGAATGGGTGCCTTGTAAAATAGCATTGTCCGATATGGTGAGCGAGGATGAGAAATTGACTGGTGGCTTGGGACCACTGCGGTCAATGGCCGGGAGAATCGAGTGTCTTTTGCTCGACATGGCAAGCTTTTCAATCGAGTGAGGAACCCGTGTTATTCTGGTGAATGTCTCGAGTGTTGGCCGCCGTGGGATTCATATCGCTATAAGCAAGGTCTTCAATCTCGACTTTTGGGATGCAACTAAGGTTGCGCAGAGGTCCTTGGCGTTTAGCCAGCCAATGCTTGGTGGTTTGGTTGGTTAATAAAGCAGTCAAAGAGATTAGCGCGCGCGTCGGTTCGGTCGGGAAAGGCAGACCAGGATGGTGTGGGGCATTGATGACCGAGTGATGGAGAGTACTTTGACGCTCCGATAAATCTGGGGCTTTTCAAAGTAGCAGCTAACACTTCTGGTAGTATGCGGCCACACCCAGCGTTGGCCAACCAGATTGCCCGCAATTGTGACGCTGACATTAGACAAATCTCGCCACCGGGTTACCGCAGAGCATCCATCTTCACGACAAATCCCCGACCTCATCCCCGACCCCAATCCGCCGCCGGACAACGACGCAATGCTGTCCTCAAGAGCGGCGCCAAGCAAGGCCGTGAGCCTCTCGCGGAATGCGGTGAGGGGCCTCGCGACAGTGCAGGATGGAACCCCCAAGCGGACTTACGGAGGTCTCAAGGATCAAGATCGTATTTTCCAGAACCTTTACGGCAGATTCCCTCCCGACCTCAAGAGCGCGAAAAAAATGGGCGACTGGCACAAGACAAAGGAAATTATACTAAAGGGTCACGATTGGATCATCAACGAGGTAAAGGCCTCTGGCTTGCGAGGCCGTGGTGGCGCTGGCTTCCCGTCTGGTCTCAAATGGGTATGTTTTCTCTTGTCCAATTCACCTCCGGGACACCACAAGACGCTTGAACTCTAACAACTTCGCTTTGTTGTGCTCGCAATAAAGTCCTTCATGAACTTCAAGGATTGGGACAAGGACACGAAGCCTCGATACCTCGTTGTCAATGCTGATGAGGGTGAACCCGGAACTTGTAAGGACCGCGAAATCATGCGAAAGGACCCCCACAAGCTCGTCGAGGGCTGCCTTGTCGCCGGCCGAGCCATGAATGCGACCGCTGCCTACATTTACATTCGAGGCGAATTCGTCTACGAAGCTGCCGTGTTGCAGAACGCCATCAACGAAGCCTACAAAGCCGGATTGATTGGAAAGAATGCCTGCGGCTCTGGCTACGACTTCGACGTCTTCATCCACCGTGGTGCCGGTGCCTATGTTTGCGGTGAGGAGACATCTTTGATCGAGTCTCTCGAGGGCAAGCCTGGCAAACCCCGCCTAAAGCCTCCGTTCCCTGCCGCCGTCGGCCTGTTCGGATGCCCTTCAACCGTTGCCAACGTCGAGACCGTCGCCGTTGCCCCTACTATTTGTCGCCGTGGAGGCAGCTGGTTCGCGGGCTTCGGTCGCGAGCGCAACCAGGGCACCAAGCTGTTCTGTATATCCGGCCATGTCAACAACCCTTGCACGGTCGAGGAGGAGATGTCCATTCCCCTGCGTGAGCTTATTGACAAGCATTGCGGCGGTGTCCGTGGTGGATGGGACAATCTCTTGGCCATTATCCCTGGCGGCTCATCGACTCCAATCTTGCCCAAGAGCATCTGCGACGAGCAGCTCATGGACTTTGATGCTCTGAAGGATAGCCAGTCGGGTCTTGGAACTGCTGCCGTCATCGTCATGGACAAAAGCGCCGACGTTGTCCGCGCCATTTCCCGGCTTAGCCACTTCTATCGTCACGAGAGTTGCGGCCAGTGCACTCCCTGCCGTGAAGGCAGCAAGTGGACCGAACAGATCATGTCTCGCTTTGAGCGCGGTCAGGGACGTGAGAGAGAAATTGACATGCTCCAGGAGCTGACGAAGCAGGTTGAGGGCCATACCATCTGCGGTAAGGACAAACACCCCTATCTCTAACAAGTTCGGAAGCCGATTGCGATGCTGACTCAAAACCATGTGAAGCCCTGGGTGAGGCGTTCGCCTGGCCAATCCAAGGTCTCATCCGTCACTTCCGACCCGAACTAGAGGCCAGAATGCAGAAGTATGCCCAGGAGCACGGCGGTGCAGCTCTGGGTGGCGGATGGGAGGCCAACACGAGGTCACAAGGAAAGCTTGTTTCCCCCGGCCAGTAATTAGAAAAGGGTACTTTTGTCCACCTAGATTAGACGGGGGGAATAGCTGCGGATGGAGGGAGAGAGCTCGACGCTTCAGAGCGCCGCAAGGATTTCGGTGGTAAGCTCTCCACTTAGGTCCGGCATGTTACAAACACACTTGCAGATGTGACTGGAGTTGTATTCAATACGGTTGAAATGATATTGTATTTTTGAAGCTTGTCACACACCATCTTGTCTAATTTGATGATTGTTGGATCACGGCAAGTGACGCCAATACCCCTACAACAACGCGATCAAACACTGCACTTGTCGGTTCACCTCCGGATCGTCGTGCGGCGCATTTTGCCGTTTCGTATTCCGACGCCACGACATCATTACGGAAATGTGAACAGGCGATTTTGTTCCCAATGGCAAAAAAGGGGAGGGTGCGGGTTCCGTACCCTCCGTTGTGGCGGCTAGTGACGGATCAGCCGGGCAGCCGGAAGTGACGGAGGATGTCGCTACTCTGTACTTTCAGAAGCGACAGTTTGAAACAACTGGTAAAGAGTCTACTGGTGTGTTTGTATTTCTGATCTCTCTGGCCCTTTTAGCAACCCCCTTTGTGGCCGGAGGCGGCCGTGGCAGCTAAAGAACGAGCTGGTGTCATGGTTAGGATCAAGTGTTGGCTCTGGTGTTGGCGTTTGAGAAACACGAGCAACTAGTGTATCTTGTCAACGAGGAAGAGGTGTTTTTGCGTGATGTTCACGTTGTGTGCCAGGGCTGCCCGGCCGCAAAGGGGGTTGCTAAAAGTGCCCGAGGGATGAGAAATAAACTCACCTGGCAAACACGAGAAATCCTGACCCGACAACAGCTTTCGCCTCGAGTGGTTGACTTGCTGCTTCTTGCCCGGCACATAGATGTCATGTTGTCATTATCCGCTTCCTCTCAATACTGATTACGTTCTCTTGGCTGTGTGCGAGAAAACCCGGACCTAAAGGACACCCGAGAGACATCACTGTCACCATCACACATCGCGTCCCGGCCACCATGGCGGAGGTATCAAAGGTAACGCTCGAGCTGGCAAACGGCCAAATCACGACCGTCCAAAGCGACAACGTCCTCGCAGCGCGGGGCATTCCGTACGCCCGGGCGGAGCGTTTCCAACCGCCGGAGCCTGTTCCAAAATGGTCATCACTGAGGGACTGTACCCAGCCAGCTCCCATATGCCCGCAGTTCCGATCCCGTCTTCACGCACTCGTCGGCCCCATTGCGGAGGGTCGGACCACTTCCGAAGACTGTCTTCGCGTCAGCGTGTTCGCGCCGGCGCCGAAGCCACGGCCGTGTGTGCCGGTAATGGCATTCATCCACGGCGGAGGGTACATCGCCGGGGCCGGCGACCTCGACTGCTACTCGGGCGCGGGCCTCGCAAAGAAGGGCGTCGTGGTGGTGAACATTGCGTACCGCCTAGGCATCCTCGGTTACCAACGCATCGAGGGACGAGCACCCGCCAACCTGGGGCTGATGGACCAGATTGCCGCCCTGAAGTGGATACAAGGAAACATCGAATGCTTCGGAGGCGACCCGCAGAGGGTCTGCGTGTTTGGAGAGTCAGCCGGCGCTGATTCTATATATTGCTTGATGGGGGCGGACGGGACAGAGGGATTGTTCCAGCGGGCCATTATCCAGAGCCCGCCGTTGGGACTGCGTCTTTCTGACCGGCGTGAGATGCTGCGTGCTCTGGAGCAGCTGGCCTCGGAACTGGTGCCCGCGGATGCTGGTCATGCGCCTGTGGAGGAGTTGCTGACGGTTCAGGACAAGTTGGCCGAGAGGGCATTGTCGTTTGCTGCGGCCTTGCTGCCGTTTGGACCGGTACTCGGCCACCATCCGCTTCCCGATGCGGAAGGGTTCGAAAAGCGACTGGACGAGGCGATTCGACGCGTGCCCATCTTCCTGGGGTATAACGGGGACGAGGGGTCCGCGTTTGTGCCGTTTTTTCGCAGCATCGACCCCTTGGTGCGACCACGTGTCGAGTCGTCGGCCGTAGAGTACATTGGCAGGAACTGGTTCAAAGACAAAGCTGACGAGTTGTATCGAAAGATTCAAGGTGCCGGGCCGCCGGAGAAGCCCTGGTTCTATCGGTTCGACATTGCGCCTGACCAGAGTCCCTGGGGCGCAGCGCACACGGTGGATATGCCCTTCCTGCTGGGGACTTGGGCTTGCTGGAAGGACGCGCCCATGTTGAAGGGCCATGGTGTCCACGAGATGGTGGAGAGAGTTGGGGACGAACTGAAGAGCTTGTGGGTTGCGTTTGCCCAGGGCCGCGATGTTGGGAGGACGGAGTTCGTCATTGACGAGGACTTTGCCCTTGGGAGCCGATAAATGGGGAGTTGAAGTGCGCAACAAATCAATAAGACGGTCCCTGATGTAGCTATGTCAAGGAACCTAGGTAGGTAGCATCCCGTCTACGGATTGAGACGCAAGCCTCGAGCCAAACTTGACTCGGTGTGAAGTTAGGGTTAGGGTCGATATCTGTCACCGTGTCCGAACGTCGACCCGTTGGCAGGTTCAATGGAGAGCGTCTGGTTGGTTCAACGTTGGCCCCACATCGAAAGGGGACCGTCAAAGCAACATCCGTCTGGTAACTTGGAATCCGAATCGGAATCCTTGACCTCGCCTGAAAGCGCATCCATCATGACGCGACTGTCTGCTACACAATCCCACGGCAAGGCGGCTGTCTTCACTTGACACTCTGCACCCTTTTCCACAACTGAGCTCAGCCGCGTAGTCCGAGCAATCACAATGGCTGGACACTTTGAGCAGTTCGTCGCGTTCGGGACCGATATCGGTATGGCCTCGCTTCCCTCATCATGATCCATCGCCCGTTCCATGGCCTTAATGCACATGTATATATAACATGTTTGTTGTGAGAGGGGTCGTCTGACTGGCGTCCCCGAGGTTGAAGTTTCTTTCAGATCCCTGACACCCAAAGCAGCTTACGCCGTCTCATCGAGGGGGAGCAACTAACATGTCGCAGTCGGTCTCGAGCGCATCATGCGCTTCATCCAATCCGTCATTTCCATTCTCACCTCCTATCCAGCCCTGATACCCATTCTTCTCTCCCACCGGCCGCCCGCCGCTCACAAGACTGGTGCGCTAGTGATGGGCGAGCTCTGCGACCTTCTCAACATGACTCGCCGCGCTATCCGCCTATTCTGGTGCCTCGGCAGCTTCCAATCCAGCTGGAACGTCTACGTCGTTCCCGAGAAGAGCACAGAAGATTGGCTGTTCATCCTGGCTGATAGCTTCTTTGGACTTTTCGGCTTGATGGAGTCGGTCACGCTGCTCGATCTGTTGCAAGTCAGGGGCCTATCCGTCTTCGGGCTCGACGAAGCCGTTAGGATCGATGGCCAGTCCAAGAGTGTGTGGCTTGCGGCGCTGGTTTGCTCAGCATTATGTACTGGGGTCAAAATCTTCAAGACCTATGTTGAACGCGCTGTGCCTGAGACGGGGAGCGGCTTTGGCGCTGCCACGAATGAGAAGACGTCTGGCAAGGGCGACGAGAAAACACCCAAGGCTGCTGCCGTGATGCGCAGACAACAGAGAGAGGCGGCATCCAAGGAGACAAGCCGGAAGGTTCGCGCGCTGACCAGAAAGTTGCTCGCTGATTTGCTTGACATGGCGATCCCGGCCTGGGCTACTGGTTTGGCGGACATCCATGTCGGCACGGTGTGCGTTGCCATGCTTTTCAGTACAGTCCTGACGGGGTACGCTGTGTGGGAGAGATGTGGTCAGGCCATTGACCAGCGACGTTCTTGAGGAGTGCCACCAGTAAATAGTGTATAGAAAGTCTAGACATGACGTTTCTGATGCATACACATGGGGTTTATTCTCCTACCCCGTCCTCATTATGCGTCCGAACCGACGTACCTAATATACAGATTTGTATACATTTTCGCGTGTACCTGCAAAGTTCGCGTACGCTGAAATTGCCGTCATGACTCGTCCGTTTCATGCCATGGTGCACATCGCATACTTCCCCTCGGTCCTATCTTCGTCCGGTGACGACGAACCTTCCCGTCTCGACCCTCAACTCCCATCCATCCTGCAGCAAGGCTGCCGCGACAGCTTGCCTCATACGTGACACACCACCGGCACTGTGACGACCCAGACCAGTAATGACGGTAAAACCGCCATCGTCCCTCAACTTTTTCGCCCTTGATTCACCCAATCCGCCCCACCACTCTCGAACTTGTTGCCGTGCAATTCTCACTCCGTCCTGTACCAAAACACCATGCAAATCAACGCAGTAACGCGTGCTGCGTTTGGCAACGAGAATATCAGCTGCTGCAGATGTGGTAGTCTGGGCGTATCGGCCTTGTTCTCGAGCCTGGTCGGAGTAATAGCTGGCTGCCTGTCTATAGAGCGGACTAGATGAGCCCCGACGATGCATCTGCACTGCGGACGCCGCGGCATCGCGGCTAGCTTGGTGGAATTTATTCGCGCGGCTCATGGCTTCTTCCAAGTTCATGTTATTCATGGATGAATGCTTTGCAACTAGTTCCACTGCCGGCGTTGCGCCCGCTTGGGACAGCGTCGTCATATCCCTCCCGCCTTCGATGTCGGCTTGTGGGAGAGGCGTGAGGCGATACGAAAGATCCATTTTCTTGATCTTGGGTTGCTTTGAGAAATGCTTGTTGAGAAGAGCAGCGATGTCGTCTGCGAACTGCGGAATGTGACCGGCGACATGGACGACGGCAGGCATGTACTTCTGAGGGACGTGCCGGTAATTTTTGGCGAGGCGTTCGGCGTTTCCTTTGCCGCTTTCATCTTGGCTTCCGATACCGTAGGAGATGTACTGGTTTAGAAGCTCAACGACAGTGGCGGCTTTGGAGCACTGGAACTTGTAATAGATGGGATATACCTGATCAGATCGAATGCTGAATCTCTCTGCTATGTAGTCGATCTCATCCTGGCCTTGTCAAACTTAGAAATGTTATCGGCAGCGGATGAAATCGATCACACACTCACTGCGTGCTTCGCTAGCGAAGCTGGGAAACGATGCGCCATCACTCGACTGATCTCCATCGGACGGGACTTTCCTTTTGCCTTCCCTTTTCTTCTTTCCCTTGCACCGACTGCTCTCTGGCTCGAAGAAGCCATCAACGCCTTTCATCTGCTGGCCGGTCGACTGTAAATACTGAACATTCAGGAGATCATCCAGCGCAGTCTGAAAGTCTCCATTGGCTTGTTTCAGAGCATACTGAACATCAAATTCCTTCAAATCGGCAAACATACTCTGCAGCAAGAGCAACTTATTCTCCTCGCTGTCTTCGTTGAATGTTGTCAATCTAGGCTTGGAAGTGGGCAGATCTGACACGCATGATGAATTGTCCGTGCTCGAGTTGTCTGTGATGCGAGCCTGTGAGGCCTGGCGACTTGCACTGGTAGTTGACGTTACCGTCAGCTCATCATAAGTAGCTTGCGGCTCTCCTTCAGGTACTTGAGGAATGCCGCTGGGATTGAAGCCAGATGCTTCTTCCGACAGAACACCTTGCGCCAAGTCCTGTAGAGTGCGCTGCGCCTGTTTATAAGCAGATGGATTCTTGAGGTTGTAGTCGCTTGCTATAGCTACAATGAGAGCTTCGTCGAGAAGGGTACGGAATGAGTCCTAGGAAACGTGAATTCCGGTATTCCATGGCGCAATACGGCTCCTTGCCATGATGAGGATTTTACATACCACCAAATTTTCTAAGTGATCTTCTTTTTCACTGGCCATAACGCGGCTGTTGAATAGATCTCTTCATGCAGTAAGTGGAAAGTTGGGCAAGTGCAGCGAGTCGACGGAGTAGGCATTATCCAAGACGAAGGCAAAAAAAAAGTGAGGACATGTACGTTCCAGGGACCAAGAAGAGAGAGAGGGCGGACGGATGCTTGGGTGTGGATGAGAAAACAAACACTAAAAGCCTGACTGATCCAAGGTCGGTGTGCATGGAATCACGTGTGGAGAAGGGCAAATGAGATGCTAGATAGTTAGAGTCACGCAAATTGCAACGACAGCAGCTCTGGACCTGAGGGAGGCAGTGGTGTGAAGGCAGATATGAAGATGGTGAAATCGTCAAATGCCTGGTTGGATTTAGCAGATCGGAGATGCACGCAGAACCCCCAGTGACGAGGGCAAGGCGTTGCTCCAGTACGGCACCGAAACAACGCGAGTGACGACGTGTGAATACGTCCAAAGCATGGAATAAACCGCCTGGTCTGAGCTGGCGGTTTCGCAACACAGACTGGACTGGTGTGATTTATCAAGTTTCGCAAATAGAAGATGACGGTTCTTGACCAGGTCTGAGGCTGAGGTGACTGCCTGCATGCATCGTGAGGGACGCAGGTCTGAGAGGTGCGAGGGCTGTATGGACTGGACTCTGGAGTACCTTCCGCACGGACCAAGAGCGCAGTTGCCCTTGTCGTCTCGCCAAGAGCCAAGCCAAGTGGAGCCCGGAGCTTCCAAAGCCTGATGCTGCATCAGGAACAGCTTCCAGGGCAGGGCTCACTCATCTCGTGCGTCAGCGGCAACACCGGCGGCAGGCTTTGATGACGACAGGTGCAAGTGCTCAAAGTCTGGTGCTGTTCGGTCTGTTGGTCAAACCTTCCCCCACAAACATCAGCGTCTCACCCGCCACCAAACTTGCTTCTTGACTTGGCATCTGTGCATTCTTTCTGGATTCGCCCACATCTTCGCGGAAGTTGAGCAAGTAACAACCGTTTCCATCACGCACACGCTGCGGCAAGCTCCCATCCTACGTGCGGCCGACAAGGCCCGCCCAGTGTCCCGAGATGCGTCACCAAGTCGTGACTCTTCTGGGAGCGGCGCCAGCCATCGTCGCCGCTCTAGCAAGCGCAGATGTCTCTCCCCTGACACCCAAACACGAAGCCGGCCGGTGTGCCTTTCGGGGCCAATGTGGCAAGCAAAGTTTCTTCGGCAAGGAGCTGCCATGCGTCGACAACGATGTGGCCAAAGAACCCGCCGCAGATCTGCGAAAGGAGCTTGTCGACCTCTGCGGAGCCGAATGGAATGATGGACCGGTGTGTTGCACACTGGAACAGGTAAACTCTGCCTGCTATCCCGGCAACTGCAATGTAGTTAGCTGACTTGGTGCCAGGTTCGATCTCTCAAGTCCGAGCTCGGCACGCCCAACACACTTATCGGATCGTGTCCGGCCTGCAAATACAATTTCTTCAACATGTTTTGCAAATTTACATGCTCTCCCGACCAGTCCCTCTTTGTCAATGTTACGGATGCTGCCCCTAAAAACGGCAAGCTGCTCGTGACTGAGCTCGACCAACTCATTTCCGACGAGTATGGCACTGGCCTGTATGATAGCTGCAGGGAAGTCAAGTTTGGTGGCGCAAACAGCCGTGCCATGGACTTGATTGGAGGTGGCGCTAAGAATTATCATCAAATGCTCAAATTCTTGGGCGACAAGAAACCGCTGGTCGGATCTCCCTTTCAAATCAACTACCCCGAATCATACCAAGAACCCAACATGGGCCCGTTGGGTATGACGCCGAAGAAGTGCAACGACGAAGATCCCGACTACAGGTGCGTTTGCGTCGACTGTCCCGCCGTATGCCCCGAGTTGCCAGCCGTGGTAAAGCCTGGATATTGTCATGTAGGCGCTCTGCCTTGTCTCTCCTTTGCCTCCATCCTCGCCTATTCCGTGCTGCTCTTTGTCTTTGGTTCCTCGGTATTTGGTCATGTTGCATGGAGACGTTATGCGCAGCATCGAGTGGAAAGAACTAGACTGCTGCATGAGTCCTCTCACAGCGACGATGAAGACGAGGGTGGGCCGGTTTTGACCGAAGTCATGAGAGATCGCCCTACCAAGCGGTATTGGATCAATGACAGGTGCGATGACTTGTTTTACCGGCTTGGCCATACTGCATCCCGCTTCCCCGGCCTTATCATCGGCACGAGTCTCTTGGTCGTGGCAATCCTAAGCGCTGGATGGTTCAAATTTGACCTTGAAAAGGAGCCAGCAAGGCTTTGGGTCAGCCCGTCCTCGCCGGCTGCGCAGGAGAAGGCATACTTCGATTCCAACTTCGGACCCTTCTACCGCGCTGAAAAGATCTTTCTGGTGAATGACACGCGGCCTGCCGGCCCTGGACCAGTGCTCAGTTACGATACTCTCAAATGGTGGGCCGAGGTCGAGAAGAGCATCGCGCAGCTAGAGAGCAAGACTTACGCGAAGAACCTTCAAGACGTTTGCTTCAAGCCGGCAAACGATGCCTGTGTGGTCCAGTCAGTCACCGGCTACTGGTCCGCCAAGGGTGGCGTGATCAACCCCAAGACTTGGAAAGACGATCTTCGCCAGTGTGCCAATACCCCCGTCGACTGCCGACCCGAGTTTGGCCAGCCTATCGAACCGCGCATGGTGTTTGGAGGTTACGAGGATGATGTCACAGAAGCACAGGCAATCACGGCTACTTGGGTCATTCGGAATGCAGCAGAGGGCAGCTTTGTCCAACTGGCAGCCATCGATTGGGAAAATTCACTCCGAGACCGCTTGCTCGAGGCGCAGGAAGAAGCCCGAGACCGGGGCTTGCGATTGTCCTTCAACACTGAAATCAGCCTGGAAGAAGAACTCAACAAATCAACAAACACTGATGCCAAGATTGTAGTGATAAGCTACATTGTCATGTTTATCTACGCTTGCATGGCGCTTGGCACACCCTTCAAGCATGTGTTCAGAAACCCGGCACTGCTACTCGTTGAGTCGAAAGTAACACTGGGATTACTGGGCATCATCATCGTCCTCATGTCGATTGCGGCGTCGATCGGCTTCTTCTCCTGGGTCGGCCTGAAGGCGACGTTGATTATTGTCGAGGTCATTCCATTTATTGTCTTGGCCGTCGGTGTGGACAATATCTTCCTTATCGTCCATGAGTTTGAAAGAGTCAATGTGAGCTGCCCCGATGAAATGGTCGAAGAACGTGTTGCAAGAGCACTCGGCCGTATGGGCCCATCGATTCTGTTTTCTGCCCTGACCGAAACCGTTGCATTTGGCCTGGGCGCCGCAGTAGGCATGCCTGCAGTGCGTAACTTTGCCGCGTATGCAGCCGGGGCGGTGCTGGTCAACGCCATCCTGCAAATGACCATGTTTGTGTCATTCCTGTCGCTGAATCAAATGCGGGTAGAGGACCATCGATGCGAGCTGTGGCCATGGTGGCAAATCAAGAAGGCTAGAATCCACCTGAATGGCAGCAACAGCTACGTGGGAGGCGGAAGAGTCTCCGAAATTGAAGAGGAAAGCTTTTTGCAGGTCTTCATCAAGAACACATACGCCCCTACTTTATTAGCCAAGAAGGTCAAGGTGGGCGTTGTCACACTCTTCCTCGGCCTATTCGCCACTGCCTTGGCTTTGCTACCTCAAATCGAGATCGGGCTCGACCAGCGAGTAGCCATTCCCGATGGATCATACTTAATCCCCTATTTCAATGACTTGTACGACTACATGGAAACCGGGCCACCTGTATACTTTGTCGCCCGCAACTTCGACGTATCGCACAGAAAAGAGCAACAGGAGGTCTGCTCGAGATTTACTACCTGCCACGAGCTCTCGCTTACGAATACCTTGGAACTTGAAAGGCAACGGCCGAATGTATCATACATTTCGTCTCCAACCGCAAGTTGGATGGATGACTTCTTCCTTTGGCTGAATCCGATTTATGAACGGTGCTGCGTGAAGAATCACACAACATGTTTTGCAGGACGAGAACCTGCGTGGAACACTACTCTCTACGGAATGCCAGAGGATGAGGAATTCATTCGCTATCTTCACAAGTTTCTCGACACCCCTGCGGATGACGATTGCCCACTAGGGGGCCAAGCAGCTTATGTCGATGCCGTGGTTATTTCCGATGACGACAAGAGCGTCATCGCTAGTCATTTTCGATCTGCACATACACCACTTCGCAGCCAAGCCGACTTTATCAATGCATACTCATCAGCTCGTCGCATTGCATCCGATATCAGCAGGAGAACTGGGGCCGATGTCTTCCCATACAGCGTGTTCTACATCTTTTTCGACCAGTACCTAACCATTGTCCCACTCACTGCCGCTCTGTTATCTGCTCTGGTTGGCCTGGTTTTTGTCGTGGCCTCGATACTTCTGGGATCCGCCCTCACCTCGGCTGTACTCACCGCCACCGTAATCATGAGTGTTGTTGATATTATGGGAGCTATGGCAGTCTTTGGGGTTTCTCTAAACGCCGTGTCCTTGGTCAATCTCATCATCTGCGTGGGAATATCAGTCGAGTTTTGCGCTCACATTGCTCGTGCATTCATGTTCCCGTCAAGAACCGTCATGGAGAGTAACAACACAACTCTCCTGGGGCGCGACGCGAGATCTTGGACGGCACTTGTCAATGTTGGGGGCTCTGTCTTCTCTGGCATTACGGTCACAAAACTTCTGGGAGTCTGCGTCTTGGCATTTACTCGTTCCAAAATCTTCGAGATCTACTACTTCCGAGTGTGGTTGGCGCTGGTCGTCTTTGCAGCCCTGCATGCACTGGTGTTCTTACCAGTTGCGCTCAGTTTCGCCGGCGGAAACGGCTACGTCGACCCTGAAAGTGAAGGTACTGCCGCTCAGGATTTGACTGACAGGAGATGGCGTGCTATTCGAGTGCACGATAACAGTGATTCCGAAGACGAGGATGATTAAGTGTGTTGGAGCGTTGTTTGTCCACTGCAGCTTTTCGCGAGGATCTAGCGTACGTTGCGCTGCTGCTAAAGTCTGGCGCATCGGAACAGGTATTACGGCAAGAGTTTTGTTTCCATTGGATATTTGGTATACGAAGTATTTAGATACACGCGAATAAGGGCAATTTCTTTTGCTGGCATGGTTCCTTTATCCATGTACACGGTCTAACAACTTGACCGCCTCTCCCCGACTTTCTTTATTTCTCTATCTTGTGTCTTGCCAGCGCGCGGTGTTACTCCTGCCGCAGGCTACTTAACACATCAGTTCAAGGACAGGTATGACTCGTGGGTAGCTTTTTACATTAGCCGGCCCAGAATCGAGATACTCTTGTAACCTTGCAGACAGAGGAGGATTTCGTATCGCGCTAATGGCTGTCTTATCTGCGGCCGAAGCCCCGGCTTGGTCGAGCATAGGCAGCTCAGGGATAGTCCAGCAGAAGATCCTCGTCACCATCATGTCCCGGCTCGAGATCCAGGCTCAGGGACAACGGCGAGGGCGTTCCGGGCCTCCGCCATCTCGACCCTGACAGCCCATCAGCACGCGGCTGACCCCCGGGGCAAGACAGACCAGCAGCTGAGGCGAGCCTCCTCGTCACGTCGGCCTTGCTCTTTTGTCTGCCGGCATGCGCGGTGCTGGAGATGCCGGGAGCGTGCGACCCCCGCGTCAGCTTGACACGATCCATGACGCCCATCATGAATCGGGCGCAGTCCTCGGGGTATTCCTGGCCATCGCGTCCTACAAACACGGCATTATACTCGTTGTACGGGTTCTTGAGGCCACTGAGCTGCGAGAAGGGCGTTTCGGACTCGTTGAGCCAGTCGATGCGGAACGGGGCCGTGGTGTGCATGTTCATTGTGGTGTGCACGATCCAAGGGGGCTGCGGGATGCCACGGTCAGGGGCGGACGTCATCTTTGCCTACGGCCGCGACGTTAATTCGGAAGGGAAGGCGTGGGTTTGCGGAGCGTGGACTCACGTATCCCTGAAAGGCTTTGGACTTGTTGATCGAGAAGAAGAGCACGACGGACCTGCATTCTCGGAAGGCTTGAGTGAAGAGGGGACCGTTTTTGGCTTGTGTTATCCATAGGCCCTGGTGTAGTTAGCGTTGCCGTGTCGTCGTGATTCTCATTCGGTTCGGTTGCGTGCCGGCCGGCGACTTACATCCCTCCGGGACATGTAGACGTTGGTCGTGTTGGACGATTTGACTAGAAAGTAGCGGCTATCTGTGAGGCTAGTTTAGCAAGTAAGCAGGGCCCACGACATGTGTATCGATGAACTTGCCCTGCCTGGCTCCCGTCCTGTTGGGTAGCTGCTTCGTTTCTCCCAGCATGGGCAGGATTGCATCTGCGCGGCTACTCGCGTAGGCACCTGGCTCACATGGCAGGCTGACGGCTCCGTGGACCGCGTCTTCTCTGGTGTGCCGCTTCTTCTGTATGGAGGTTGAGTTGGCGGAGGGGCAGGGCTCAGAGGCGGGCTGCCCCGACGGCTTGCTGCTCTGAATCTTTTTGAGGACCTTGGCCTTTTCTGCTTCCAGGCCGTGCAGTTCTCTCACGCCGTCGAGGACTCGCTTCCGGTGGGCGAGGTCGAAGAACCCGGTGTGATCGAGCCACAGCTTCAGCTCGTCGTCAACCACGAGAAGTTTTTGGGGTGCGGCGTCAGACGGTGTGCCCGAGCTGTCGGTGGGTGTGGTGTTGGAAGGGTCCGGAGCAGACTCGTTGGCGTTGTCGTGTTCTGTCATATTTGTAAATGACACGAGAAGTGCATGGGCCGGGAAACCTGAGGAGTTGTGAGAGCGTGAGGTTGAGGTGTCAATTTGAAGAGAACAAAGACGCACGAGAGGGCTTGCTGTCGTTTATATAGGTACGACGTAAGCTTTTCCCACTTCGTCTTGTGTCCGCTCGTGAGAACATGATTCAGAGGAGACACAAGTGAAGAGACGCGCAGCGCAGTTGGGGAGCAAAAGTTGGAAGAAGCCACACATTGGTACAGGTGCCTTGAGCTGCATCTCCATGCTCTAATCACTTGACAGGCTTTCAAGAACAACATATGTTCTGTGAGCTCGAGGTGACGTTGTTTCACGCGACGGACGGAGAACGCACGTGGACGAAGCGCTATTGTTCTGTGCGCCTTGGTCAGCTTTGGTGTTTCTCAATTATATCACGATATGTGCGAGTCAGACGAGATTTTCTGTCCATGTGATGGGCTCGAATTGAATCAAACGAAGCAAGACGGGCTTTATCGTGATCAAATGCTCAAGTTGCCTTGGTATTGACGTAATGCTTTAGGCGGGTGGTAAAAAGGAAGCAAAGAGACCGCCCTGGATTCCGCCGTACATGACCATGAAAATGACAATGGCCATCCCGTATCCTTGCCTATCTTTATCCATCAAACAGCTGCCCACCCACCAATACCAAACGGGATATCCTGACGAGATGCGTGTGATGATTTGAACATGATAGGTGGTGATGGCCAGGACTGCAATGACGGCCTGACTCGCGGCCAAAGCCCGCACAAAAGTATTCAGGTCTGATTCCGCGGCGCTTCTTCTCGAGGCGCTAGTAATTCGCTGGGGCTCCCTCACGAACTCAATGCCGGACTTGATCAGGATTGCCAGCATAGGGCTTGCCAGCAAGAACAACGGGAGCTGGTTCAACGTCCAATATCTCAAGAACCCCACATTCCTATGCCATCAAGTCAGCGCGGGATAGCCTCCTCCATCAGTAACGAAATGTACATACCAATAATGATGTTGCACAAATGTGTAAATGCTGGGAATCACATTCTCGCACCAGGGACGCCGAAGGCCATCCGAGCCACAGTACCTTATCCACGCCAAAGTCTGTGGCACCACCGACCCAGCTGCGACAGAGAGCCCTCCAAAGACCGGGGCTACCATTGACGACAGGATACACAAGCTCGGGGCTTGGGCGAACTGCCGGAGCGCTTTCACTGCTTCGACAGCAAACAAGAGCCCGCTCGCGAGCCCGTTACTACGGAAAGCAGTAGCAACACCGAACAAGATCCCCGATGCCATCATTGACGCGTTCCGTTTAGCTGTGCTTGCCTTGCTTCTGAGACTAGTGGCGAACAACAGGTTCCCCATGAACGAGAGCCCGGCAAACGGGCTCTCGTTATATGGCGCGGAGAGGAACAAGCCGGCCGGTGACAGGATGTGTAAGGTGCAAGAGATGAATGCGAGTTTGGCATTTCCGGAAAGAAGCAAGGTGAGACGGTGCAATGCCAGCACGGCAACCAAGTGTGATATGTGCGCAAGAGCAATGCCAACTACTGGCTCAAGGGCATAGTTTTCAGGCGTGATGGACGACAAGGACCTCGAAATGGCCCCGACAGTGGTCGGAAGGCCCAGACCAAAGGCCCATTCCTGTTCGTAGGTGTAGCCCTGGATGGTTGAGTGCATAAAGTACAGCGCGTCCCATCGCGTCAATCTGGCGGCGACGGTTGGGATGGTCGTGTTGGCACCGTACACGCGGCCGAAGAAGAGAGACGTGGATGTGTCATAGTCGGGAGCGACAGAGGCGCCAAGAGATATGGCCAAGAGAAAGCCCTTCCATAGTATGAAGAGGGCTGTCAGTGAGCGGATTGGTCGTGACGGGGAGAACATGCGTGTTGTCATGGTGGACGTTGACGACGTTGGATGATGAAGTGCTGGTTTCCATTCCGTCATCGGCAGCGACTATACTGTTTGCCTTTGGAAAATGAGACGCCTTAGCAAGGGTATTCTGGTCAGCGAGGTCTATTACTTGGGCAGAGGCATGTTTCTGTTGAATTGAAATACTCGAATTGGGGAAGCTGTGTGACGATGCCCTGAAAGATGATGTTTCTTTGGTCTGGACTTCGAAGCGTGCGTCCTTGTAAGTTGCAACTGGCTCGCGTGTGGCTGACAACGTGCAGGGTCATGTGGCTTGATACACGTACCAGCCACAAACCATGGAAGCTGATCGATTCATGTGCACTCTGCCTCAACACAAGAGTTGTTTGTATGTCGGGTACTTCGAAGTGATGGGGAGATTTGAGACCGCATCAGACGTGTTCAGTCGGAATCCGGAACATTCAACGCGACATCCGATGGAGCTACGCATTCACGCATTCACTCGACGAGTTCCCTCCCTCAATCAACCCTCCGCCTCTCAAAACTCCTCACCTCAAGGCATCACCATCATTTTTCTTCACGGTCGAGGCTTCAATGCCCAGAAGTTTCGTGGCCCACTACTCCGGACCGACATCTGCAATCGTACGCTCCAAGAAGCACTCCCTCACACACCTTCGTGCTTCCAATGGCCCCGCTTTCCAGAGCTACAAAGTATTGCCGTACGACGATGCATCAATGGTATGATGGCTCTGGTGATTGGGGGCCAGACTTGGGGCGGCATGCAGCCCAGCACACGGTGTATTTCTACCTCCTTCGCCCTGGATATATATTTCAGATCTTCTCGCCCTCCAAAATCGATTTTGCCTCCTCAGTCGTCCACCAACTGACTCCCTTCTCCCCTGGATACGCAAACTTATCCATACTCGTCCTCTTCATCTCCACACTGTACCCAGGCTCCATGGGCGTCTGGTAGTAGCCGGCCTTGATGACAGACGGGTGCAAGAAATGTTCATGCAAATGGTCGACATACTCGAGCACGGAAAGCTTCCCGCTCACGACTACATAGTCAATTGTGCTTCGGTGCTGTGTGTACTCTGGAAGGCCAACTCCTCCTGAATGAGGAACAACCGGCACCCCATACTTCTTGGCCATGAGCAACACAGCCATGACCTCGTTGACGCCACCGAGACGGCAGGCATCGATCTGACAGACATCGATGGCGTCATTCATGAGCATCTGCTTGAAAATGACACGGTTTTGGACCATCTCGCCAGTAGCAACGCCAATACCATATGGTTTGAGGGCTTCGCGAACAGCCTTGTGGCCGATGATGTCGTCGGGGGACGTGGGCTCTTCGATGAACCATGGCTTGAAGTCGGCAAGCTGCTTCATGTGGTCGATGGCGTCGGGGACAGACCAGATCTGATTCGCGTCGACCATGAGAATATTGCCTTTGTCGTAGCCGAGGACGTCCCGGGCAATGGTTAAGCGGCGCTTATCTTCCTCCACGCTACCGCCGACCTTGAGCTTGAAGTGCTTGTAACCTTGCGCAAGCGTCTCCCTTAGGAGGGTCTTCATCTTTTCTTCGCTGTAACCCAGCCAGCCTGCGCTGGTGGTGTAGGCGGGCACGGCCTTGCTGTTGAGAGCTTCCCGGATGCGGTTCGCCTTTCCGCCTTGCTCTTGCTTCAGCATGGCAAGAGCTTCTTCCGGGGTGATGGCGTCGGTAATGTAGCGAAAGTCGATGCACTCGACGTATTGCTCGGGCGTCATGTCGGCAACGATTCTCCAGACGGGCTTTCCGAGCACTTTCCCCCAAAGGTCCCAAAGGGCATTCACGACGGCGCCAAGTGCAAGGTGAATGACACCCTTTTCAGGTCCGATCCAGCGCAGTTGGCTGTCAGACACCAGGTAACGCCAGGTGGCTCCCCAGTTGGCCACGAGAGACGACAGCGTTTTGCCCTTTAGACGCTCAGCGACGTGGACGATGGCTGCACAGACAATGTCGTTTCCGCGTCCAATTGTGAAGGTCTAATCGGGGAGGCATATGGTGTTAGCGTGTTGTTTGCCGCTCACAAAAGCTGTGAAGACGTCTGTTCAGAAGCGACTCACCATGCCATGGCCAGAGTATTGCGAGTCGGTCTGCAAGATACAGTAGGCGGACGAATAATTACAAGCGGCGTTCATGGCATCGGAGCCGGTCCTGTCCAGCGATGTGGGAAACCGCACATCACGGGTTTCAAAGGCGGTAATTGTGATTTCTCGCGTCATTGCTAGCAGCCTGCATATGTTTACCGTCTGTTGTTGTATCGCCAGCGGTTCGAGTGTGAAGAAGGCTCAGGCTTAGGGCTCCAGGCCGTCGTTCAAATACGAGACGTGATACTTTGAATTCCACGACGCATCCGAACCACGGTCATTAGCTAGTGTACTGTTGAAGCTCGGGACAGGTGGGCTTCAGCTCTGGACAGGTTGGGTTTATATTGCGTCGCACATTGATGCTCTCATGCCTTGGATTCCAACTGGGATGCGGGGGAATTTGGGGAAATGCTCTGCTGTGGAGACCGACGCCGGCATGCAATCCCGATTCCCGACGGTCAACTTTTGCCGTCGGGCTTTTACAACATGTCGACTGCAGACTCCCCGGAACAACGACGCAAACAGCAGAATGACCATTCAACATGGCTTTTTTTGGTGGTTGAGATGCTGCGCGGATTGGGGACCGGGCATCGACGAGCATACTGAAACAAGGTTACGGCTCCGGCCGGAATGCATCATCAGGATCATCAGAGTGAGCGGCAACTAAATTTGACCACGAGACTCACTCCGGACGCACCACCACCGACTTGGATGTTGGCTTGCGCCTCATATATATCTCTTTTTCTCTCTGCCTCGTGTTCGCACCCAAGGGGCGGTCGTTCTTGGCTTCACTTGATACAAACTAGTGCGTGGTCCGTATTGGTTACGCACTAATCAGTACTAACTCGGGTTATTGACCTCAATTCACTCCTCCAACCAGTGCGTGTGTGCTTTTTTAGGAAACATTCAAGGCAGCCAACAATCAACATGGCATCGGCGCCACCAGTGGCTTGGCTTCGCTCGCCTGGCACGTCGAGGCAGTGCAGTTTGGCCAAGCCCCCAACTCGAGGAGGGCCCGAATAGCCACCAGGGCCACTTCTTGGTTGGAGCGTCACGATATGACAATGCAGCGCCCTCCAAGGTGAAGATGATGCGAGTTGCGTTGGACTTGGCATCAACATCTGTGTACTCCGTACCCTGGTGCCACCGATCAGACGCCACTTTGCCTACCACTCGTTGAATCGTCTGTCTGGGCTGTGTGGCGGCTGGCCGTTGCGGGTTTTGCATCAAAGTTCAATTTCCCCGGGGTAGCACGAAATAATAAATAGTTGTACGGAGTACCGGAGCCGCCGAGTCTGGTTTCGAGGATCTTTCCAATCCTATGCGGCACATCGACTGTAGTGTCGTGTGAGCGCTGCCAAGTTTGCTCCTGACACCCTCTTTCTCTCTCTCTTTTCTTTGCTTCCGACACGTAATCGAGACCATTGAGAAGAAATGTCTTTACAGTGTCCCGTTAGTCCCGTTTCCAGCCATGGCTCCTTGTCACCGACTGCGGCAAATAGACGACACTCGAGACGATCGCTCATCATGTTGGTGAGTAGCCTGAAACCTACACGGCAGAAGCTACACAAGTATTTCGCAAGATCCAAGTCCCCTTGTCCCGACGAGATCAAAGACTGGAACTCAGTCCATCGAAGCTCAGCTATCAGGATGGCCAGTGTGCAGACGAGAACCTTGGGTGATCCCAGGATGCCCATCTCACCTGTCGTCCACGACTCAACGTATATACCATCATTGGTGTCTGCAACAATCCGCAACGACCTCACGCAGGAACGCAAATTCGAGATCCATTACGAGCCCGAGCCATTGGCTTTAGGCTCCTTTCTTGGACCCCCTCGACAGCCGCCGCAGCAGCAGCAGCCAAGTCGCCCTCCACAGATATCTCAACCAGATCGACTTCCTCCGTCTCCTTCCGCCGTTAAATTTTCGCAGCCAGCTGAAGCGGCATCGTCTTTCCTGGGGCCTCCGCAGCCTCGTATAATACGCGGTCCTTCTGTCAAAAAACCTCGGTCCATCTCAGTCACTCGAAGAAGGGCCAAGACCCCGGTTCTCAAAGTTGGACAACTGGAGATGGCAGCTGGACGGAAACGACAAGAAGCCGCCATCAACAGAGAGTTAAGCGTTCGAACTATCGCACGACAATACCGTGCGCTAATTGACGATGTGGAAATCTCCGACGTTCCCTCCATCCCGGCCGTCCACCGCAGGCCCTTGGTGGACTCTGCATCGCCGCATTTGCACGACGTCGACAACGACCACACACCCACTCCATGTCGGCCGGCAAGGAGCCCATCTCGAGCTGAAGGCCGCCTGGAAAAGCCAAGGGCTCTATGTGAGAAGACTCCATGGCCTGAATCTGACGCCGAGACATTGGCGTCATCCCACGATGCCTCTCCACATATAAACCTGCTCAAACCCAGCTTTTCGCCACTTCCGACGCCGGTCGTCGAGGACGACGACTACATCCAATCGCCGGATGCAGGGACGTCGCGCTTCCAAATTGGTTTCGACATGTTGGCACGCGAGTTATCCACCGCCGTTGCGGACCGTTCGTCCCGCGTGGGGAGAGACGCCTCTGGTCTCCAGATCTGGGTCATGATTGAGGCGTATGAGAGATTGAGAGACCAGGTCTGTTCAATGGAGACGCGGGATCCAGAACTCCAGTGTGCGAGGGCCATGTTTGATTCGTGGTTGGCTGCTTTGAGGGCGATTCACAAGACGATTGTGGGTGAGGGGGCCGAAAGTGAAAGTGAGTATGGAGATGAGGGTGATTAGATGTAGATGTGACAGGATGCGTCTATTTGTGGTATGCTTGTCAAGACTGGTAATATGTTGGTTGGTCTGTCTTTGTCTTGCGCGCAACGACTTTGGGACTGCGATTAGAAACCCTACCGCAACCCTAACCCTGTGTAGCGCCTTTGAGCGGGGCGTGCGTGTCGAGCATGCCTTGTTCTCACTACCCATCACATGTTGATCTCCATGGTGATGCTGCCGGTTCATACTGCATCGAGGCTTTATCTTGACACGATGAAATCTAAATCTCTGCAGTGTAACCTGAACATGGCAGATTGGGTTGGTTGTTGAGTCTTGACAGCCTGTGGGGCTGGCCGGACGGAGACATCCAGGGTAGGTGGCTCTCTCCAGCGTTTCTTCGTTTCTCCGACAAAGCGCAGCGTCAACGTTTGCCCAAGACGCCGCCCAGAACAAGGCTCCGGGTTGCATCTCGCCCCCCAGCCGCGCCCTCCGATCGCTTCCATCACAGGGACAGACGTAATGGAGGACGACTACGGCGCCGACGAGGCCCTCCTCGCGGCCATGGCTGCCGCCGACGCAGCCCCGTCGACTCGCACGACGGTTCGGCAGCCGGTCCCTCAAAGGATTCAACAGCCCAGGCCGCAACGACTGGACAAAGCACCGCCCGTCAATGCGTCCAGGACCAAGGTTGTGCAGCCCACGCCACAGGCTCTCCCGCAGAAACAAACGGGCGGATCGACCATCCTGGTATCTCCTCGCCAGAGAGGGAACCCAGTGCTCGCGTCGATACGATCGTTGCCATGGGAGTACAGTGATATTCCAGCCGACTTTGTCCTGGGGCTCACGACTTGCGCACTGTTTCTGAGGTAAGGACAACTTTTGTTGGGAGGCCAAAAAAAAAAGGAGAGACTAGGCTGCAAGATTTGGTTTCTGACGCTGCGTTTTGGTGCAGTCTCAAGTATCACCGACTCCATCCCGAATACATCTACACACGCATACGAAACTTGCAAGGCAAATACAACCTACGCATACTGCTCACCATGGTGGATATACCCAATCACGAAGACTGCCTACGGGAGCTCTCCAAGACGTCGCTCGTGAACAACGTCACCATCATCTTGTGCTGGTCGGCTGCCGAGGCGGGCCGGTACCTCGAGTTGTACAAGTCGTACGAAACGGCGAGCTTTGCAGCCATCCGCGGGCAACAGTCTTCCAGCTACGCCGACAAGCTGGTCGACTTTGTGACGGTGCCCCGAAGCCTCAACAAGTCTGACGCCGTCGCGCTCGTTGCCAACTTTGGCAGTCTGAAGAATGCCATCAACGCGGAGCAGGAGCAGCTCGGAATGATCAGCGGGTGGGGAGGCGTCAAGGTCAAGAGGTGGTCGGATGCAATCGAGGAGCCGTTCCGGGCAAAGAAGGCGGCCAAGCGGGGCATGCAGCCGGCGAAGCTGGGAACCCAGCAGGCAAGCATCAGCGAGGGCGGCCAGCATGCAGGACGGGTGTCGCGGTTGGAAGAGGCCGTGCCGCTTTCGAGAGTGCCTCTCAGAGATATGCCTGCCACGACGGCTGGTTCTGGTGCGTCTTCGGCAACGGGGACGCCACATGGGGGCACGCCGAGCAGCGCATCTGCGCCAAAGCAGTTCCGCTTCCTGGACGACCAGGTTGGGGACGGGGACGGGGACGAGGACGACGATGCGGCGGAGGCTCTTGCGGCGGCTGCTGTTGGAGATTCGAGAGCGTCTTTGCAGCCAGCCGAGGAACATTCCGACTCGGGCCGGGCAACGGGCGCGGAGCGCGTGGAGGATGATGGGTTGAGTGGTGGCGTTGCGGCAGCTCTCGCCAAACTGCGTGAGAATGGTTGAGCCGACAGCATCAACGAGGCATTCGAAATGCTCAACGGCGCAACGGGGGACGGCGTCCCCAGGCTGCGGCGAATAATAGACAAGGCGCGCCGAGATGGCGAATGCGCAGCAAAAGTGCCGAAAGCACGGGCGCAACACTCATCACCAGAAATGATGCTGCCGAGATGCAAGATGCAGCGCCACGATGAACATGGACACTCCGGGGCCACATACACACACATACCGGTATTGGCTCTCCACCAGTTTTGTTTGCCTCTTTTCAACCTGCACGGTGATTGGCTCGGCTACAAGTTCAAAAATGTTGCCAAGTCGGCCATCGAATGTTGTGCCGCAGAACAGAATCGGCCTCAGCCAGCCAGCGGGCCCGCCCTTGTTGCTTGTATTTCAAAGGCTTTGACGGAACTCGAATGTCGCTGTCGACTCGGCATTGGGCCACCATGGCGTCTCGACTGTCGAGTAGGGCACGGCCCGTCGTCGGAAAGCTTGTTCCCCCTGGACGTCCGTCCACGTCTCCGTTGGAAGCGAACGTCGGCGACTTTGTTTCCCGTCTCGCCGGTCGTCGACGGCGCATGGACTAGGTTGATGATGTGGAGATTGACGTTGCGTTGCGTCTCCCCAAACGCCGTTGCGGGACGTGACAATGCAAAGTAACGCTCCCAGAGGACAAGCCGGCACGAGGACGACATCACGCTCCGTCGCACGGCATGTGCTGCGAAGTGTCTTTGAGACAAAGTCTCGGGTTGGTGCGTCTAGTTCGCGTTTTTTTCTCTGCCCACCGTTGTTGTGTTGCCCTTGGGACCCCAGAGGCTCATGGAACCGGCCAAAACAACACACGTTGTTGTCCCCCCTTGTGCTGCTCTGCTCTGCTCTGCTCTGCTCTGCTCTCCTCTGCTCAGCCGGGACAAGAGTCGGCCGCAGGGTTGCATCAACCAACTCCCTTGGCATTTCCACCATCCATTGGCACCATGGCTTGCAAGCACCGGCCACCGGCGAACCTTGAATGATGCCGTCAGATGATGCAGGACCTCGAGAACCCTGCAAGCCCGTCTCTCGGGTCCCCCCTCCCCCGCACACGTACGGGGCTACACAGACCATATGTCGCCGGCACTTTATCATGCAGGTGTACCGAGCATGCTGTGTTTATGAGTCTAGAGCTCGTCGGCTGGCGTCAGGGTAGCATTGAGCACAAGATCCGTGACCAGGTCAGTCACTCTTTAGTCTGTTGGAGTGTCTTGCTTTTTTCCCGGCAACACTCGTACTACATGGAGTTGAACGAGCAATAAAAGGACAACGCAGGACAGGGGCACCGTCTCACGATTGTCACGATGCGCCAAATGACACCTTCCCAGAACAGTCTTCGTCTTGGCCCCGTCCATTCGTACCTCCTTTGGCATTGTGTTTGCGTGTTTTTTTTTATTTATTTTTTTATGTTATGATTCCAGGGGTCCATCTTTTTATGGACTTGTAATCATTCCCAATCTGCCGCCCTGCCCCTTGTCGTGACGCCATGTCTTGGACACCCGACATGAAGATGCTGCCGCGACACGACCCGTAGACACGAGAATGCTGGCCGTGCTATAAATATCGGAGAGCCTGCTGTGTCTCGCTGTCAATCCCCATGTGCTCCTTGGTGTTGATCAGGCCCTGTTCGCTCCGGTTGCGTTTGCGAAAACATGCGCTTGTCCAACAGGTCGATGCTCGTCCTGGCGCTGGCTGGCGCGGCCATGGCCATGCCAGCCAGACGTGCGTCTACGCCTCCCGTGGCCGACCATGCCAAGGCCCGTCATGTCAAGGAGGCCTTTGAAATCTCGTGGAATGGCTACTACAAGCACGCCTTCCCTCACGATACCCTGCACCCCGTGAGCAACGGCTTCGAGGACGACCGGTAGGTCCATGTCCCGACACCCTCTTGAGCGCGGCACCGTCCTGACGTCGTACTTGTCCAGGGCCGGATGGGGGGTGACTGTCGTCGACGCGCTCGACACGGCCATCATCATGAACAGCTTGGATATCGTGACGCCCATGCTGGACCACATCGCCAAGATTGACTTCACGACGACCGCCAAGGCCGACGACTCCATTTCGCTCTTTGAGACCAACATCCGGTACCTGGGTGGCCTGCTATCCGGTGAGTTTGAGACGTGGCGCCAGAAGCTCGAGGCGGACAGACAGCTAAATGCCTTCTCTCACCTCGCCAGCGCACGACCTGCTCAAAGGCCCCTACCAGCACCTGGGAGTCGATCCGCCCAGGGTCGACATGCTCCTGACGCAAGCGCGCTCCCTCGGCGACAGCCTCAGCGTGGCATTCGACACGCCGAGCGGCATTCCGGACCCGACCATTGTCCTGAACCCCGCCAGGAGGAACAGCGGCGCCGACCGGAACAACATCGCCGAGATTGGGACCCTGGTGCTCGAGTGGACGCGTCTCAGCGACCTGAGCGGGAACCAGACGTACGCCGAGCTGGCGCAGAGGGCGCAGGACTATCTCCTGCGTCCCAGCGGAGCGCCCGAGGCGTGGCCGGGCCTCGTCGGCACCTGGGTCAGCACCAGGGACGGCAGCTTCTTGGACAGCAGTGGCGGCTGGTCGGCCTACGACGACAGCTTCTACGAGTACCTGATCAAGATGTACGTGTACGACCCCGGCGCGTTTGGCGAGTACAAGGACCGCTGGGTTGCGGCCGTGGACTCGACCATGGAGCACCTCGTGTCGCACCCGACGACGCGCAAGGACCTGTCTTTCCTGTCTTCGTACAGCGGGCAGAAGACGACCCCGTCCTCCGGACACTGTGAGTGAGAAGAGGCGGAAGGAGAAGAAGAAAGAGGGGAGAAATCCCCCCTTCCCCTCTCTCCTTCTCCGTCATTTCCTCCCCTCCCCCCGGGTGAGCGAGTCCCACGCGCTGACGCGACCCTTTGCAAAAAAACACAGTGGCCAGCTTTGCCGGCGGCAACTTTATCCTGGGCGGCATCATGCTCGGCGAAGAGAAGTACAAGCAGCTCGGGCTGCGAATCACCGAGTCCTACTACGAGACGTACGTCCGGGAGGCGGCGGGCATCGGCCCCGAGGGCTTCAACTGGGTCGACGCCGCCCTGCCGAGCGACGACCCGGGCAACAGGTCGCCGCCCGCGGACCAGGCCGACTTCTACAACAAGACGGGCTTCTACAACACGGCGCCGTACTACATCCTGCGCCCGGAGACGGTCGAGTCGCTCTACTACGCGTACCGGCTGACGGGCGACGCCAAGTACCAGGCCATGGCGTGGGCGGCGTTCCAGCAGATCCGCAGGCTGTGCCGCGTCAACGATGCCTACGCCGAAATCGGCGACGTGTCCGACAGCAGCGGCGGCGGCTTCGTCGACCAGATGCAGAGCTTCTGGATGGCCGAGACGCTCAAGTACCTCTATCTCATCTTTGCGGCCGACGGGCCGGTGCATGTGCAGGGCCAGGGCGCCACCAACAAGTTTGTGTACAATACCGAGGCGCACCCCGTCGCGGTGCGGGCGTCAGGGTAGCAAGTCTAATTGTAAAGCACGTAACTACTATGTAGTGGCCTGCCACGGAGCGCTTGTGCCACGTACAATGCATGTCCGGCTCATCGTTTCCCCTGCTGCGTGCGTGCTACTGTACATTCCCACGAGGGGGTGGTGGCTCTTGATGGCAGACATGTCCTACGTGACGCGGCATCATGCGCCGCCCTCCCGCTTGGCGTATTCCTCCTCCATGGCCTCTTTGTACATCGCGTCTGCTTCTTCTGCTTCTGCCTCCTCCTCCTTTGTCCTGGGTCTCGCCGTGCCGGTCGTCGGAGCGCCTTGACGGGCTGACTTGTGCGTCGGGACCGGGGTTGTTGTGGAGCCGGGCTTGTAGACGGGTAGACCCATGTCCTTTTTTTTCTTCTTGTGAATGGATGGATGGATGCGGATGAAATGGATAGAGTTGTCTCTTCGGAAGATGTGATGCGAAAGATGCGGATTCGAGGGTTGGAAATTAGGCTTGATATGATACTCCTACTCCATGACTAATACGGAGTACCTGTCCTCGCGGTCGGCAAGTGGCAAGTGGCAAGTGGCAAGGGTAATTTTATTTTATTCTTATTCCGTCAAAGCGGGGCCGAAACCGGCTTGATGACGAGCTTTCTGTCTCGTGGCGAACCGGATCTTCCCGGTATTTATGCTGTGACATTCGAGGCTGTGGCTCATGACAGTGCGGCCAAATTACTAGCACTCATCTATTATTATGTGTGGGTAATGCAACAGATGAAATGACATGTGCGCCATATGGCGGCTCTGGCTGGTTTTTGATGCTTGCGTGCAGATGATGATACAGCTCCCTCCCCTTTCCCCCTCCCCATCCAATAAAGACCCAAGAAGAGTAATGCAAAGAGAACGCAATGCCAACGCTATCTACCCCCAATGTCAACACAGAGAGAGGGCGGCAGGGAGGGATAAAATGGGGGGGGACTCCCTGCTCTCGCCAATGTTACAAACGTCAAAAACGCCCGTCTCCTCGAGCCCTTTCCTCCTGAGCGCCTTCTTCAATAGTTGAGGCGGCTCCAGAGCCTCCTCCATGGTCAACGCCCACGTCCCCCAGTGGATACCCATGGCCCTCTCGCACCTGGTATCGACAAAAATTTCGACAGAATCAAAGGGATTGGCGTGCATCGCCGAAAATGCCACGCGCGGATAGTAGGCGCCGATGGGGATCAAGCCCAGGTCGAACGGCCCGCGCAGCTCGCCAATCTGTTTGAACTGCGGGCACCGCGGCAGCGCCTCATACTCGGGGCCGTAGTCATCTGTGCCCACGGGAAGGGCCGGGACAGCACGGTATCCCGTGTCGCCTCCGAACCAGACTGACTTGTCGGCGGACTTGACGGCCCATGAGCACCACAGCGTCTTGTCCTTGTCCCAGATAGACCGCGCCGAGCTGTGCTGGCAGGGCAGGGCCGAGATCCTCGCCGAGACGGTTTCTTCCTTCTCGCCCGTCTTGATCTTGACGTTGAGGTCGGCATCTTCCCACCAGTCGAGCTCGGTGACGTTTTTGAGGCCTGACTTGCGGAACCACGTCTCCAGGCCGAGGCCGACGAAGAACTGGACGTCGGGGTGGTGTTTCTGGATTTCGAGGACCGAGGCGTGCGAGAGGTGGTCGTAGTGGCTGTGGCTGATGAGGACGGCATCAATGACGGGGATGTCTTTGAGGTCGCAGGGTCGTTGGGTATATCGCTTGGGTCCCATGAAGCTGAATGGCGAGCAGCGATCCTCGAAGACGGGGTCAAAGAGGACGCGCAAGCCAGAGGGGAATTCGACGTAGTAGCAGGCATGACCGAGCCACGTTGCGCGCAGCTTGTCCGATGCCGCGCGGCTGGGGAGCCATTCGGGTTCTTGAACGGGCACTGTGGGTGGTGATGTGTCTGGTCGTCTGAGTTGGCCCGTCATCGTTGGCCTGCCGTGTACGTGTTAGGAGGTTTTGGCCTCGAGGTTCCTCCCTTTCGTTTCGTTTCCTCCTTCTTTTTTTTTTTCATCAACGCAACTTACCAAACGACATTTTTCAAAAGAGAGAAGACAGTTGCCGGATTGGACCACGACGGATACGGATTCTTAAAGCCAGTCACTCTGCCGGCCTTAACGAGGTGGTGCGGATTCAAAGTGGCCTCCTCGGGAATGCTGGACCGTCCGGGGATTTTAGAAACGGCCGTAGCATAGGAACTGGTCGAGAGGCGAGCCGCAGCGGCGGTGGCTGACGGGTCGGTGGACGCCATGGCGGCGAAGTTGGTCAGAGGATGTGATCGTGATGGAGAGCCAAGGCACGGATGCAATCTACGCCAGAGACCAGAAGTCGACTGGCGAGAAGGCAGCAGCATAAGAAGCAATGACAAGCAGGAGCAAGAGAGGAGGGCGGGGAAAAGCCGACAGTACTTATTGTTTCTGACAGCTACCGGAAGGGTGACTGGAGACGGATTGTGTGGCGTGATGCCGCGACGGCGCCGGGAAGCAAACAAAGAGAGGAGTGGATGATGGATTCACGGCACTTTCTGTACAAGGCTGCGAACCCGAACCTGTTCATCATCTGAAGTACCGAGCTACATCCCCTGATGAGCTGATGCCAGTATCAAGGCATGTACCGAGTACCCGCCGGCGACCAAGTAGCTAACCACTCACGTGTGTACAACCTGCCTTGGGCACTTGAGGTACTCCGTACAAGTAAATAACGATAAATGTGGCTCCCAAGTTCCAGGCCAACTTGTTACTGATTACCAATTCCCAAGCCAACAACATGCCACATATAGACGTCTTGAAGCCTTTCTGCCTGGCAGCTTCAGTCAGGTCGTCCGTTCCACGTGTCCGTGTCCAAGCCGGCGAACCCAGGACCCGTGGACCGTGGTCCATGCAGTCATGCAGCCACGCAGCCATGCAGCCATGTGCTTACTCAGACCCTCGTGCCGCCTCGATTCAGCTGTACTCCGTACCGATGCATCAATCTCTTCAGGCTCAAATACCAACCTGCCTGCCATCGATTGGTCCATGTCATCTGACCTCGTACTTGAGAGTAGTACTGTCTTGCTTGCCATGACCGCTACCGCGTGGCCTGTCGATTGCTTTGGGGGCCGCCTGCAAACACATTGCCACATACTAATACATTGTCGTGACTATTCTGTTACGGTGGAGTTGATGTGATGCTGAATCCTTCGCTCACGCGAGCAACCCGCGCTCCCACCTTGAGCCTAGCTAGCCCAAGGCACGCGCAAGGGATCAATTGACGGCATGGCCAGCTTCAGCTGCAACTGAATCCTACTTGTGCTCTCTGCCGTCGTTACTAATCCTCTTTTTCCTACTACCTCTGATGCATCCAAGTGCATACGAGCACGCGTCGACTGCAGACAGAATGGACGAACGGGCTTGTCGACAGATGAGATTAGATCCCTCACCATATTTATTCTGCTTCACGAGTCTATTCCAAGTTGACGATAAAAAGACTGCCTATCAAGTCCGGTGCAGCCATCTCCATCATTTCCTTCGTGAACGATGCCCAAACCATGCGAGTTTGCCGGGTCCCTCGTGAGGATGAGTGGCCCCAGCAAACATGCAATCCATGGCAAGAGCAGAGAATCCCTCCCCCTCTCTTCCCGCCATGCCGTCACGGCCCTAGTGTCGGTCATGCCACCGGCAGCCCTTCAAATAGCCAAACGTTCGACCTTGTCACGGAGAGCCTTTATACGGCCAGCCAGCTCACTGGCCTCGTTGGAGGTGATACAGGCAGCGATGACGGATCTCTCGACACCGGAAGCACGGCCCAGGAAGATCTTGCTGGAAACATAGACATAGGGGACGCCCTTGTCCTCGCAGAGGAGGGGAATGTGCAGAAGAATGGCGAGCGGTTCGGTATCGGCGGCCAGAATAACAAGTTCGCAGGTACCTCGGTTGAGGGCCTTGGTCACTACCATTTCGCGTTAGTACATTGCCGTAACGATGCTGCAATTCGTGCGCTCCATCGCCTGACACGACCGGCTTCCTCGCGTGAGTGCCGACGTACCTTCGTTGGCTCCCTTCTTAGCTTGGCGCGCATGAGTTGCCAGCTGCAAAACGTCGAGGATCTCCTGGGCGAAGGCGGCATCGGCCAGGGGCCAAGCTGGACCATCATGGTTAGCAATCCGGGCTGCTCTTTGGCCGTGTCGCATGTGTAGCCGCTTGCGGGCCAGCCTACAACTCAGGTGGTCACGTACCAGCGTTCGCGTCTTCCGCCATTATTCTCGATAAAGGCTCGCCTTGGATAGGTTCACGGCCGTGAAATTAGATGGAAGAGAGACGCGGTTGTTGCCTCCAAGAAGAGTTGTTGTTGCGGTGGACGACTGCTGAACAAAATCTCAGTCTGAAAAAAAAAAAAGCACACCAAAAAAAAAAAAAGCATCTCGGACGGCGGAGAACGCTTCACCGACGAGTCACGTGATGTGGCTCAGTACGAATGGGTTTCTCTGCCCGGCTTGAAGACGACTTTGAAGATGAATAAAAGGCTGGGTCTAGTTGATATTTCCTCCTTTACAACGTACAGTGCTCATAATCATGACTGCGCTAAGTGAGAGTCGGATGTTCCTAATCGTTGCGGACTCAGAATGCACGATTTATGAGTACAGCAAGTTCCTTGAGGCAAAAAAAATCAAAGAGCTTGGCCGCCAAGGTCCGTGACTCGGCACTGGGCTGCGGCCAATCTTTGAAGTCTAGGACCGTGATGGTATCTTTGGAGGATCACCCACTCGATCTCTACACCTTGCCGCACGCCATCACCCTTTGACGTTATCTTTGACCCAACTTCTTCCCAGGCCATGAATAGAAAAGCAAGTACCTGAATACCATACCTCGATTTGAAAATGAGCCCCCAAGGCTGGTTCGCGTTCTCGAACCCCCAGCAGATGGCCGAGTCCGCAACAACAAGTCGTCGTTAGATATGCATACCGAGTACGATCTACATATGGATATGCGTGCATATATACTATCGCCAAGCACAGCCGGATTTGGCTGCACTACGGAGTTGAAACTAGGCGTCAGGGGTAGTAGTATTCGATATCCACAAAGCTTCGTGACCTTTGAGGAGGCAGGTGGCTTTTCCCCAGGATAAGAGAGAGATCCATCATGAGATACGGAGATGTGTATCAACGAGGGAATCCGAAATGCCCCTGTTTGGAATTCTTGCGTTGGCAGGCTGCATCCCCATCAGGGAGTCGGTGGAACTTGTCAGGACTGAATGCGCTTCCCCGGTCTTATCTCAAGGGACCCTCAATGAGGTCAGAGTCGCGCCGTGTTTGCTAGTCATCCCGGAGCAGGCTTGGATTCATCCCACACCGGCACGCAGGTCCACGTGGGGGTGGAAGACAGCCTCTGGCTTACAGGACCAGTGGACAGGTGGATTATGCTGATGAGCACGACCGACCACAGCCACCGAGGACGTGCCACGATGAAGCGTGTAATCGGGCGAGTTGCCGAGTCGTTCCGGGGGCTCATCCGACCTTGATGGCAACGAAGTCGGAGGGAGGGGGGTGCGCCGTGCGATGATGCTAATCACCATTATGGATACGTGTTAGGTAACGATTACTAGGAGCAAAGTTTTTTAAGTTGCAGTACGGAGTACAGAGATGCAGCGGTTGTCATGCATATTGTGGATGCGGTGGATGTAGGACGCAAGGATAAAAGGCACGAATGACTCGTTTCGCTGTCGGGGTCCGGATGACGCGCAAAACGTGCGAGAGAACATGTATTGCTGCATTCTTGCGCCAAGTCGTAAATGCCAAACGAGGGTTTGACCACGTTGCGCCATGGTTTGCATGACGGTTCTAGGTGTCGGTGTCGATGAAGGCATGACCATGACCCGACGACACCATCATGTACAACAAGCCCAGTGTTGAATGCTGATCTAGACATGATTCATCTCCATTTTTCCCTCCCAAAACAGGGAAATGTGTAGTGGAGATTTTTTTTAAGATTTTTTTTTCCCCTTCTTCTCTCGCAGCTAGCAGGACTAGGTTGTGACTGGGATCAGTGTCAGTCTCCGTCGGCGCCAGACTATTCCTGAATCGACCAGTTGATGTCAATTGCAATTGCAATTTATTCCATACGGAAGGCGCAGACCAGGCCCGACCCATCACCCATCACCAGACAGGGACAGACAGACCCATTTGCCTGGGCCCAATATTGATTGTGTGTGCGCGCCGAGCGAACGGGAGACCCAGAGTATAAAAAAACAATAGTTCCCCTTACCCCATGGTATTCTCCGCAATCAAGTGCCGTCTGTCTCTGTCTCTGTCTCAGTCTCGTCTGCCACAGCCAAGTCGTTGGCAAACATGTCCAAGACTTCCATCGACCCCCACTACTCGCTCCCCGACCAGATTGAGCCTGCCGCCTCGCGGTCCGAGGGAGAGGTGCTTGATGCAGACGTCAAGACCGACGATGCCGTCTTTGGTAACATCACGGACGCAGGGCCCAACTACCGTAATGTCAGCAGCATTGGTGGCCCGTTGACCCTGTTGCCGGCGCCCGCGTGCGTGTGCTAATCGTCCAGCGCAGGTCGGCTGGTTGGGGACCGCGGCTCTCATGATGAAGACGCAGATCGGCCTCGGGGTTCTGTCCATCCCCTCCGTCTTCGATGCCGTGGGACTCGTCCCGGGTGTCATCCTTCTCCTGGCGGTTGGGACCATCACCACCTGGTCAGCCCACATGATTGGCGTCTTCAAGCTTCGGCATCGCCAAGTATACGGCATCGACGACGCCGGCGGCCTGATCTTCGGCCCCGTTGGGCGTGAGATTTTTGGCATCTCCTTTACCCTCCGTAAGTAGTCCATGAGATGTTGGAGGCGGCCAGTTCTGCTGACCAGTCCGGCCATCAGTCATGACCTTTGCAGCCGCCGCAGCCATGATTGGCATCTCGGTTGCTCTCAACGCCCTTTCCACCCACGGAGCATGTACCGCCGTCTTTGTCGTCGTGGCGGCCGTGTTTGGCTTCACCTTTGCGAGCATTCAGACGCTTGGCAAGATCAGTGCGCTGGCGTGGATTGGCGTCACCTCCATTGTTGTCGCTGGTGAGTTTGCAACCACGCCGCAACGCGAAGCGCCGCCGTGAGCCGTCACACCTGACTCTTGTCGCCGTCTAGTCTTCACCGTGACCATTGCCGTCGGTGTCAGGGGCGCTCCTCACGCCCCTTCAAAAGACCTGCAGGGCCCCTGGAAGTCCAATTACGAACTCTTCAAACACCCCAGTTTCAGCGACGCCCTGGGAGCCATCACAACTCTCGTCTTTGCCTATGCTGGCACTCCCACCTTCTTCAGCATTGCGTCCGAGATGAGAGACCCCAAGCACTACACCAAGGCACTGGTAGTGTGCCAGACCGTCATCACCTTGGCGTACATCGTGGTCGGTGTGGTCGTCTACTACTTCTGCGGATCCCATGTTGCCTCTCCTGCCCTCGGCTCCGCCGGCCCCGTGATCAAGAAGGTCGCATATGGCATCGCTCTTCCGGGCTTGTTGGTCACCGACCTTTTGCTCATCCACGTCAGCCTCCCCTTGAAGCAATTCGTACCTACCACCACCCCAAAAAAGTCAACTGACCATTTCTGCAGCTTGCCGCCAAATCCATCTTTGTTCGACTTCTCCGCAACTCGAAACACCTGGCCTCCAACACCCCTAAACACTGGGTAGTTTGGCTGGGGTCAACCTTGACCATCACCGCTGTGGGATATATCATTGCTAGTGCCATTCCCATCTTCGGCCAGCTCATCGCACTAATTGGAGCACTTCTCGGCCCAATTCTATGCTTCCACCCACCCGGCTTTATGTGGATATACGACAACTGGAAGAGATCCCACAGCCGAGAACAGGCACGATGGTACTGGGGGGTGGCTTGCAGCATCTTTGTGATTGTCTCCGGGACATTTCTAATGATCGCCGGCACTTATAGCGCCATTTATACCATCGTCCATACGCCAGGAAGTTCCAAGGTTTGGTCATGTGCAGACAACTCCAATTCCACCTGAAACAAGATGAATGCATGTCTCAGACCTATCCTGTCGTCCCCACATATTAAGATGGCCTGCTTTTCCAAGGGTAAGAATTAAGACCAAAAAAAAAAGAAAAACCCCAAACCAAAAAAAGAGGTATGTTGGCAGCCGCCCACGTCAGTTTTCTCACGCGAAGCCTTGAACTCAGCCGGCAAGACCGCTGTGGGTGTGAAGAACGTCACTGGCTACATGGATTGCAACCAACGAAGGGGTATTACCCACTCAACGCATGCACTTGGTCGTCAGTTGGTACAGAAACCAACTGTGTAAACTTGGAGATGACTGCCTTGGGCGGAGAATAGCGATCACATACCGACTGTATATTACGCATCCGGAGCACATGGACGCACATGGGGCGAATAAAATAGAATAGAGAATAGAGAACAGCAGATACGTCGCGAAAAGTCTCCAGGTCACTTTGATGCTGTACCGACACGTACATAGATGCAGTGGGTATATCTGATTATGGACGAGTCTTGTGACGTTGTCTAGAAAGCTCGTCGCTGTTCCTCTCATAGCATGGAGCATACTCCGTAGAGCATGACCAAATGGCCTGATTCGCCAGGAGCCCGGCGCCACCATTTCTTTTCCTTTCGTACCACTGAACTGCCCCCAACGATTCCTAGGTTCTCCGAGCCAGACGGGGAAAGCGTCCTGGGGCTTCGGCTTGGGGCTTGGGCCGGGGGCCCCTAATCGTGGGGGCGGGCCGTGAACGGGGCAGTCCGGCCAACCAAGTACGTAGATGTCATGTGTCGACCTGCAGATTCCAGAAGACGGAGTAGTCGACCGCATCGCAGACTCGCAGTACAACCGCCAAATCAAGCCCCGGACCAGCCAGACGAGTTACGTCTTGAGCGGCATCCGACAGAATCGACATCCGGGACAATAGCTCCATCGTAGTCGTTTGCACGTGCCCACGTAGTAGCACGATTGCGTGAGCCGGGACACATGCAGCCATGTATGTGCATGTGCATGCCGTCATTGAGTGCCGCCGCCGCCGGAGCTCATGCGCAGGCGGCGTGCGGCACGGCGAGGTCAGGACTCGTCATCGGTAGGACTATGGCCATCACCGGCCGAGACCAGGGTCGCTTAGTCCGGTGCCGCAGAGCAGGACTGCAGAGATGCATTGACGTACAACGTCCGACAGCGTGCAAGAGGGGCGTATCGAGTGTAGATACTCGGGAACGGGGGGCGCTGGGGGCCGGTCCGGCGGACGTTTTCGTCTCCTGCATCGTCAACGTTGGTGGTCCGTCTTGCTGTTCAATTCCTCGCGTGCTCGCCGTGTTCGCCTGCCGACGTTTCAGGGATTTGGTGGTGCGGAGGTCTGCACTCTGCACTCTGCGTCGACGACGTGGCTTTTCCTCTCGACTCTTGAGCTGCAGAATGGTTCGTGGTCACTGGTCAGTCAGGGACTTGTTCTTGTTCTTGTTCTTGACTGGCGAGAGGCGGGACCGGACCGGTCGACCGGCCGTGGTCCGTTGTTGTCTCGCACTCCAGAGTCGTCAACAGAGAACAGAGGCGGTTCCAAACGAGGTGCGGGAGTACGGAGAGGCAACGTTGAGGTTGCGCTTATGTAATGGCTCGCTCGGGTCGAGGCGAGTTCGGTCAACGTCGAATACGAACACCGCTTGAGAATCATCCATGGCTCGCTTTCGATTCGGTCTTCTGCCCATGCCCGGTCCAATGGATCCAATGGTTGCGTCGAGAGGTGCTCGTCTCAACCACCGCATCCTCCGACACATTCTCCCGGGGCTGGCCCGGGATCTCGCGACAAAATCCCATCCACACCCAGACAGCGTCTCTCGACGGACAGAATGACCCGGGACGTCGATCTGACCCGTCCTCCAGCCGTACGTGCTAGAGCTTGCCCTTCAACGGCATCCAGCTATTCGCCGCTCTTGCTCTCTCCCCTCTTGTCCGTCTCACTGGGGCTTTGGGGAAAGGAGAAACGAGCATCGGAAGCTTCTATCCGGACTCGACTACATTCACGACCGGGACTGCTGTTCAACAAACCCGGTTCTGCTCGCAGCGAACCCACCTTGTGCATTGATTCTGTGTCCTTGCAAAGGGCAAGGCTGTTCAGGGCCAAGATTTTCTTTCTCGTAGTTCTACCGTGTCTTTCTCGCTTCCCGTGCAATCCGAGGCCTTGGCCACGCCTCGTCGGACACGGGGAACAAATCCTAGCAAGTGCCTCAAATTCATCAACTTCATACAACCAAGGTTCTACTTGAATTAGGCAGGGCCCAATGTCGTAACTATGCTCGATGGAGACTCGCAACTGCGGCCGTCAGACTTGTAGAGTTCCTTCACATTCGTGACGAGAAACAGAGGCGAAGACGGGTTTTTGGTCGTTTTTATCCATGTTTCTTCTATTTTTTCTAAAACATTTTTCTCGCTCCTCCTTCTTTGATATTTCCTTTCAACGCCACATGCCAACAACACGCTTAGAAGAGGCTGTTCAGATCATCACACGGCAAGACATGCAAACACGCACTCAAAACCGGGCCGTGGTGCATCCATTATTCGACCTTTTCTCACGCCTGTCGGATTCCTCTTGCAAGTGTCTCACCCTCTCCTGACAGGACATTTTAGGTCCCCCAAAAGACTAATGCGAGTCGGACCGGCAGCCCACGGTTCACAGAAAGAGGGTCATTCGAATTGATTTCCGCCATGAAAAGATCTCATCCCCTGACTGAGAACTGAGTCGTCAGGAGAGGCCTGCGCCTTAGAACTTGGCGGGTTGCGCAGGAGCAGCAGAGGCTGCGGCCGGGGCAGCCTGCGAAGGGGCAGCTGTCTGAGAAGCCTGCGAAGCAAACTCCTTCCTTATGGCTGCTCGCAGGTTCTTTCCGTTCTCCTTGAGCTTGGTCTTCTGATCGTCAGTGAGGCCGTTTACGACAGTCTTTAACTTCTGGAAGGCGTCCTCTTCCTTTTGCTTCTTGTCCTGGGGAACGGAGTCGACGATGTCCTTCTCGGCGCTCGCCACGTCCTGCCGGGCCTGCTCGAGCTCGGGAGAGATGTTCTTTCGCTCGTCCTTGAGCTTCTGGATCTCGGGGCTGTCCGGTGGTGTCTGGTTCTGGCGCCTGTGCAAGTCCAGAGGCGCGGCGTCTCGAGCGACGACCCCCAGCTCGGCGAGGGCGTCGACTGCGCGGCGCTCGTTGTGAGCAGTTGCCGCCAGGGCGGATGCACTCACTGTTTCGGGGCAGTGTCAGCACGATGTTGGGGACATGCGGGGACGTGACCGTGGCGCGGGCGAGTGAATGAATCAGAAGGAACGTACGAGCAATGAGAGCGAGGTTGTGGATGCGAACCATTGTGAACAGAAACAGATCTTGTGGTGATTTGTGGGCTTTGAGTATGAAAGTATTTGGTTGTTGCAGTGGTATAGACCGGCTATACTCTGCTGGTGCCTTGGCTGAAGAGGAGAGACTGATGAAAAGATCCTGTGTCGAGGTGTTTAGTGCCCAGACTGCGAGGTGCTCGAGGGTTTTTGTACTGCTCGCCGGTGGACGGGGCAGTCGTCGACGGACCATGGCAAGTCCGGGCTGTTGTTGTTGTTGTTGTCTCGAGACTTGACTCTTGACCCTTGAGCCAGGACTGTTTTAGGTCGTCGTCACCGCGACAAATTTGGTATCATGACGGCCTGAGCCTCGTTCCGGACCCGTGAGAGACAGATGGGCCTCGTCTCCGACTCGAAACTCGGTCGTCCCCCAGTCATCCTGCTTCAGTAGCTGGACGTGTACGGGGGACAGACAGCCTGACGATTCCAGTCCGTTTTTGACCGGCGGCTGTGGGCTGTGGGCTGTGGGCGACACGCGTCGGGCGAAGCTTATCCACGGCCCAGAAACCCCGAACATGGAAAGGGAAGAGGAAGCGCGCCTTCTGGCCGTTCCCAAGAGAGAATGGCCCGCAGAGCGCTTCAAGGGTTGTTCTGCGAAAGCCGAAACCCAACGCCCCTGGGCGCCAAGTTGGTCGAAACCAGTCGCACCGTTGACGGCGCTAAGAAGAAGAAACGAGCCCCAAACCTCTCACAGCCTAGTTGGAGGTGAGACCGCAGCCAATGGAGGATGACTAGGCGCCAGCATTAGGACTCAGGAGTCGCCTGGTGCATGGGATACCTCGGATCAAACACCAGAGGTTGACCCGTGACGTCGCGGAAGGACTCCCGCTGGACTCGTAGGCATTTGAAACACAACGTTCCATCTGCAGATGACAAGCTTTAGCACTTGATCCAAAATTATGCCTCGTCAATCACGACGTGTGCCCTAAATCAAGTGGTATCTAATTCAGTCACGCCTTCAGTGCCAACCCAACGCCCTCCTAGAAGCTCAAAAATACCCTTGAAATGCATGCTTGCCATGTCCATAGAGCCGCCTCCTCTTTTCGTCAAAAGTCGTGTGAATCCGTCCGCGGTCATGCTTCTCATCACAAGTCCAGCAATCGGGTGTCGTCTTTGTAATCGTCAACGCCGAGTTCCTTCTCCAGCTCGTCTGCCACGAATCCCTCGTAGTCGTCCAAATTTTTCTGGATATGTATCTTGAACTTGATGACATCGTTCAGCATGCGATCAATTTCCGTGTGCAGCTCCTCGCGCAAAGAGCTTGCCCTCAGGACAAGCTGTTCGTATCTAAAGTCGATGGCCGTTAGTTTTCATCTTACGCTGCAGCGGTTGATGTACGGATCAGAGGGGGAGGGGGCCTACTCGATGGTTGTGTTGATTTCACGTTGCTCCAGAAATTCAACAGATTCCGACAGTCCAGCTCGCATTCTGGACAGTTCCTTCTCCATCTTTTCAATCTGGGCATCTGAACCCAATTTCTGGGCTGTCGTCACCTCTTTTGTCTTCTCATACTCCTCCTCCGCCGCCCTTACACGATGTTCCAGCGCTTCAACTTCGCTCCGCTTGTCCTCGATGGCCTCCTTGATACCGTCCAGCAAGTCATGGTCTTTCATCATGTCTTCCATGGCCGCGCTTCGTCGGTCGGAGATGTCCTTCCGCAGCGTCAGGAAGCTGCTTCGAACTTGTCCGCGAAGATCCAGGTTGAGAATGTGGCCGGGGTGGTATCCGGTTGTTGCATCGGCTAATAAGCGCTCGGCAGATGGCGCCACACTACCAGACGCATTGAGGTTGACCGACGTGAAGTCGGAGCTGTCGCTGATGGTGAGTCGCAGTTCATAATCTCGACCTCTGGCGTTTGCGGCTGTGGGCGGAATCATGGCAATTTGGTATGCGAGGGTGTTGTACTTGTCCACCATGCGCTCGAGGTCTTCGAGTTTGTGGCCGGCTTCTGATTCTTTCTCTGCAACCTTCTTCTTGATCTCGTCGAGCCTTTGGCTGGCAGTTTCAATGCCCTTCTGGAGGCGCTCACGCTCAGAGTTCATGCGGTCAATATCCTGCATGCTGATACCCTGTGCATCAACCGCCTTTTGAAGTCTCCTTCGTTCATCTTCGACCTCTTTCAATTCGTCCGCCATTTTATCCAACTCTTCATGTAAAACTTGAATGCGATGCCCATACTTCTCAGATCGCTGTAGAGCCAACGTGTTGTACTCTTCAAATTTGATCTTGTCCTCCTCCATGATTTTGAAATGGTCATCTAGCACAGCCGGATCAGGTGTTGCTTTTTGCAAGTCCTCGATTTCCTTGTGCAGTCTTGTGTTCTCGGCCTCGAGCATTTCAAGTTCCGAAACGTACTTGGCGTTTGAATCCTCAAAAGCCCTCGCCATGGCGTCGATGTGTGGTGCGAGAACCCGTTCGGCATCGTCGTCGCCCATGTCCTCGTCCATAGCAAGCCAGTCCTTGTATGCCGTGCTCAAAAAGTCAAAAATAATGTGGTCGCCACTAACATCCACACCGGCCTCCATGCAGGCGTCTGCATACTTGTTGGCAGCATAGCCCTCCAGCATTTGCACCAGCTGCATCATCCAATACAGTAGACCTAAGAAAGTGCTCCAGTTTTGGCCACCGACGGCGGCCAGCTGGCTCTTGGTAATGCTCCTCTCGAATGGATACCTAAGCTGTTTCAAGATCGGCGGGACTTCCTGATCGATGTTCTTTAGAAACCGGTGGCCAGGATCGATGCGATGGTACAGCCACTGGAACATGTAGTTGAAGTCCTTTTGTGTTGGAGACTTCATGACATTGGGTGACAAGGTATGGCTCATCTGCATTTCGAAATCGTTTTGTGCCATGTACTCCATCAACTCTTGACCCATCTTCATTTGGAAAGACCTGTCCTTGAGAGGGCGAGGGTCCTTTGGTACACCAGCAGGCTGGAGAGTCGTCTGGAAGAAGCCTGAGTGATTATTCACGCCTCCCACCATTGACTGCCTTGGCCTGTAAATACTGCTTCGCCTCTCGGCTTCAGAAGATTGTCTCGTGATTCCTGGAGTTTGAAGGACATTTTTGGGCTGGAATGATGATCGTTTGACTGATGATATGCCATAGTCTGCGAGGTTGGTACCTGAAGATGTGCGTTGAAACATTGGTTGATTTGGTCTTGACATGGCGAGGGACTGCCTAGATCCCGACACCGATCGTGCGTGGCCATTGCTGCTCGAATTCGCCCGCTTCATTGTTGAGCCCGGCGGTGGCATTCCCGTGTTCGTGCCTATACCTCCCAATGTCTGAATCGCAGGTCAGCACAAGTCGAGTCTTGATGCGACAGTCTGCTTCTCAATGCGTCGGAAGGGGTGTGTTGGCTGCCAACCTACCTCTCTTGGCCTGCGGACACTCCACAGACCAGTGTCCTGAGACATTGTGCAGAGGCACAGGTGAGCGCTTCGTATGCAGAAATTTACAGAGAGAAAATCAGTTGCTTCAAGCGATGGATGCGAGAGGGCAGAAGCCGGTCTGCGATGTCTGATACAGCCAACAATGGTGTTGCGGGTCGCCAATTCTGTTGCTCCGTGGAAAGTAAACAAACCGAGCCTGTCGTGCCGTGATTGGGCACAGTCCCACTTGGACCTTTGGTGGGGCGTTGTTGAGACACGTGCGCACGTGACTCATTGAGGTAAAGATGCGTTACGGAATTCCCCAGTTACCTAGGCTCTCAGGAAAAGCGGGTCGTTTCTCACCTCCTCCAATGGCAGAGAGGAAGGCAGCAATGGTGGTGGCTAACAACGCAGCCTCGGCTGGTCGGCCGCCACAGCCATCATCCAAGCCTTCATTCAAAGCTCCACCGATGCACGTACTGATGAGCCTGACGCATGCACATGCCCACGACTCATCCATCTCTCGCACCGCTTCGTCTCTATTCTGCGAACCGTCCACATTCGCCTCAGCCTGGTGATGCAGATGTGAGCAGGTGCAAGATACAGCGACCACAATGGCAATTCGCGAGGACTTGGTAGCCTCTGCGGTAAGTTCATCATTCGGATCTGCGCCTCACAGCCGACTTCATGTCAGCCATTGACTGATCAAATATCCATCGCAGGCCCAGTGTGAGTTGATAGCCGGGACATGGCCCGTTTCCCCGATCGTTCAGCCCGACGGCATTAACACTACATGCAGTTCTTCAGGACCCGAGCGTAGCGTCCTCTACCGTCGAGAACAAAATCCAATTTCTTCGATCCAAGAACCTCACCCAAGAGGAAATCAACGCCGCTCTCGCTCGCACCGGCAGTCCAGTTCCAGCTGGCGCCGTGCCATATGCCTCCCCGGCCGGCTCGCCTCAACAGTACTATCCTCCCTATGCACAGCAAGCATGGCAACCGCCTCCCCCTGTACCGCGAAGAGATTGGCGAGACTGGTTTATCATGGCCACTGTCGTCAGCGGGGTAGGCTACGGCTTGTACTCGCTGAGCAAGGTGAGACGCCCTACGACATGCTCTATGTCGACGACTGTGGCTGACCATGAGGGATCACAGCGATATGTTTATCCTCTCATCGCACCTCCCACCCCCGAAAGACTGGAGCAGGACAAGAAGTCGATAGAGGAGCAGTTCGACAAAGCATTTGCCTTGGTTGAACAGTTGGCCAAAGATACCGAGGCTCTCAAAGCCGCCGAGCAACAGAGAACCGAGAGATTGGACGGTGCAATCTCTGAGCTCGAGACTGTCATGTCGGACCTCAAGTCTGCCAATCGCCGTCGGGAGGATGATGCCCAGCACATCCGCGAGGAGGTCCAGGCGTTGAAGGACGCCATTCCCAAGGCGATGGAAAATCAGAAGATTGTCACTGACAATCGATTGTCCGAGATCAACACGGAGCTCACCAGCCTCAAAACGCTCGTTTCCCAGAGAATGGCACCAAGCTCCTCCACGCCTGCCACCACCACCGGCAGCAGCCCATGCGCGCGCTCGTCCGGCGGTACACTTGGCGTTGGTCGACCTTCTACCTCGACGGCCACGACTCCTGCCGCGGCCACGGTCGAGAGCGTTGCCGAGAGCTCCAGCACACCAACGCCTGCAACCGCAGCTGCCGGCGAACCACCCAACAAGGGTCTCGCGCAAAGCTTCAGCCGACCGCCTGGGCTTACTAATGGTGGCAGCAGTTCAACCAAGGCGTCGATTCCTGCATGGCAGATGGCTGCAGCCCAGTCCGCGTCAAGCGCGACCACCGAAGGAGGCAGCAAGGAGGATGGCGCCAGCTCTTGAAATTACGCAGAGCGCTTTGCCGGGGGCAGGGGACTGGCATGGTGCAGCACGTCGCACGTGGAGTGACATTCCTGTAGCTCTTGAGGAATCACCACTGTAATGTACATGTAGCCTTTTGTCGTTGAAATGGATATGAGCGATGGCGGTGGTGGTGACAGATGTGACGAAGAGCGCAGAGCCCATGTCTGATCAGAGTTCAGGCCAATACAACACGCTTTTCTAGAGACTCTTCAAAGAATCCGCATGCTCCGTACAAGTGGCGCATCCGTCTCAATTGACAAGAACGATTCTTGATTTGTTTGTTTGTCGACGTTGATTGAGCGCAGAGTGGCAACTTGCTGTGGGTCCGTGCTGTGCCGGTCTGCCTCGGCATTTTCCCACGGCCGCGCACGAGTCCGGGGTTCGGGCCGTTTCCCAGACCCGTCCCCGCCGCTTGGACACCGACTCTCCGACTCTCCGACGCCGACGTGACATCGATCCATCTGTTCCCCCCCCCCCCCCCCCCCCCCCCCCCCCCCCCCCCTCGGGTGGGTGTCTGGTGATGTTTTCTTAGTCTTGCTTCGGCCTTTTCTGCCGGGTTCCGCCGCGTCACAAGGGCGTGATTAGTATAACGTGGTCACATCTGCCTCCTCATCATTGCCCAAAACCGCCATCCTGCGCTCCTGGGCTGGCTTCTCTCCGTCCCTTTCTTGTCACACTCCAGTCGAGACTCCAACACGAACCCAGCCGACATAATGTCGGAGCCGTCAGCAGCGCCCGAACAGCCGCGTCCAGAGACCCCCAAAAGGCCGGGGGCCTCGGCGTTGCTCCGGCTCGGCCTCTCCTACGCACCCCTCATTACCCGGGTGTCACTCTCTCACGCCCTCAACCTCGCAGATACCTCGCCGTACCATAATCTGCGAAACGCCGTGACCATTGCCTTCTTCCGCGAGTTCATGGCGCCCAAGGACGGAAATCCGCATGCCCTCTCCAAGGCCCAGAGGCGGACCGTGGCCAAGCTGCCCGTCAAAGGGAGGATATGGGTCAGCAATTACACCGTCCCGACTCCTCCGGAGCCGGAGTCCGTCGCAGCAGCTTTGGGCAAGGTGATTGAGTCCCTGAACAACCCGGATGTTCCGCCACCAAAGATTTACCTGCCCGACGTTGTTCCCGTGTCGGGCGAATGGACGGGATATCGGGCCGGCGCCAAACAGGACGAGCCCGCCCCGACCACGTCGGACAGAGAGAAGTACGCCGAGATGATGAAGGAGGTCAAGAAGCCGACGACGATACTGTACATCCATGGCGGCGCGCACGCGTACCTCGATCCGGCCAGCCACCGGCCGACGGTGAAGAAGCTGGCCAAGATCACGGGCGGCCGGGCCTTTTCCGTACGATACAGATTGGTGCCGCAGAGTCCTTTCCCGGCCTCACTGCTCGACTGCTTGGTCGCGTACCTCATGCTCCTCTATCCGCCGCCGGGGTCGTTCCACGAGCCCGTGAAGCCGGAGCACATTGTCATTTCGGGAGACAGGTAAGTCTCCCGTCTGCCATCTGCCATCTGCCCACCAGATGTGATCCCCTCCCCTTCTCTCATCCGTCCCGCCGGCCTGCGCGTTGACCAGCTGACGCTGTCTGCTCTCCAGCGCCGGAGGAAACTTGACCATGGCCCTGATCCAGGTCATTGTCGAGCTGGACCGCCTCGGGCAACGCATCATGTGGCACGGCGAAGAACGGGCCGTTCCCGTACCCGCGGCGGCGGCCTGCAACTCCCCCTGGCTCGACATCTCGCACAGCTCCGGGCCGTACTACGGCAAGACCCCGGAGGCGTTTGACTATCTCGGGTCCATCGACGAGCTGGGCCGGCGGGGCCTCGTCCCGTGCGACATCTGGCCGGCGCGGACGCCGCGGAAGTTCCTGTACGGAGCCGACGACATGATGACGCACCCTCTGGCGTCGCCCGTCATGCGGCGAGACTGGACGGGGTTCCCTCCCGTGTACGCCTGCACGGGGTGGGAACGGCTGGCGTACGAGGACAAGTTCCTGGCGCAGAAGCTCGAGCGGGACGGCGTGACGGTCGTGTTTGAGGAGTACGAAGCCATGCCGCACTGCTTTGCGCTCGTGCTGGCCAGCACGGCCGAGTCGCGGAGGTGTCTGGATGGCTGGGCCGGCTTCATCCGCCGGGCTGTGGAGGACGCGGCTGGCTTGCGGTCCAGCGCCGTCACCGTCCATGCCAGGACATTGAAGGAGACGCCCCTCGATTTCGGGGCCTTGTTTGACGTGTCGGAGGACGAGGTCAGGAGGAGGGTCGTGGACAAGGTGGCGGACACGAAGGCTTGGCTGCCGACCGAGCCCAAGCTGTAAGCCTGACGGTGGCCGTGGTATGTTGTATACCTGAGCCTAGTGAGTGCTTCTAGTAGAAGGGGGCAGAGATTCGTAGAGGCCCGGAAGAACGAAGCCTTTGTAGCGAGCGTGTGAGGGATGGATGGATGGATGGATGGATGGATCGTCAGTCGGCGCTACAACCCGTGATTTTGGTCTGCAACGCGAGCAACCCGCGTCTTTGAAACGAGTCAAGTATTTGAAGCACGTTTCCATTTCCAACACGGACGTGGTGCCTCTTGGGACGGGCGCGTGTGAGCGTCGCGCTGCGGCTCGTGAGTCCTGGCATGCAGGTACTCCGTAGATTGTCACAAGGTCCAAGGTCCAAGGTCCGAACGGGGCACGAAGCTGCGGCCTCTGGTCTTCATTGACTATGGGATGCGCCAACGGGCCATTCTATCGAGAGAAAAGATGCAACGTCTATCCGAGAGGGTGCGGTGGATGTTCTCTCCTTGGTGTGCGCACTCGGCCTCTTGTTCTGCCTCCACCCGTCATCCACGCGAGCCCGAGATCCGCATCTCCGTACTCGGCTCACGTGCTCACGTGCCCTCGCGGCGACGCGAAGACGACATCGCCAGTTTTCCTCGTCAGCCCAACCACCGACTGCCTCTCCCCGGGCCCAGGCTCAGCCGCCGCCCGCACCCCCCCCCTCGAGTTGTCGTCGCTCCCGTCGCGGCCCGTCGCCGATCAATGGAGCGCCACACGCAAGCCGTGGCCAAAATCGCCACCGCCGTGCGCGGCCTCTTCGACAAAAAGGAGCCGTACCGCATCTTCCACGGCTCGACCAACAGCACCCGGCCGCGCCCCCGGGCCGGCGCGCGCATCGTCGACATCAGCGCCCTGTGCAACGTCGTCGGCGTCGACCGCACCACGCGCACGGCCTTGGTAGAGCCCAACGTCCCCATGGACCGGCTCGTCGAGTCCACCCTGCGCCACGGCCTCGTGCCCCCCGTCGTCATGGAGTTCCCCGGCATAACCGCCGGCGGTGGCTACGCCGGGACCGCCGGCGAGAGCAGCTCCTTCCGGCACGGCTTCTTCAGCGACACCGTCAACTGGGTCGAGATGGTCCTCGGCAACGGCGACGTCGTGCGGGCCTCGAGGCACGAAAAGCCAGACCTGTTCCGCGGCGCGGCAGGATCCGTCGGCACCCTCGGCACCACCACGCTCATGGAGCTCCGGCTCGTCGAGGCGAAGAAGTACGTGCGCACGACCTACACGCGCACCCGGGGCGTGGCGGACGCCGTGGCCGCCGTGCGCGCGGCCACCCAGGCCCCCGACAACGACTACGTCGACGGCATCCTCTTCTCCGCGGACCACGGCGCCGTCATCACCGGCTCCATGACGGACGAGAAGCCCGCCGACGCTGCCGTGCGCACCTTTAGCCGCGCCCGCGATCCCTGGTTCTACATGCACGTCAGGGACCGCACCGCGTCCCTCGCTCCCTCCTCCTCCTCCTCCTCCTCCTCCTCCTCCTCCGGCGCCGTCGTCGTCGACTACATCCCCCTGGCGGAGTACCTGTTCCGCTACGACCGCGCCGGCTTCTGGGTCGGCGCCCAAGGCTGGACATACTTCAAGTACGTCCCCTTCAACCGCTGGACGCGCTGGCTCCTCGACGACTTCATGCACACGCGCATGCTGTACCGCGCGCTCCACGCCTCGGGCGAGTCGGCCCGCTTCGTCGTCCAGGACCTCGGCCTCCCCTACGACCAGGCCGCCAAGTTCATCGACTACGCCACCGACACCTTTGGCATCTGGCCCCTCTGGCTCTGCCCCCTCAGGCAGACCCTCCCCCCGACCTTCCACCCGTACACGGGCGAGGCGGAAACCGCGGCCGACGGGTCCACCGTCCCCAAGGACATCCTCAACGTCGGCCTCTGGGGATGGGGCCCCGCCGACCACGACGACTTCGTCGCCAAGAACCGCGCCCTGGAAGACAAGCTGGTCCAGCTGGGCGGGCGCAAGTGGCTCTACGCGCACACGTACTACAGCCAGGACGAGTTTTGGACCGTGTACGGCGAGAACCGCCAGTGGTACGAGGCCCTGCGGGACAAGTACCACGCCACGACGCTGCCCTCGGTTCATGACAAGGTCAGGATCGATCTCGACGCCGCGCGGGAGGAGCGTAAGCGTACAAGACAGTCGCTCAAGAGCAGGTGGCCCGTGGGAGGGCTGTATGGCATTTGGCAGGCCATCAGAAGCAACGACCATCACTTGCATCGCCGTGCCGAGTGGAAGTACAAGGGCTGACGACTGACCTACTGAGCATCATCGGGCATATACATGCAGCCTGCTGGCAAGATTATGAAGCCATGTGCCGTGTGGCGAAGCATTCGTGCGTTGGAATTTATTCAATTTTTCTAGACCAGATACCATAGAAGCAAAATCTTGACAATACGCTCTGGGCGTCCATGATTCATTCAATTGTTTATTGTTTCTTCCCATGTCCTCTAGTGTTTTCTGGTCGCAACGTGCCTCGCTCTATAGACGCTACATTAAACTTCCTTTCTTGGTGCCCAGGTATTTACACAAGCCACGAGGTCCCCCGTCTCCTTTTTCCTCAGTAGCTCAATTAAAGGGCCAAACTCCAAGTATGCATCCTTTTCCAGTGCCCGGCTTTTATGTTCCCAGTGACATGCCCAAATCCCTAGCATGTCTACCCTCGTAGCCGTGAGTCGTGTTGGCCGGTCACCTCCTTGATGTCCATATATTGGTCCGAGATACCCAGATATGCGAGGTTCCACTGGGCCTGTTTTGTCATGCAAAACACAATCCAAGCAACATGGCTGGTCTATTTCATTTTGGTCGGTGTGTCTTACTCCCGGACCTTGTACTCGCGCTTGAACATATCGTCAACCTTTTCAAGATAGTAGGTGCCAGGGATAATGGTCGATGGTTCGCCCTTGGGGGTGTAATCTTTCTTGAGGTGGGCCTGATGGCGGAGCTCGCACATCTAGAGACGTGGATGGATCAGCGCACTGGACAGCAAAGAAGTCGGAGAAGTGATGGGGGAAAAAAGGGAGGGGGAAACGGGAGGACTTCAACTTACGGCATCGAAAGTTTCGGGGGGCACAGCACGGCGAGCCTCCAGACGAGCGGGAATGTTCAGGTTCTTGGCGATGGCCTCAACACTACCGTTGACACGGAAGGACATGAAGCTCGAGGCCAGACCAGATCCGTACGAGAAGACACCAATTCGCTTGCCGTCGAGAGCCTTGGGCTCAACAAAGGACAGCAGGCTGGCAACGCCACCCCAAACACTAGCACAGTACATGTTACCGCACATGGTGGCCACCTGAGTGGCGGGCTGGACGCGTTCCTGGAACTTCTTCTTGGTCAATGCCATGAAGGTCTTCTCAACAACCTTGTCGGTCAAAGACTTCTCGTAATCCATGTCACGCAGCTCGGGGGCCACGTCGGCGAAAGCGGGAGCGTCGGCATTAGCAAGGTAGTCGTGATACAGCAGTCGAGCATACGACTTTTGCACGAGCTTGCAAGTGGGGGCGTGGAAAGCAAGGTAGTCGAAGCGGTCGAGGGGAGTCTTGCCGGCATCGGCACCATTAGCATTGCCATTGGCAAGCTTGGCCTCGCGCCTGCAGTAATCGCGGTAGGCGGCATCAAGGGCCTTGGTGTAGCAGTTGATGGAGTAGTGCCCGTCGACATAGGGGTACTCACTGGTCAAGTCGGGCTTGTAGAAGTCGTAGGCGTGCTGCATGTAGGTGCCACGCAGGCCAGGGTCCATGACAACAGGGGCATCAGGGCCGATCAACATGGCCACAGCACCGGCACCGCCGGTAGGGCGAGCATTGCCCTTGGCATATAGCGCAATGTCGCCGGCAACAACAATAGCATCGCGGCCGTCCCAGGCAGAGGACTCGACCCAGTTGACGCTGTTGAACAGGGCATTGGTACCGCCGTAGCAAGCATTGACGGTGTCGACGCCCTCGAGATTGGCATTGTCACCGAATAGCTGCATCAAAACGGACTTGACCGACTTGGACTTGTCCAGAATGGTCTCGGTACCAACCTCCAAGCGACCAATCGAGTTGGGGTCGATGTTGTACTTGCTGAGCAGGTTCGAGGTGACGGTGAGGGCAAGAGAGTAAATGTCTATCAGCAGGAGGCGTCAGCACATGGAGCACCTCGCACCCAGGTCGAGGTGTGGAAAGGGGAAACAGCTTGTTTCCCTGCACTGATGCGTCCCGGCCACACGCAAGCCCTCGTCGAGCATGCAAAACTGGCAGACGGGTTGGGCAGTCAGGGGAGGCGGAGGCGGCGGCTCCAACTCACCCTCGCGGTCATCGCAAAAGCTCATCTTGGTCTGGCCGAGGCCAATGGTGTATTTCCCGGCACCGACGCCATCGAACTTTTCGAGATCGCTCTGCTCGACATACTGCACGGGCGCAAACGAAGAAAACACGAGTTAGCGATGTCGGCCAAGGAGGGCGGGTGACACGTCTTGAGAGTATGACGACGGGTCTGGTAGGCAGGATTCTGGCGCTAGAGAGGCAAGGCAGATGGATTGGAGACAGATGAGAGACAGTCAGGGCCAGATAGATAAGCTTACCTGGCTGGGAAAGTAAATTTCAATGGCCTTGATGCCAATGTTCTGGGGACGCGGAGCCATGTTGCAAAGAGACGAGGGAAGGAGACCTACGTCAAACGAGACCGAGGCGAGGAGGGGGAACGGGGGAAGCGAGAGCGATCAGGGTCAGGGAGATGCAACAGACGGGAGAATGAATAAATGAACGGGCGGAGAGGCGTTTTGTTCTCCGTTTGGGGCGTGAGGGAAGACGGGGTGGTGGACTTGGCCTGGCCGGGCCTGCTAACTGCTGCCAAGTAGTTCCCAGTCACCGACGACTAAATTGCGGCCGTCCTCGACATTCCAGCCTCAACCCGAGTCTCCATGGCCTCGTCCCGCCCTCACTGATCAGTCAGCTTGACAGACGACGCTCGACTTTTTTTTTTTTTTTTTTCCCCGTGTTTTCTTTTTCTGCTCCTGGACCAGGGCAGACTTGGACCCCTGCAGTGCCATCAGTCATCGCCCCTAGACTTTTCACCGCCCTCTTTTTCTGCACAGCCAGCAGAATCAAGATGCCTCTTGACCTCTTGACATGCAACTTTCTCGAACCAGCAGCGAGCGGATCTCTCTCTCTACCAGTGGAAGTGGAGCTATGCCAGCGACTCTGGAGGGGATTTGATGCGAGGCGCCACTTCAGAGCCACAATCTCTTCTTCATTTTAATCTTGCATGTCCCCCCACACCACCGATCTACATACTGCCTCATGCCTCGTGCCTCGTGCCTTGTGCCTAAGGAGTGCGGAGGACGGAGTCCATGGACATGGTAACATGCCATTAATAATACCACGTCCTTTGATATTATTCACGCGGCCAGGCTTGTGCTATCTGGTTCGTCCGTGGAGGTCGTAACATCTCTGGTGTCACAGGGGATGCCGCAGATAATGCCATGGATATTGCCAGCGTCTCACGGGGTACGGAGGACTTGGTATGGCAAAGAGACAGACGTGGAAGATGGACTGCCGAACGCCCACACAGCCGCCCCGTGCTACGTACAGAATTCGCCGTCGCCAACCAGCATCGTCAGGCTAGATGGTGGGCCATGCAAACAAGGTGGCAGCTTGACTCCTGAAACTAGGAACTGACCCAGGGGCCAGAACACAGTACGTACTACTAGACCGTTGTTGGCCCTTATTGAGGCTGTGCTAATTTTCTTTAGCTGCTAGGGAAACTGTCTCTCCAGAATCGACACAAGGCACGCTTGTTGTTTTAAGGGTCAAAGCACGAACACGCGGAGCCGGAACTCCATAGCACCGACCGACAAGGCAAAGAAACCGACCGAGTAAGAAGAGTGTGGGCGCGTGGTCGCATGCCCCTTCAGGAACGTGGTAATGGGGCACAACGGAAACTCTTGCCGACAAACACATTCTTTCTTATGTCTGTTCACTGACGGATTCTAGTGTAGGAAGGATGCAGGCGCATTGGTGGTTTGTAGGCCAAAGACATACCGTATGTACGTACGTGTCTTGAGACCGCGTCTTTGACCAGATTCTGGCGGCTTCCGCCCGCCCGCCGTGGCCCCGAGGCAATTTATTCGCCGTCGCCAAGCCACCGTGCTTGCTGTCGTGGCGATGCGTCCGTCGTCTGTTCTAGTCCGAGTGGCATCCGTGCCGTGCAACAAATAATTCAAGCCGTGCATAAAGCCACATGTGCCTGCAGTTGCCGTCGCAATACTACAACGGAGCAAGGGGGGCTGCGACCCTGTGTTGCTACGCCGTTTGTGTATGTACACACAACGGGACGGGAAGGTATGGGTTTGGGAGCGCCTTGCATTGCAGATGGCCAACATTTGCCGACATGACAGTGTCATGGACTCGTGGGAACTAGACAGCATTGGTGGCGCCATCTCGCACCTTGTTGGGAGATAGAGATGGGCCGAGCCTCCCAGACGACAGGTTGGTGGCCGTGATTCTGAACAATGTGCAAATTGCTCAGCCTCTTTTGGGCCTGTCAGCCGGCGGCGGCAGATTCATCAGCGCGCCGGGGGGCTTAAAAACAGGCCACTATGACGCCATATTCTGAGTGCCGTCCTGGGCATAGAAACATCAATTTTGGACTTGACATGGGCCGCGTTTGACATTCCATTTCCGACTTCGTATACCCGAAGGACAAGTCGATGGAAAGGTCTCCTCATGCCCGGGTGCCAGGCGGCGACGCAGATTCGCTTCAGCCACTTGTTTGTTGCCCAGATTTGTACGCGCCTACGAGTGCAGATATTCCTCCCATGACATTTGTATCGCATCGAGTATATCCCGATTTGCTGGTAAGCCTACCATGCCAACAGTAGCCCTCGAACCCTCTACCTTAAGATGGAAGGGTCCTCCGAGCTTGGTATCCCCACGACTTGTTGGTAGCGTTGCCGGAAAGTTTCCTCGTCGCGATCACGGTCGAGCTCGGACGACGGATCTAAGTTGAGAAGGTTGCACGCGAACCCTGCCGGCGAGCAGGTCAAAATGCATGAGCTGGGCTGGGCCAAGGCCGGCCTATCAAGTCGACCATGCCCGTCGCCATGTTTAGGATGCGGTCGATAAACCTGGATTCAGAGTATTGATGAGACGCGACAATGGAAACGTAGACGCCACACGCGCCGGTCACCGCAACTCGCTAAGCTTGAGATGACGATAACTGTTCAACAGAGCCTCGGCAAGTGTCCGGCATATCGTCAGCCTTGTGCAGCTGATTGCACGATTCCGATGCACCAGGCAGGATCCCGCCGGTTGGGAATCCATCAAGAGCAAACGTCTCATCTTTGTCGACACTTTTCCGCCAAGTGCGGCCCGACAGAAAGGCAACAGGACGCAACTCCCTGCTTAGAATCAAGTGTCTGGATCCAAGCCCAAGTCTCACCAGCCGAGTAATAGACCACGGAAGCACTGCCAATAGCTTCGCGCCAACCATCTCTCCGACAGTGCTGCGTGTCAGGCCAACCATGCTGGCGAGAATAATCGCCGAACAAAGACGACATGAGATGCGGGCGCTACTCTTGTAGAACTCGACGGATGATCGCCAATGGCCCATGTACTGGCCTCCCTTTCAGGAGCTCAGTCGCCGGCGTCACCTTGAACCAAACCACTGGCGACCTGGCAAATGGCTCTTCAGACTAGTCTCGCTCTCTTTCGGGCCCCGCAAGTTGTAGCATCCTTTGGCGCGTAGACATGTTCTCGTAAATGCCAACGCAGCAGAACTAGAGTTGATGTGAGGGATGACTGCGAAGCAGCAACGACCTTGTCCTTGTCCACGGAGAATTCGGGATTCTCCTGCGGGCGGTGGATAGCCAGCCGCGCTCGGGTGTTTCCTCGACAAAGTCCGTCAAGAAACCTCCAGGTTATAAATAGGTGGCGGCCAAGGCTAAGCACGGCCGCGGGGTAGCCGCGAGGCCACGGCCATGTCTTGAGTGTAAGTGATTTCACCCGAGGGACGTTGATCTGATAAAGGCGTCTGTTTTGGGCGAATTGCTCATGTGGGAGCAGACTAGTTGCTGGGGCTGTCTGTCTCGGAGACGTACTGGGGAAACCGGAGCAGCATCTGCCAAGGAGAATCCAAGGAGTTGCCATGGTTCGAGGTTTGAACGTGGCCGTTGCACATCAACAGCTGGCTGCCATTGAATCACCACCATGGCACACCACTCGGCCACATGAATGTGAATGTGTGCTAGTGTTTTGAAACTATTCTAAATGTTTTCTTGCATCTATTAGATACGCAGACGCCCCCGCTATGTAAACAGTCATGGAAGGACCTCAAGGGGTTTCGTACCCCGAATCCGATATATTCTTCTTTGGACCATCAGGCTTTCCCGGAGCCAAGCTAGCCTCGTCGGGAGTCCTATTTTCCTCCTGCCCATTCTTGTCTTTTGTATTCCCGTCTCCATCTTTCTCCTCTTGCTTTGTTTTGCCTTCCTCCAGTGTCTTCTTTTCAGTCTCGTCCACCCCCAGTCTCCTATCCTTCCTCATTTGCTCAACCCAGGCATCTGACGCAGCCAAAGCACCTTCTGGGTCTCGCTTGTACCTTAAGAGTAGTCCCTGGACTTCCGCGGGGCTAAACTCGTTTTCGGGAATCTTCTCGGCAAACTGCCTGGACAGTTCGTCCACACGTTTACTTATTTGAGCGTGCTTTTGAGCAAGCCGAGCTTGCATAGCTCCCTGGTCTGGATCCTTGGCATCCGCCTTGGAGCTGGTTTCGTTTTCGTACGGTGCATAGATAGAACGGAAGATGGCGGATGTCATACGGGAGTCTGCCAGACCAAATGGAATGACCGAGTCGACGCGGCCAGGCCGGATGAGTGCCTTGTCGAGCTTTTCGATATGGTTGGTCGTCATGATGAGAATACGCCCTTCTTGGGAAGCCACGCCGTCGAGGATATTGAGTAGGCCCGAGAGACTGACACGACCATGCTCCGGCAGCGGCGTGTCAGGGCCAGTGCCGTTGGCAGAGGTAATGACTGGTGAAGCAGCTTGACCTCGAGCAGTTGTAGGAGCGGCAGAGTCATCGCGAGTATGAGTCAGGCCAGCACTGTCAATATCCTCAAGAAGAACGACGCATTGAGTAGGCAGTTCATGGAAAAGGGAGGTAAGTTTCTCCTCGGTCGCAGCAGTAGAGCTCAAACTGACGATGTAGATTTTCATGCGGAAGTATCCCGCCAAGGCGAGACTAAGAGAGCTCTTACCAGTTCCAGGAGGGCCATGGAGCAAATATCCTCTTCGGTACGGAATGCCGCGATTTGCGTACCACCGACGAGTAACGGGATTGAGGTAGTCAGCAGCGTCAGCAATCAAGTCCTGCTTCACATGATCGTTCAGAATAACTGTCGAAAAGGGTCGATTGAGGCGAGACATGCACCGTTGCCAACAAGTCTCGTTCAAATTGGCACGGTAAATGACAGTCTTGCGATCATCCTTCTTCATATGCATTTGCCGTGCTTCTAGGAGCAGTTCTTTCAGAATGTTGGGATTTCTCCCCAGACAAGAGATGCGCAGCTCTTCCTTTTCGCTCGCGTTCATGCCGGCCATCTGATCCCGGTTCTTGAGACGCTCGAATGATAAAGGGCGCAATTTATACCAAAAGAAGTGCATGCCGAAGGATGGCGTGTAATGAAGAGCCTGCTTCAGATCGTTGGACAGGCCAGTAATAACGTCAACAGCAGCCTCTGACACTTGGTCATTCTCGTCGTCGGAATCGGGACGATTGAAATTGTACATGAAACGGTGTCGAGAATTGATGTTGGTATTTGCCACAAAGTGGCGAGAGTTGTGCGAGAATTTCTGCTTCGAGAGCCATAGCATGACCATGTTGTAAATTTCGTCATCGGTGTGGATGGTGACTGACGACATGAAGTAGTCTCTGAAGAAGACCCATAACTGATCCTTGATGTAGTTCCAGGCCATTGCGGCGGCGATAATGATAATTAGGAAGTGGACATAGGAGTTGAAGTCAACACCAACGTAGGCATGTGCGGCGGATATGACCATGGAGTAGCCTGGAAACAGATAATTCAGAATTGCAAACTGAGGTGAAGGTGCGCCCGGTACGTCGGTTTCGTCTTGCCGTGGCGTGGGCTGATGAGCTTGTTCGCCAGCTTCCAAAGCTTGCTTGGCCTGGTCGAAGACATCCATGGCGGACGACAACTGGGGTCTCTCGACGACGGCTCCGACGATGATGAATGATGATGAATCGTGGATGGCGAGAAGCTGTCGCCACAGCACACGGCGGTGGAAAAGGCCGATGAGGCCAAAATCCAGACTGCTAGCCTGCTAGAATAGAATCCCAACTACTCCGTACGGTTGTTGTGGTTGTGGTTGTGGTTGTGCTTGTAGACTGTAGTTGCTGGTTGCTGACGGGGCAGGCAAGCGCAACCAGGTAAAGTAGCGACAAGACGGGAAAGAGTCAACTGGTCAGTCACGACTACTTGGTCTGCCTATCTGAAAAGGCTGATCCAACTTCTCGGGAGCCGGGACGCAGACGATGACGGCCTCGTGCGTACTTAAGTAAGAGACCAGGACAAGGGCCGAGGCAGCGTGCACACCACGTAAGTCGAACACGCCAGCTGCAACTGGTGAACTGGTGATGCACTCCAGATGCACCGGGCAGGCCTGGGGATCCTTGGCAGGCAGTTAAGACCTCCGTAGGGCTGCATGATGGACATGGGCGCCGTGGCGATGACTCTATCGGTCAAGTCACTCAAACTTCGAGTGGCGAATGTTAAAGACTGCGGAATGGAATCCGATGGACCACCGGCTGGCCCATCCCATCCAGCCTTGTAATGACACAGCCCACTGAGTCATGATTTAGACTTCAAATCGTCGCAGGGTAACTAACTTACCTCCCTCCCAGGTCGAGCAAGCATTCAATCATGGTCCATGGACAATCAGGATTCAAGAACAGGACAGTCGGCGGCAATTGGTTTGTACTGGTCCAGCGCGCAGCGCCACACCCGCCTCACCGACAGCCACAGTCAAACAGGCGCGGATGGCTTCCGCGTCCGTGGGACCCGTGTCCCATCCATCAACCTGAAGTTCACGTGCTGTGCTGCGCTTGGGGATTCCATGATACGACGAAGTTGAGGATGATCCGTGTCGAATGCATCCCTTCGTGGGGCGACAGCCTCAGCCTTTGAGAGTTTAGGGCTTTGGGCTTGCAGTCTCTTCTTTGCAACGGACTCATCATCGGCCTGTTGACACTTGGCCATCCGGTATCAGCCCCAATTGGGACGGTGCATCTGAGGACGCTGCCTCGACGAACGGCGGCCCATGGACTCGACAGCCTCTTCTCCCGCCGGTAGTCAACAAGCCTATGTGTTTGGGAGTTCCAAGGACTCTCCACGCAGCACCCGAGAACAAGCCCCAGTCGACGTCATATGGAAAAGAGTCCCGACGTTATTAAAGAGTGTGTGCGTGACGAGATTCAAGGCACAGCCGGTAGCCCACACAATCTGATACTCACGTCTCGATGCATCCTTTCAAGTAGTTATTCTTTGTCATCGATGCTACTTCCTGCAGTGTCATCCGTCCCCGGGCCCTCCCAAGGAAATGCAGCTACCATCCCAGCCTGAAGACGCGCACAAGACCAAGACCTCTACGCCTCCTTTCCACTCGATGGAGGCTCTTCTCCAGGGCATCTCCCGCCGGCAGCTTCTTCGACAACATCGGCCATCTCGACAGCCGCCCCCTCCTCCACATAGTCGCTGTCGCTAAACCCCCAATAGCGAAACAGGTCGTAGGTGCCCTGGGCCGTGGCCCAGTATACGTATGCGCCCTTCTCCGTATAGATAAGGTCCTGGGGATCATAAACGTAGCGACTCTCGCGGAACCGAGACCGCGGAAATTTGGCCACGACATGCGTAGCCGCCATCGGAGCGCCCATGATGTAGAACAGGAATCGCATGATCAAGCTGGGATTCCGCGGAATCGGCCAGATGGAGTACATGTAGTCCATGGTCTTCATTCGGCCCGCCGGGTACACTTCTTCATTTGCGTTCCTCGACGAGAAAGATTCGGTGGACCATGCTGATACCATCGTGTCCCTGGTTTTCGTGGTGACAAGGTCAGGGCGCGGAGAGGATGTCGCTTTCAGTCGGACAACACGTCGGCAAATATTCGAGTTTTTTTCTATGAGGAGAAAAGCAACCGGATGGCACGCTCCATTCAAAGATGAAAAGGCTACTCCCCTCTTGCTTTTGAACTCGAGATCACCTGGCTTGGCAACTTTGTAACCCCAAGGCATTGCCATGACGTTAGTAGCTACCCGATACCACGAGGCACAAGGACAGGCAAATGCGTCCTGGTTGCCCACGTCTGAGTTGACACGTCTGCGGACTAGTGACACGGGCCATGGCGGCATCAAGCTGTGAACAGAAAGAACATAAAGGAACTGCAGCAAGTGATGGCTTGGCGCCAGCAAGTCACGCTGTTTGGGTCGAAATCTCGGGCCATGGCGAGCTTTGGGCGTGCGCTGGGCACCCCTTGTGCGTCACGGCGGCACATAGTCTCGTGAGATTGGCTGGAGCAGCACCTGTTGTCCTGGTACCATGTCGCCATTGTTCGTTTGTGTCGAACCATAGACGAGGCCATTTGGGACGTCATTCTTGTGCAGGTGCCGGGCAAAGACGGCCAATCATGTAACTACATGTTTTTGCCCACTTTGGAGATCCGTAGGGCATCTTCCATCCCAGGGACGGAATGGAACGGGGTGTCTTCTCCTTCGAAAAGTTGGAACATCAGCATGAGAGAGCGAAAATGCGCAGCGTGGAAGCTGGATATAACGGATCGCGTGCTTCAAGTATCTTGTCGCCCGTGACGGACCGTCCTGAAGGTGAAAAAAAGCCTCTTCGGCAAACATGCCAGACGGTCACCATGTCATCTGCGTGAAACCACCTAGTCTACACCAGACTGGCGAAGTGATACAACGGTGCTTGAAAACGGCTCAACCACGGCGATGATGCGTCGAGATGCCACCAAGGCGGTCTCATCTCCGCGAGTCGTTCTGGTTGATACGAATATGTAGGTCCATTAGCCCCAAGAGTCGTGACATGTTTCTCCGAGACCTCCACCGCTACAAGAAAAGAGCCGAGAGCCGAGAGTAACTAATCTTGAGTCTTGACCATAAGTTTCTTTTCCGTGGTTCTTTGTTCGAGCCATGATGCTGACTAGGACATTGTCAATGGCGAGCCAGAAGCTGAGAGTCAGGGAGTTTGTATATCAAGGCCCGTGCCTGTGCAGATAATCTGGTGATGACGGACCTGGTCCCAACCAACAAGTTCTTGGAGCAACCATTCCGTCGAGCGCTATGAGTTGTTGTTTCATGGCTGTATGGGTCTGATCCAAATGGCTGTCCGAGGTGAGGGAATAGTTTCCTATCCCGAAAGAGCCGAAGCCAACGCACCACCAACCGCTTTCAATTGAGCGAGCAAACATGGAGAATCCTCAACACGTGGCACCTCTAGCACCGAATCGTCCAGTCAAAGGGAGTCGCCTCGGGGAAACCGGCCGGCTAGTAGGTACTACAGAGTATTCCACATATATTTAGACCATTCCAGAGTGCCTCGGCTTGGCAACTTCTTGCGGTGGGAAATGACCAAGGGCAGATGAAAGCAATGGCGAATAAAGTGATATTGTTCCGATGTTGTCTAGGCAGATACATAGCCCTAGGAGGACATGACGATTTCGAATAGATGTCCCCACGCCTAGAGGCGGGATGATGCCCTTCGAGGAACCAGATGGCTGAAAATTGGGAAGTAGTTGGCCTTGTGTTCAGCGCCACCATATAATAGACAGTACGGAGTGTGTTATTCCGGAGGCGTTCTTTTCCCTTTTCCCTGCCTGGATGAATTGTGCCGCAGCCACGGCAAAAATTGACCTTTCAGCCGACCTAGACGGGTGTCGAGGTTGGGCCGGCAAGCAAGCATCCCCACGCGCAGGACGGGATCGAGGCACAGGTCCTCGAGCTTGGGCTTTACGCCAAAGTATGAGCAGCTGGGTGGTGCATCGAGATATTCTTTTCACTTCATGAAGCAGTGCGGCTCGTAGGAGGCCCACCGGATGGACTCCAGCATCTGATTTGCTGTGGACAGAGCACTCGGTATGGTGCTGCTTGGCTCACTAATTGCCTTCTCTTTGTACTTGGGAGCTCGCCGGAGCAGCAAACCATGGCCTTATTATTAGTTGCCCTTTGAACCGTCATGGGCTCGCGACGCCTTAACAATGAAGCTCTGCTGCGACGTTCATTAGCGGAGTAGAGTGTATGAAGACCATGGCCCAACGTCTTTAACGTTATATATGCCATCGACGGCCTGGCTGTGAATACGAAACAGAAGCAAGTTGGTCTGGGAAGGATTGTACAGTAAGCTTGGGCGGGAACCAACTACGTACTTACATACCTAGGTACTCCGTAGGCAGGTAACTACTAATTAACTACTAGTACGTAGTAGCCAGCCAACCTTGATCACATCTCAGCTTTGTTGGACCAACACACACTGGTTTCAGCCATCATATCCAACATTGAAGCGAGGCGTCGACCAGCATGAGCATGGTTGCCCAGAGAGCGGTCAGGTATCAACTTCGCACCACTCAAAAAGGCCAGCCGTCCAGGTGCTTCTGTCGCCATCAACCTCTCGTGTGTTCAATTGTTCTCTTTGTCTGAGAGAGGCCGACGCAGTTCGGTCTGTCCTGTCTGTTCTTCAAGCACAGTGGCACGCTCATTGACAATGACACACGTCAAGAGGTGATGATGGTCCGTGTGCCAGGTACGATGATATAACAATGTCCGGACGACGCGGTATCTGTGTGTTTGCCCGCTTATTCTTGTGACCCGTCAGCTAGTGTCTTGATTGAAGAAAAAAAAAAGAATCCACCAGACCAATCCGTGCTTCAACTCTGTAACCTTCTCCGCTCTGTTTGTAGTATGGTATGCAGTAGGTATTGACTCGACACCGTCTCACATCAGCATCAGTGCCAAGGGAACGCCCGCTCTAGAAGGACAGTCTCGACGGATCCGTTCCACCACCACTTCAAGCCCGTTAGAGACGAGATTGCTCATAGTTGAGAAACGTGGTGCGGTGCGTACAACACTTGCCATGCTGTGCTTGTGCCTGTGCTCTCGACCTCCAGCACGGCCTCCATCGCAAGGTCAGCCAGCGGGCAAGGCCTGGCAACGTTCCGACGGCTTTCTGCAAGCTCCGTCAGGCGAGCCCAGCACTCGAATCTTGGATCATTGGGTGATCATTGGGCGTGCATGCTATCCGCATTGGTGAAGGACAGCATCGAGGTGTGCAATTCACTGGCAACAGGAAACATTGAATGGATCCCGAGCAAGCAGGCTTTAGGCGGCCCCTCCTGGCCCCAGCACTGGGTGGGGGCCCATGGGGCAGGCAGCCAATGGCGTCTCCTCTTTCGTGCCCATTTTCTCCGCCCCTTGCTCGGCATGCCTCCCACGGTCCGTCTCCGATACGGGCTCTGCCCAGTGTGTGTTCAGCCAAGCGAACCGCCTGGTGGGCCCCCCACCAGGACACTAGCACCAGCCAGCGAACAGTTGCTCCGCCTCCCCTTTCAGCTTTCAGTGTCGAGATCCCCCAATAGTCAGTCCTTGGTCCACCTGCTCAGAGACGCTTCCAACGTTATCACTGTCATCAAGCACAGCACGCCCAAAGCCCTCACAACCAACAAAACACGTCCGCCGTGTCCTCTATATTGATGAAATATCAACGCCATTGCCTTGTATCGCCATATTGACCGCCTACCGTGCTAAGACCTTCAATCGATCACTGTCTATTCCCTGCACGACCAACCTTTTCCTGGACTGAGTCGACACCTCGATCGCGACCAACCACAACGTAATTGCATCGTATTGGTTCATCGTTGGTCAGCACGGTGTCTGCGTCGAGATTCGACGGCGCGACACCCTGGGAGAGCAAGAAGCAGCGCTGCTTCTTGCGGCTCTTTTGTGACTCGCGTCACCAGCTGGTGCCAAAGGATCCAGGCCGCCCGCCGTTTCCCAGTTCATACTGCGATCATGCATGCTGCTGATGGGAACTCAATGTCGGAGAGGAGGGCTTCAGTTAGGAGATCAAGGCGAGTGCCAGCAGAGAATACTGTCGGCGATGATGAATACGATTTGGCAGCGCATGCCGTCTCCGACGGGTTCCGGCCGGTAGCCAACGACTCACCAGAGAGCCCGAGAACGAACCCGCCTCCATCACCTCTGCCAACTCGATTTCATTTATCCAATGTTCCCCGATCACCTCCGCCGCCTGCTTTCAGTCCAGTCAAGGGCCTTGCCGATTTGAACCGACCGTCAAGCACGTCCAAACCTCCACGCTTCCACGATACCCTGACTCTTCGAAATGATGGGCTGGAGTCCGCTCATGTAGTACAATCATCCTCGCCAAGCAGCTCCTTCCAGGGTGGTGGTCCATATCAGGGTTCCACGCAGCCGTCTCATCCGTATCAACTGTATACGCAGAGGACGTACAGCAATGCCACCTCATCTACCAGCCCTTCTTCGGAGACACTTGATGAGACCCGGGTCCCTGCCCATCCATACGACTTATATACCCAAAACATTACTACTCCCGACGAATCTACGCAGCAGCGCATCCCCATAGGTTTCAATGGCATGGGGAACAGCTACCGCAGGCAGATTGGGCCCGATGGCGAGGATGCAGGCGATTTAATTGGGCCGCTCGGCCATATGGAAGAGCTCCCACCGTATTCACGCTATCCCGAAGAGCCTTTTCAACATAAATTAACAGCTAATCATACAGATGGGGCTGGTGCCAGAACAATTGGACTGACTGGTTCACGCCGAATTCAGCCTATACCAGGTGCTGGTGGAATTGGTCTTGCTACTCGGAATCCTGAGTTCTCCTCTACAGAAGATTTAGCTGGCTCCCCTCGGAGGACCACATCTTCGATTCGCAGCAGAGCCTCCTTGGAAAGCCGTCACGAAATTAATGGTGCAGCCCGCAATTTTGTGGAAAAGCCAAGCCCGAGCAAGTGGCAACGGAGGGCGAAAAAGAAATTTTGCGGAGTTGTGCCGTACTGGGCAATCTGTCTCTTGCTTTCCGGAATTGTTGTCATGGGAGTCGTAATGGGCACGGTAATCGGCACGATTGTGACCAGACAGAATGGCTCGAATCCCAAGGGTAAAGGGTAAGTCGACACATGATATTTTGGCTCTCCCCACCGCCTTACATAATTGACGTTCGAATATTTTCAGGAAATTCGATAAAAATGAGCGAAGCCCGAGTGGCGTCGTATTTCTGCCGTATCTGCCGCGGGGATTGCCTCCATTGGCAACGGGTTGCTATTCCCTTCCGCCAATGGACAAGTCTCAGGCGCCAAAGTCCTGTATCAAGGACTCAGAGCAGACTAGCGCCTGGAATTGTGATATGCCTTTCCGCTGGTACTCGATGAACGTTAGCGAATACGACGGCGGCACGGAGATTTCACACTATGCCATGAATCTGCGGCCCTTTGACCCCGAAGCCTCCAAGTTTATGTACGGAACTCAGCCTCCAAACATACCTGACTTCCAGCCTATGCGACTGGTAAACGACACAAAAGAAATCAATCGAGGTCCGGCTTGGTTTCTCGAGATCAAATACAACAAAACGGTTACAGTTCCGGAAGGTCAGCTCACACCTCCTGGCTCGTCGAGCCCTCAGCGACGTTGGGACCACCCAGAAAGCTCATATCTTGACGTTGTCAACTCGCGTTTCTCGAGGAAGGGGATGGCCGTTGTGGAAGGTGACAAGCCCTGGACATGCACATGGCCCAACGTTTCGCTTCAAATCTACGTCTACCCCAATCAGACATCCACACCACTCAAAACCACCACAACATCCGATCCGAACCAGTCGGTGGTAAGTACGCTCTCTCCTACACCGACATCACCATCGGGTGGGCAACCGACATTCCAGGACCCGTATCCCAAACTAGTCAAAGTCGTGGAGAGACGCGCACATTACAGCGATGACTACGCCCCTGCAACGTGTACGCAATATCGTATCACCAATGATGGCCAGGACAGAGAACCTGTTCTCCAGAATGGAAAACCCGTGACCTTTGTGATCCAAGAAGTGGGCAAGCTTGCCAAGGCGGGTATCACGCGGCGTTTCGGTGACTCGAGTCATCCGACGGATTTTTTCGCTCTGGAGGGTAGGGATGTGGAACTTGCTCCCTGCGGCTGCGTCTCGTTCTCATGGTCTGTATAGCCAGTAGTAGCTGGGGCGCGTGATGGGATCAGCCTGCGCTCAATTCGCCAGGACTTGATATTGTCGATATCCCTCCCCCGGCTTCTCCTTTTTCACAAATTTAAATTCAAAACCACATGTGTATATATATACTGGCTGTCTAGATGGCTTTGTCACTATGGGCGGATGCATCAATGGCGTTTGTATTCTGCGTTGGCGACTTGAAATTTTGTTACGCCGTCGTGCCGTCGGCTCGTTGCTACGAGCAATGATGCCGCTCGTCCGGATCCTGTATCCTTCAAAACATGTGCACGTCTTCATGTGACGCTCCGGCGGGGAGGAAACCGTCGTCCACGATGCTTTCGCACAGACGTCGAACCTGGAGTCTCGTCGCTGTCGTCACTCCGCCAGCCGTTCTTCCACGTTCACTTTGGCGGTGCCAGCATTCCTGGTGGTACAGAACTCGCAGAGGCGAATTATATGTGTAGGAAACTGTCTTTGACGCGAGTTGATACGTTTCCGCCGTCAAAGGAGGATCCAAAGCGCTTGATCATTTCCTACTTCTCTAGATGGCGTGCCAATGGTTGTATCCGTGATAAAGTGCCTAGCGGCATTCAAGGGTAAATAGTACAAGCGAGAGCGATGAGGCTATTATTTTACAGCGGAGGACAGAAGAGACACAATAGGGTGTCAGGGTAAATCAGGCGAAGACAAGAATCAATACAATTCTTACAGTGAATTGGCGTGTCATCTTTGATGGCATTTTCACTTGATGGTGAACTAAATGTCTGTCTGGCTCAGGTTTCCTGTTATTCCCGCCATGCATGAATAATCTGCCCCCCCATTGGCATTTATACATGAGAACGAGGCGAATTCTAGTCTATGCTTGTCATTTCGGCCCCCATTTAGCATGCATGCTTCATGCATTGCGGCGTTTTTTCTTTCTTGCTCAGACTCTTGGCAGGTTGACGCGACATACGGGCCTTGAGCTGGGCTGACTGAGGCTCGCGGGACGAGGCTGGGAAGAGAAAAAAGCCAGACTCCATCAGTAGAATGGCGTCTCGGCCAGATGCTGCGCACAACACACGAGTGGCTTGATGGGGCGCATGGGCTGCAGCGTACCTTGTGGGATCCAGGGCATCTCGGCGGGAGCGACATCCACGCCCAAGGCTGACTGCTGTACACGTATACCTGCGTTGCGGTGTGTTGGGGGGTATCCTGAAGCCAGTCATGTCGTTGGCTGCTGATGGTCCGACGGTTGCTCTTCATCCTGCATGGCGCGGATCTCGTTATCGACGATGTCTTTCCGGCCATCTCGGAAGTCCCGCATGAGAGATAAAAATACCGAGTTTTGCCACTTTTCGCCGTTTTCGTGCTGCACTGATTCGAGGAGGCGCTCCGCCGCTTCAGAGACGGCAGATTTCCCTTTTGCCGCGGCCTCGTCGTGGATGACTTGTTCGACCTCAGCGGCGGGGAGCTGGTCCGACTCTGGCTCCTGAAGGGATAGACTGCTGATTTCGGGAGTCTCGAGATCAGTGTAGCGCGAGCTTGATTCTGCCTGCTGGATGTTCTGGGTAGTCGTAGATGCTGCCTGGGCAGGGAGAGACGCCCCGTTGATTTCAAGCTCGCGAGCCATTTGCTCCATTGCAGCGTCCACCTTGGACATGTTACCACCGGCGCCATGGTTCGACATCCATTGGGACATTTCTTTGCCGAAATCAGCTTCGACGGGGTGTGGATATCCCACGAAAGATGCTGCGCCGGGCGCGTACCTGGGACCCCCGAATGCTTGGCCGAAGGCGGACTGGAAATTCATTTGCGTCGGCTGTTGATTCACTTGTACAGACGGTGAAGGAGCGACTGTGGTAGGATGTTGCAGCTGCTGACCGGAGAAGCGGCTGAAGTCTGCCGCCCAGTTGCTGACATCAGGCACAGGTGATGCGCTGGCTTGTTGGGATACCGCCCGGGGATGCATGGGCGCGACAGGTTGTTGAAGAGCGGCTGCATGGACGGCTAAGCGATTTGCCGGGTCGCGAGACAAGCCTGCGAGGGTGGATGGCGTTGCGTCCATGAAGGTGCCGAAGCTGTCTTGCCCGGGGGGTTGGTGACGAGCAGATCGGAAGGACTGGAGGCGTACAGATTAGTAGCTGGTCCGGACGGCAGGAGGAAACACAAGGCGAGAACATACGCCCTGAGGCTGGCCAGCAGATCGGTCAACCAGGCGATCCTGGTGATGGCTGACATCTCGGGACTGGTGGTCTACCAGGCGCTTGAATGGCGACGGGCCGCTACAAGAAGCGTCTGCCATGGCGGAGAGAATGCGACTTCGGCTTCGGCTTCGGCTTCGGCTTGACGCACTCGGGATGTATGGTAGGATGAATGCGATGGCAACAATACGGCACAGTCTATGCGAGGAGAGCGAGAGCTTGACGGTGACGACTGACGGCCGCGTTGAGAGGTTTGAGAGGCGGGATGATGGTCGGCAAGACGTGAGTTGAGATGCGTGTGGCCGAGGTGCGCCACCCCACAGGTCTGGAGACATGGAGCATTTGACCTGTGCCTGCGGTTTCGGTGTGCCTGTGATCGCGGGCAGCAGCTGCCTCTTTCGGTAGCTTCCGAGGCTCGCAGCTCGACGAACCTGTTCAAGTGGCACCGGCTTTTAGAGCCCCCGATTTTTGTTTATTTATTTCAAGTACGTAACTAAGTTACCTAGGTACTTGACATTGTCTGGTGCCACTGTAACTTACCTACCTCCGAGTAGTGCTTGCAATGGACATTATGGCCAAACGAATAAATGACGGCTCACAGCGTCAGATTGAACGCCTAGAGACCAACTTCTTTCGTCCAGCGCAGTGTCACAATTCGGTACGACGTACGGAGTACACAGTACGGAGTACAGAGTGCAGAGTACCTGGATATGTACGTACCTGGGGACCTGCTCAAGTATCGAATCACGTGAAACCATGCCTGGGGAAAGTTGCCAGGGCTAGGAGAGGCGGCTGGGCCAACTTCGCTGTCCACCGATCGACGCAAGACCGTGTCCTTTCCGTATCACGACCCTCGCCTTTTACCATCCGTCTCGCCCACGCATCTTCTTTTCCTCAATTGCAGCTCGGCGTCGACAGCCGGACGCTCTACTAGCTCAGAATGGTACTATACGTCCCTTCAGCGCATGCCACCAGCTTCAAGCATGGATGCCGACCTGCCCAAGTGTGAGCTTTGCTTTGCTAGCTGTGCTAACGTGGACGGGTACAGGCGGCCCAAGTCATTGCCAACTCTGGTCACGACGACATGATTGTATGCCCATCTCATTGCAATCCTCTAGATTCCAGCGGGCGCCCTGACCTGTTGCCTGTCGACGCGCCGCACGCACAAACTTGGCCCTTGTTTGCAGTGCCGGGATGAACTAACCCTCGATAGCACGATGCCGTCCTCGACTATTACGGCCGCAAGCTCGCTACATGTTCTAGCGATCGCACCATCAAGATTTTCGAAATCGACGGCGAGTCACAGCGGTTGACTGAGACCTTGAAAGGGTACGACGGGTCCTGCTCCTGGCCCGGAACGAAACGACCTGGCTGCACGAAGAATGTGGGCTAACGTTTTCATGTCGGCTCCTAGCCACGAAGGTGCTGTGTGGTGCGTGTCCTGGGCGCATCCCAAGTACGGCAACATCCTCGCATCGGCGGGATACGACGGCAAGGTGTTCATCTGGAAGGAGCAAGGCCAGAACAACCAGTGGCAAAGAATCTACGACTTCCCCGTACACAAGGCTTCCGTCAACGTAGTGTCCTGGTCTCCCCACGAAGCCGGCTGCCTTCTTGCCACCGCATCGTCCGACGGCAACGTGAGCGTTCTCGAGTTCAAGGATGCTGCTGTCGACCACGCCACGTTTCCTGCTCACGGCTTGGGAGTCAACTCGGTCTCATGGGCTCCCGCCACCACGCCCGGCAGCATCGTGAGCAGTGCTCCTGGACCCGGCTCCGTTGGTAATCGACGGTTCGTCACTGGCGGCTCCGACAACGTCCTCAAGATTTGGTCGTTCGACCCCGCCTCGCAGTCATACAAGCAGGAGAGTGAGCCTTTGACCGGCCACAGCGACTGGGTGCGTGATGTTGCCTGGTCACCCACTGTCTTGCAAAGATCGTACATTGCCTCGGCTTCCCAAGACAAGACAGTGCGCATTTGGACGTCAGACCCTTCCAGCAACGGCCAATGGGACTCAAAGGTCCTCAACTTTGATGCACCCGTCTGGCGAGTCAGCTGGTCCTTGAGCGGAAACGTTCTCGCGGTCAGCGGAGCGGACAACAAGGTCTCGTTATGGAAGGAGAACCTGCGGGGTGAGTGGGAATGCGTCAAGTCGATTGAAGAGTGAAGGATGCAACATGTCGGCCCAACATGGGCTTAGGGCGGTGTAGCAGTGATGGCCAAGGGGCAGCGGGACAGCGGGATAAACCGCTTTTTACTTTGACGCAATTTTTGCAAGGCGTTTCCAGGCAGAAAAGACAAGGAGCTCAGTAATATGATGTGCGTGACCGCAACCTCGCCTCGTCCTCCGTTCCCATCAATTGACGGTGTAGCAGTCGTATCGCAGGAGGGCCAGACGGGCTGTGCGTACAATGATTAATTGTAGGCCGACCGGGATGAACCGAGCTGACTGTCATGACACCAGGGAAAAGCAATCGATGGCGAGACGGGTTATGCAGACAAGCACGCGGAATAGCTAAATCATGGATTGAGGCTTTCTGCTTACGAGGATACGCCACAACCTGCATCAATCCTCTGTACTATAAACATCTTTCTTTCTTAGTGACGGCCATCTAGTTTGCCTGTGTCGTTCTTCAATGTCCAATATGGGGAAAAAAGCAAGCAACAAGAACAGCAACAAAAAAAAAAAATAGAAAAAAAAATAAACAAACGAAACGGATAGTCTGCATACATGTTGGTTGAATGACAAAACGTTCAGTAGAAGAGTAGAAGAGAAAACGCCCATAAAGCTATCAAAACAAAGGAAAAGAAAAGGTGAGCGAGCGACCCGACCCTATGATGCGAATTGCGCTCAGGTGCTCAGCCCACACCACTCCGGATGACGCCTGCAAACGTAAGCAAACTATATCAACCCCACAAACAAGTGCTATGCTTTGTACAGGCCCTCTGGTATTGAACTTGCTTTATTCTCCACTCGGGCTTCGTCACAATTGGCATGGCCAGAGTTGAGTTAGCAAAGTCCAATCACGCTCATCTCCAGTGTCCAGACGCGTCGAATCCAGACCTTGAGCTTCCCTTGAACGCCATCGACATTGTCCAGCTCGACGCCCTCCCACCAGCACCTCCTCGCCGGTTTTCTCCAAAAGAGCAACAACTTCTGTGCCATGCCCACAGCATTTGTTCCCATGTCGCTGCCTCTGATATCGCTGCGCAGCCGTGCCAATGCCAAACTGCAAATGACGGCCTTGTTTGGTTCACCAGCTCGATGGCCCCATGTGTCATCGTGATTGAATCCCCTGGTGATTATCCGTTAGTCATTCGACAAACACATGCCGCGGCGTCATGAAGACTCACCCTGCTGTCAGCATCTCGATGAGGTGCGCTTCCGTGGTACCGGGCTCATCGCTTCGCTTCAACCCTGAAAAGATGCCATCTTGTCTTTGCAATGCTTCAGCGGCTGCACGTTTGACCTCAATCATAGCTGGATGGCCAATGTCCGCTTTCGGGGGTATTACGTAAAAGTCCAAGTCTTCCCTCAAAACAATGATGCCTGCTCGCTTAGACGAATCGTCCCGCGATCCGAGGGGCTCTCCAGCCATAGCTTCCCCATCCTGCGACGCCCCAGGCGAAGATTCAGCGGGCATTGTCTGGGCCACATTCCTAAAAAAGTCCAGCATGTATTGCAAAGACACCGGATCATACTAAATAAGTGGTCAGCTTCTAGCAATATGACGCAGCAATCTCAAATTTCACCAGGTCGGTACTACGCACATCGACTTGCACCGCATCACTTTCAGAAAAGCCGTTCATATGGCCCTCTGGGAAAAGTCCATTCGGAAACAGGGACAGCAAAACAAACTCTGGTAACGTTAGGAGTTCCTCTCGCGAGAGGACAAATTTAGTACCACTGTATTCATCGGTTAGCAGGGGTGAAGGCTTCGGTAGCGTGTAGTTATTGGAGCAGTGACGTACCGAAGGTCCATTGCAATTGTCTCGTCGGTCCCGCCATCTATACAAAAGGGGTTAATATAGTTTGAAGAATTGTGCGATTACACCATCCCTCACCTCCAATTGCATTGATGGGTGGCCCTCCTTGTTGGACCTGAGTAATGATGCTCGCAGCGCCTCCCGCGACTGACATGACGTATGTGAATGCGTGGAGAGGACTGTCGCCCTCTGAGTACGCTGGAGGCGGTTCTGTGTCTTCGTCCTTACGACTAAGCTCTGCCTTTGTATCCTGGGGGAGAGCTCGTTTGGTTTCCCCAACTGGATCGTAGAAAGCTCTCGAAGATGTTCCGTCCGGCTGGGAGGGTGTTGATTGGAGCGACGGGCTGCTAGAATACGCAGGAGCAGCTACAGACCCGGATGCACAGGCTTGTGTTGATGCAGCGCCAACAAACTTGCTAGAAGATTCACCAGCGGCGTCGATAAGCGGCGCAAAGAGTGAAGAGAAGGGAGGAGGGCGAGAGGAAGACGCCTCAGAGGCGGGATATTGCGGCGGAGGTGACTGTTCGGTTTCGTCCTCCGTGGTGGCTGCGGTGACGTCGGCGTGTTCTTGCGAAGCTTTCTTATGCTCGTACTCGCAATGCACAGCGGGCTCAGCAAACTCCAACTTGGAGGACACGGAAGGCCCGGTAGCTGCGTCTTGTAACTCGGACAATGTGGCGGATGGATCGCGGATACCGGGCGTCGCGGTTCGGAGAGAAAGAGAGCTGCCCTGAGTCAATTGAGCGACGTCGAAAGCACTGCCTTCGGTTCGTGCGGACCGAGAGTCAGGATCGCCTTGGGGACTAGGGGATGAGGTCACTTTCGGGCAGTTCGAGAGGGGGATTAATAGTGGTCGAAGCGACTGAAGAAGACCATGGAGTCGGATGTAGGGAGAAGCATAGAGAGAAGTAACGGCTACGCAATAGATGCACGAGAGATGGTAGAGCGCTGGGGTGTTCAGGTGTATTGCGTTTGATATGCTGGTGTGACGTGTCGACAAAGACAGGTTTGATGATGTGCTATGATGGTGCCGGGCTGGGATGTGAGGTTTCCGCGGGTGAGTGGGTGTGAAAGGGCGGAAGAATGCACGGGGGTTGTGGGTGGCGGTTGGCGGGGAACAGGAACCAAGGGTCCCGAACTCCCAGCCGTCCCAGCCGCGTGATTGGGGGAAGGGGCGGCCGGCGGCTCCAATAATGCCTGGGTACCCAAGAGTCCAGACAGAAGGAGCGAGCGGCTGACGCCTTGCCCACAGATGTGGTAGAGTGGCTCATCCAGCAGCCAGCCTCCGACACGCGGCAGTTTCGTACTTGCGTCACGGTTCACCAGAACCAAACCACGGCCACCGGATCGACTAGGTGACTATTCAGCCATCGGACGTACCAACAATGATGACCTGCTCGAAATGGCAAATGTTCAAGGGCTGGCTCGATGTCTTGTTGAGATCGCCATCCTTTCCGACCACCGTCAACTTCAAGCTGAAGAGTAGGCTATCCGATCTCGACTACGGCGGATGGCGAGTTTTGCCTTGTTCTAATGCGTGGCGATGCGGCACTAGTCCTCCGCCATACCACCCGAGACACAGGTCTTTGTGAATTACCCTGATCTCCGTGAGAAGAGACTCAGAGAAACCAATCAACCCTTTCCAAGTGCGGTTTTTGAACTGCAGGTCTTACGCGTGGAATTTCACGCACACACTTTTGCCCTTTGGCTGTGAGCCTCGCAAGCCCAGATGTGTTCAACTAGGATTCAACCACAGACACGTCGCTATTGCCCTACTCAAGGGGTCTCTTGGAGGTGTTTCAGACGATTTCAAATACTGCGTTATTTAATATGGCAACTATCTTCTTACGATAGCACAAATACCTTGTCTGTCCCAGAGGCTGGACTGCCTTCCCAAATCTATGCAAACTCAGCATGTTCACTCTTCGACACAAGTATTTTTTTTACATGGATAATATAGTATCCTGTCTCTTTGATCAGAGTACATTCGGTCGCCTTTAGTCTGGATCTGCTTTCTGGTCGAAAAACGCCACCACCTAGGTTTCTCTTTACACAGTCCGCCCGCCTCGCCGATAATGCACCCCGGTAGTCTTGTTTTGCGGCTCTCATTTCCTCTGGTCCCCTCGTCGGGCCTGCCCGTGATGTTGGTTCTATTTTGGGCGAAACAAGCGCGGCCAATCGAGATCTCAAGAGCATAATAAGGTTCTCGTCATCACAAGCCGCTCTCGATAATGGCGCACATTCCATCAACGTGACTGCCCGGCGGAACGTCGTTGTTCTCACAATGTAGTAGGAAGCCTACGAATAAATAGCAAGCGCAGCATACACACTTGCTGCCGTTCCAGACAGCATAGATTTCGGCTCGACTATGGACGAACCATCAGATGTCGTGGCGGCCTTTGAGATGACATGAAGATGGTGACTTCACTGGGTTGGGTTAACCAAGCTGTATACGGATCAACCAAAACGCGAACACTCGGCTTAAAGCCGTTGATATTCGTTTCAAGGCGACCCATATGCGAAATACCACGCATGCCGCGCATTTGCCAGATGGTGTTGTTGGACTCAGCAGCGCAAATCATGTACACACTAGCAACACGATCCCACATCCAGAGCATTGCACGATCAAGCGCATGGAGACGTTTATTCAGTCAAATCAACACTTCGTAGGGTCTCGTGAGTCCGGCACCCGACAATGGACACTATCGAAAGGGGAGCGCCACAGCCAAGCGAGAGAGACGCATGCATCACCTGAACAACATTGTGTGAATCGACAGCAAGTGGCCGCCCGACTCCCATGGATCAAGACCAACCAAACACCCATATTCGCTAGGACCCCTCTGTACGGAGTACCACTGGATATTGTCGCCAGATGGAACTAATTGTCACACCAAAAGTTGGGCGTGGCCCACGCCACACTTTTGTGAGTAGACCACCTTATATGCTATGCGACACCTAATCTGGAGGCGACCCCACCCGGAAGAATCGACAAGAGTTTGTTTCATGGCCCGTTGCTGCAGCTGTGTTGACTGCAACGTAATTCAGCCTCAACTACGGAGTATTAGTTTTCACGCGAAATATCAAAGTCAATGACGCTCACAAATAGAAATAGATGGGGACCCTCCAAGTCCCAAATCCCTGTCTCTGCGAGGGCGCAACTTGAGAAGCAGACATGGTGGCGGGATACCACCAGTGTACGCCTTACGCCTCATAGACAGCTCCATCACCTTGGCCTTCGCAGATCACCAATTCTGAGTGCTGCGACTACCTTGGCTGTTTACGTGTGCGCAGAACGAATTGTGGAAACCAGGCCAAAACACGAAAGGCGGTATCTGTGGGAAAGTTGATATATCAATTTACCCCCCAGAGAGCAATAATATCATTCAGCCTAAGAGTTTTGGATCTGCCAAGGTCTTGTCGTCACAGACAATGTTTCCAAGAAGTTGCAAAGAACTGGCCTTTCAGGCTGCTGCGCGTAAGCGTTACTCCTGCTAGCTAAAAACTCACCTCTTCTGTAGCTATATACCCTGCCTCTCATGACGTGCATCTGGTGTGGCCCCGAGATGGCCCCGACAAGACTCCGGAATGGGACCTGCAAATAACAAGATGGATGGTCCCGAGCTCTCAGCTCGAGTCCATGACAGAAGTAACCAGTACTTGGTGCTCTCTAGCTGCTTTTTAGCCAAGGTGAAGCCGTGGCCCAGAAGATGATGCGCACTTTCAACACATTATCTGCGTAGTCGACGAATTCCTGCTTGGTGAATTTCATTCCTGTACGAGGATTCACCTCGTCTAGATCGGGCTCCTGAACAGCCACGACAGAAATGGGCACCCTGTCGTGATACTCGGCAATAAAGGGGTACGAATTGTCAACCTGCGCGGCTTTGAAGGGGATCAGATCTGGTCCGCCAACGCCGACTTGGTGACGGGCGTAAAATTCAAAGGATCTACTGAGGTAGCCGTTGGCGTCGTTCCACCCGTCGGGCCAGAAGTTGACGTACTGCACCACGTACGAGTCCCCGAAGGCCTTGGCAGCGTAGGCGGCGTTTTCGAGCTGGCCGCGAAAATACGCCTCGCTGGTGAAGTTGTAGTCGCCCTGGTTCACTGTGATGGCCGTCTCGGGCAAATTGAGACCGACGATGTCGCCGTCGAGCTCCCGTGCCAGGGCGCCCAGGAGCGCCTGATAGCGCTTCCGCACCTCGGGATTCCACTGCTGAGCCGCCCAGCCGTCGATCTTGAAGTCGGTGTCGCATGTTTCGCCGTCGCAGGTCGGCGCGCTGCCGTTGTTGTATTGCGCCGCGTGCATGTACTCGGGCACGGGGTCGTTGGCGGGAGAAAAGCTCCTGTCTTGGAGCTGCACCCAGAACCGTTTGCCTTTTTCTCCAACGCGCGCAATGTCGCTTTTTATGGCGGAGAAGTCGTACTCGTCCTGACGGGGCTCGAGGGACTTCCAGCTATACAGGGCCTGGACGCCAACGAGGGCCGGGTTGTCTAGGAGTTTGAGCGCGAGCTCGTCGACTTGGCTGCTGTAGAGCCAGTGCTGGGGGCGGGAGGCATCTCTGGATGACGTTGCAGCGGCGGCGGCCGATGCTGCGAGGGATGTGAGCGGAAGCAATGTGAGATGCATTCGAATTTGGAGCAAGTGAAATGTATTATGCATACACTTATTCGAGAATACGAAGACAAAGGACAGGTGGAATGCGCCGACGGGGCGAACAGTTCGTATTTAACCGCGTGGAAAAGGGGGTCAACAAATCTGGTCATTGTCACATGTTGACGCCATGCTTGCCATCAAGGCTTGGCCTTGTCGTATCTGCAAACAGCGATTCAGGAAAACTACGAGGAACGCAAAATCCTGTCGGATACGAAATCTAGGGTTGGCACGAAACTGTGGTGCCACCGGCCCATGAGCCCCCGAGGGGAACCGGCTCATTGGGAATACATTGGCAATTGGGGACTCGCAGATCCCCGGGCCCTTGTATATCTATGTGTATTCTCTATTCTCTCTTGGCACTCACCGAAAGAGGGAGGCTCTCCTCGCAGTGGGACAGTTGGGGTGGCCGGCACGACACGAACAAGCCGTGGCGACGGGGACCCGGCGGCATGTATCTCGTACAAGGCGACATAGCGGTGACAGCATCCCCGTGCGCAGTTCTGGCCACTCGACTGCTGTGCTTGGTCCCGGCGGTGTTGATCGAGACACTCGTCATCAAGACATTTCTGGTCGGAGGTTGGGGTTTGGTCGTTGGACGAGTCGACGCCCGCACTTGGCGCTGTTGGCATTTGGTGGACGCAAATTGTAGGGATACCAAGGTCAGAATGCAGAGAAAGAAATCCTAGTCTCTCAACTTTTCATGCTGTAGCACCTACCAAAGTCGCCGCCGCGCCTGAGTCGCTTGTGCCAACCTCTGGCTTGCCACGAAGGAACTACCCGAGAGAGTTTGACTTGTTCGATATGTAGGTGGACGGGAATAGGAACACCCCAGGCTATCTATCATGCCTGCTACTGTGCCGACACCGACAAATCGCTGCCGGGGTTTCCCACACAGGCTTTGCCATCCCATCGTTGTACCAGTACCTTGCATAAAAGACGATCTGGTCATCATCAATCCAAATACTTCCACTTTCCCTGACGGAACAGCAGAAGACATATCACGAGCGCTACCCGGAAACAGATGGAGCATCTCTCGATTCGTATGAATCACAAGTCCGAGACTGTTGGCCCCAAGCCGGTTCCAAGCAGACTTGCATCAGATGTGAATCTGCAAGCATCACAGCGGAGCCCTTGGACGTGCTGTGCCCGGCCAAAACTTGTGGCGTGATACTGTAGGTTCCCAGGAGAGAGCGATATGAAGATGCATCACGCAGCGCAGCGACAGGTATCCGTTGCCAGTTTACATATCGTGCTGCTCTATAGTAGAGCTAGCACACGCCTTTTGAACAGAAAAAAACCAGAACCAAAGGCATCGCACTTATTTGAAATAAGAATCCAATAGTAAATATTACTAATGATAAATTTATATTGATTCCAGCTTTGCCGGCGGCGAAGTTGGCATGAGCTCTTTCCAAAATAGGCAATTGCGCCGGCGCCGCTCGGGACCCATAGTTCGGTGGCCCGGCAGTGAGGATGGATGCTTCGAGGGCAGACTGTCGACGAGGGAAAATAATATTCTACTTTGGTACTTTTCGTCACCTTTACCTTGTCATCAACATTGACTGAAATCGACAGAGCAAAGTTCAGTCAAGAAACATGTTCGTTACTAAAGGCCACTTTGTACGTGTGTTCACACCCTCTATGCGATTTCATTCCGGGACATTGTCTACTCGTGTCGCCTTGTTGCTGTTGCATGAGGCAGCCAGTTGGGGGACAAATATAATCTCGCAAATTTGTCAGGCAGCGTTTAAGATCAGATTGGCTTGTCCAGCACGTATTCTTCGGTTTCATCAGGCTCGGTCTCGGCTGTTCACTGTGCGGCGCGGTACTCAATGGCTGGCCAAGGACGAAATCGTCATTGACTGGAGGGGTGATGATGACTACTGCCCCGACCATACAGGACCGGTCTGTCGAAAAAGCTTGACTGTCGAGGATGCGGCGACGGTGTAATAAGACTTGGCTTCAATGCAGGCGGCGAGGAGAGGCCAAGTTCAATATCGGCGGCGTAGGCGGCAGGTGCGTCCGTGACGGGCACCTGCCACTTTCCCGCGACCAATCGAGTCTCGACCAAGCGCCATGTCGACAAGATAATCTGCCCGCGGACAGACAACAGCAAGACATATAAATCCAAAGCACCGCGCAGTCTTCCAAGCCCACAACACAGTCTGCCAAGTCTGCTGGTTCTCTCTCCATGGCTGTCATCGAAGAAGTGAGTCTCATAACTCGAGTCTGTGCCGACCGCCTCTCTCCCGCCGATATGCAACTTGTCCAACGCCAAGACGATGCCGTCCAAGGATATCCGCGCTCGGTCACTACCTGCACGATGGTAGCGAGGACCAGAGATATCACTTAGATATCGGGCAGCCCGGGTGCCCCGCCTGACCAGCAGGTCTTCGAAGCAAGACTCTCCTTGTCGCGTTGATAAAGGGTGGGAGATGTGTTGCAGCACTTGGCCATCCAAAGGCGGTCGAATCCATCTCCGTGAGAGCGTTGCAAGCCGAGACTGCTGTTCTAGCTGTGAGAGGCGAGACGTCGAAAAGCGGGATTGTTGATGTGCGGTTACGTCAATACGGTGACACGTTCACGGTCCTCCCTGAAACCGTCCCAGTGGTTGTTGGGCTAACGGCCCTCGCGAGGGTGTCTACATGCATGAGGGTAGTGATGCGGCCAAATCTGCTGCGGATGTGGTTCTTACGAGGCCAGGTCTCAGTGGTCTGGTGACCGCGAGAGAGATGAGCAGAATGCTTGGGTAGGACGGATCAAGTTCAACTTTGCACGGGCCTTTGTGTACGACTTGTTCGCGGTGCTTCTCGCTGCTGGCGCCTTTCCGAGTGTGCTGGCTCGGTCGAGTTTGTGAGCGTTTTGCCCGTAATGGCAGCTGCAGTTCTCATGCGTTGGTCAAAGGTACAACTTGTTGGCCCTCGGGGCGAGATTCAACATGTCGACCATGTTGCTGATTGGTCATGTTTCAAACACACAACTCTTCCACTCGAGAGACGTGTCTAGGTTGTGTCATCAGACAATCTCTTACTCGAGGGAACTGTCTTCCGTTGACCGACTCGAGCACGAGCACGACCACGACCACGACCACGCACTTCGTCCAAAGACGCATCGATAGTCGCACTAGGGAGATGGGCAAGGCGTCGGTTGAGTATGCAGGAGTCTGTCATTCCCGGCAAGGCCCCATTCCAATTTCCTGCCATCAGTCCCGCTCAGCGTAGGATTCGCCAATGATGGCATTATTTGCGATGACGCCATCGGCCAGATCCGCACACAGCTAGTATCACCTTGTTATCGCGGTGTACGGACCACAGCGTGCGCGTGAGACAGACGCCTCGGGAGAGCAAAACAGACAGGCACCGAGTTTACTGCACTAGCCTCAATTCGTCGGAAACCCGGAGCAATCCTGTGGTTGAGAGGATACAATTCATAATGGTGGTCGCCTACATGTGTCGTTTTGGTCTTCCCGTAACTCCTCCCTCCCTCCAACTCTGCCCAAGATGGCTGGCGAGCTCGAGCACCAGTCCAAAGCCGAAGCCGAACCCGGGACTGTCACAGATGACGGTGATGGCTGCGGATTCGAACCTACCGAGGAGCTGAAAGAAGGGGTCGGGGGCCTGAACTTCGAGCAATACACTGCCGGCGGCCTGGGACGTCACCTCGGCGTCTTCAGCACCACGTCCTTGATGTAAGTGTTCTCCCGGCAGACTGCCCTCTGGCCGTCGGAAATCTCTGACGCTCTGTCATCTGGCAGCATTGGACGCATCATCGGCACCGGCATCTTCACTACCCCATCGTCAATCGTACATGGGGTGGGTAGTGTGGGAGCTTCCCTGCTGCTCTGGGTATTGGGCCTCCTGCTTGCCTTGGCCGGGCTGTGCGTCTGGCTGGAGTTTGCTTGCATGATTCCGAGGAGCGGCGGAGAGAAGGTCTATCTCGAGGCTGCCTATCGCCGCCCAAGGATGTTGATAACCACCGTCTTTGCCGTCCAGGCGATTGCGCTGGGGTTCACGGGTGAGGGCGCGGCCAGAATCCCAACCTGGCTCTCCTGGCATCACGGCGACTAATATTCTCGACATGGTGCAGCTTCTGGATGCATAGTATTCGCCTCCAACATTGTCGTCGCCGCCGGGCACCGCGCCACCGAATGGCAAGAGCGCGGCATCGCCATCGCAGTCATCGTCTCCATCACCCTCGTCCATGCCTTTTTTCCACGGGTCGGCGTTCACGGCATGAACTTGTTCACCATGCTCAAGGTCGTCTTGCTGCTCTTTATTGTGGTCACCGGATGGGTGGTCCTGGGAGGTGGTGTATCTGCCATCAAGGATCCGCATGCGAGCTTTCGAAACGCGTTTGCACACTCTGCAACTTCCGGAAACCCCTACGCGACGGCGCTCTTTAAAGTTTTGAACTCCTATGGCGGGTAAGCGTGCCCCTGCATGTACATATCCAGCCGTCTCATACATCCACGTGGCTAACGCTGGGATGCAGGTGGTCGAACGCCATGTACGTTCTGAACGAAATCAAGAATCCAGTCCGCACCATCAAAGTCGCAGGGCCGCTCGGTCTCGCCACCTGCGGCGTTCTGTATCTCCTTGCCAATGTGGCATACTTCGCGGCTGCGACACCGCAAGAGATTGCCCAGAGCGGTACCACCGTTGCGTCCTACTTCATGGGCAAGGTGTTTGGCACAGCGGCCAAGAGGGCGCTGAGCGTCCTCGTCGCGCTCTCGGCATTCGGAAATGTCTTGACAGTCACCTTTGCCCAGGCCCGGGTTAACCAGGAGCTGGCAAAAGAGGGTGTCGTTCCGTTCCCGCGTTTCTGGGCGTCCGGGTGGCCGTTTGGTTCCCCGTCCGCAGGTCTCATTCTGCACTTCATTCCCTCCTTCATCGTCATCGTCGCCATCCCGTTTGGCAATGCGTACAACTTTATTGTCGACCTCGAGGGCTACCCAGGCGCTGTCATCAACTTCCTCGTCGTGGCGGGCCTCTTCTATCTACGCTACAAGAATCCAGCTGCCTCGAGGCCCTTCAGGGTCTGGTGGCCGGTTGCTGCGTTTTACATGGTTGGTCAGGCGTTTCAACTGGTGGCGCCCTTCCTGCGCCCGCCTGGCGGACTGGGCGATACGCCGCCTCTCCCGTACTGGCTGTACTGCGTCGTCGGCATTGGCGTGCTGGCTGCCTCGGTTGCGTCTTGGTTTATCTGGTGGGTTGCGGCGCCCAAGCTGGGAGGCTATACGCTCGAGCCGCACAATGAGCCGTTGCGAGATGGAACAAATGTGGTTGTGTATCGTCGCGTACCAAACAAGTACCGAGACACCTAGATGGAAATCGAACGGGGGCCTCTCGGACGAGGACATGTCTAGAATAGTCGTGTTTGTGCTTTGTACGCAGGCAAGCACAGGGCGGGTGAGTGACTCGAGGAACTGCGTGCTTTACAGCGTGGAGATGTCTGCATGCGCTTCACATCAAGTCACGACCAGCGTAGACACATGTACACACATGGCCGGGAAAGTGTGAGCTCAACACATGCAAGTACACAGTCTACGGATGTAATATGGATGACGGCAAAGAGAAAGCTAGCCCACGAGCGGCCTGCTGCCCTTTGGAAGAGTGATGCGAAAAACCAGCATCTGGCTATCCAGATCGAATCCTGATCTATCCGAGAAGGAAGTCTTGCCAAAGTTTACAAAACCTGGTGCTCTGTGATCAGTGACGAATCAACACTCGTGTGTTTTCAACAGCAGGAAAGAATAAAAAGACGCACCGTTTTGAGTGACAAAGTCGTTGTCGGAGGAGGCGAACAAAAAATACTCATCCCCGTGGCGCCCTTCATCTTGGTCACCGGCCGGGACCAAAGCCAGGCCTTCCCACTTCTCATTCAACAGGCCGCCATCCTGGGGACCGCCGTTGTGCAAGTTGAACCTGGCGAGCTGCGCATTGAGGTTGAAGTCGACGAAAGGGCAGACGGTGGCGGGCGCGATGCCGGACCCGAGGACACCAGCTGCTGCCGTTGTCAGTAGACGCCGACGCCTTCACGCCAGTCTTGCCAGCGGCAGGCAGGATGTGGACGAACCCGCGCTCGCAATCGATGCGTTGAAGGCATCGCGTGCCGGCCCCTCGACGTCGGTGGCGTTGGAGAGGTCGAAAATGTCGACATGTCGATACGCCGACTCGGAGCTGGGCAGTCCACGCCCGTGGTTGGAATCCCGCGGCAAGAAGAGGAACTGCGTGTCTGAGACGAAATGCATCTCCGACTGTGCCGCGACCGCCGTCTTGCCGGACGCGTCCTTGAAGGTGGGCAGCGGCACGACGTACTCTCGCTCGTACACGGCCGTCTGGCTGATGCCGTTGCATTTCTTCACGGAGTACTGGAGCAGCCTCGTGTATCGACGGCTCGACGCGCTCGTCCCGCCGTCCTGGAGAGCGGCGGACTGGAGAAGCACCCATAGGGATGTCCCGTCTGGGCTGGTCGTCATCCCCTCGAACCCCTGGTTGTTCTGGCGACCTTGGGTCGGGCTCGACGGAACAGACTGCCTGTGCCCGGCGGGACCGTACGCCGGAGGGTTGTTGGACGAGAAGCTGCCGCGTTGCCGGCCGGTTCGCGTCTGTCAACCCGGACACTCTCCAGAGGCAGGCCAGGTTGGACGATTGGATGACTCACCTCGTGGTGCCGTTCCTCAGGGGCAGGAGAGCATCTGGCGGTGCGATGGCGGCAGTCATCCTGCCGCTCCTGTCAAACTTGTAGATGTACGGGCCGTACTCGTCGCTGATCCAGAAGCCGCCGTCTCCGGCGAGGACCAGGGCTTCCGGATCGAGCGCGACGCGTTTTCGTCGGGGCCCGTCGCCGCCAAAGCCGTCGCCGGTAAAGGTTGCCGCCGGCAGAAGCGGGAGACGGGGATATCGCAGGCCCGACGTCTGGTCGGCGTCGAGGCCCGTCGTGGGCTCGCCATCGGGCCCGGCGAGCAGGATCGAGTCCCGGTACGCGAGGGCGACGTTTGGGGCCGAGGGCCTGGCGGCGGTGGCATTCGGAGCCGGCGTCATGGTGACGAGGAACTCGTGTATGCGCGGCTGGAAGTTGACCGTTCCCTGTGTGTTCCAGCCGCGATCTGGCAACCCGTACAGCTTTCCCTCGTACCGGAACCCCTTCCAGGACCAGGACGCCATGGCGATGGACGAACCGAGGCTGATGGTGTCTCCGAACTTGTCTCGGGCATCGCTGGGGACGAGTCCGTATCCGGCGAGTTGATTGTACGTGTACGCCTTGGCCGCGCAGGTGGTTGAGAAGGCGTGACTGCTCGGGGGTGCGGCCGAGCCGGCGGAGGCGACAGACGCCATCGCGGCCAACGCGGCCGGCAGAGAGCGAGTTCGGCACATGGACGAGGACCGTTGTCAACTTGTCGAGCCGGGCCCGTTGCCTCCCGCGGCGAGGCCAGTCGACGGCATGATGGCGACGGAGGGCGAGGGCGAGGGCGAGGGCGAGGGGAGCTCAGCTCTTTACGCCGGGAGCGTGTGCGACGGTGCGAATGCCAGCTTTGGGGGTTCGGACATTGGTCCTGCTTACGGAGCTGCCGGGTTGGTTCATATCAAACATGCAAGTTGAGTGGTTGGCCGCCGCTCCGTCTGCACCACGCTGCACTGATACGCTGTGGCTTGCTTTCCCGCGAATGTTTATGGATCGACTCGTTGAGCTAGAATGTATAGACTATGCGACAGGCTCTGAGCGCCGCCGCCATGCCCGACGGCGACAACGTTCCTCTAACGACACATCAGGGCTCGCTATGGGGACTGCGAACTGGCCGCTCGACGGGAAGACTCGGCCGAGGCCGCGGCTTTTGGTTCCTCGCTCTTCGACTCGGGGAAAAAGGGCGTCTTGCAAAGCGGGCACGTGCTGTGCTGTCGCAGGTACCACGTATCCAGGCACGAGGAGTGGAAGTAGTGGCGGCACGGCAGCTGGCGGACCATGTCCTCGCCTTGTAGGATGTCGAGGCAGATGACGCTGCGGAAGCGAGTCAGCGCAGGTCGTGAGTCGTGACGGATGCCGAGCTCAGGGGTGGATTGTCTTGTCTTGTCTTGTCTTGCCTTGCGGACGCAGGGAGACGGGAAGGGGGCAGGGAGAGAGACCTACCAGCTTATCACGTCGTCAAAGGAACAGGAGCGCGACGTCGTCGGCGGCTCGGGCTTCTTGTCCTTTTCTTGCTCGTTTCCGTAGGCACGGCTCGGCGCTACGCCGTCGAGCTTCAGGAGCGAGGCTACTCTCTTGCGTTTTCCGGCCTCCACGTCCTCGGGGCTGCTGGCGCCGCGGTGCTTGCACAAAAACCTGCCATGGTACTCTTAGCCAATGGCCCAAGTCGGCGAGAATGGAAGACGAGAACAAGACGGGCGAGTCAGGGGCTCACGGCTCCAGTCAAGGCACGGCACAGCATACCTGGAGCACAGGATCAGGACGACAAATATGCCGGCCAGAATACCGAGCACGATGCCGACGGCAACACTCCCGCCGTTGCTGCCGGACGGTGGGCTGGCGTCTTCCTGATGATTCGGTGATGGCATTGTATCGCTGGCCCCGTGGTCGATTACTTCGGGAGGCGGCACCGGCCGGCAGGACACATGATGCTTATCAAGGGACGTCTTGTACGCGGCCTCGACCCAGCATCGTTGCCGGGAGTCTGGGGCCAAGAGCTCGGTCAGGGCGCAAGGCCTCGCGTCAATGTCAACGAGCTGTTCCTTTTATGCCCGATGGCAAATGGGCAAAATAGAGCTCGAGGCCCCAGCCCAGCCCAGCCCAGCCGAGCCCAGCCCAGCTCAGCTCAGCTCAGCTCCGAGGCGAGCCGGACGACCGATGGCTGAGATGGCCTCATGGTCAGTTGCTCGACTGGAACTATCGGAGTGGGTTGCCGAGTGAGCCATACAACGGTCGCGGCTCATCCGCCAACCTGAGCCAGTGTCTGTCCTTGACGCCATCCAAGACCAAGGCTAGACTCTGTCGCGACAAGTTGGTGGCTTGCTGCGCGCGGTGGCGTCCCGCCGGTACAAAGACAAGGAAGAGGAAGGGCAAAGAGAGAACCGGAGCCGTTGTGAAGACGTGGTCCAAGAGGCAGAGTACACATTGTGGTCGCTGGTGGCCACACCCACACCTCGGCAGATAGCCGACTCGGCGGACGCGTTGGATACAAAGACTCGAGAGGAATGCTCCCAGCTCCCGGTGGCGTCGATGCGCGTGCCGCACAATGCAGCGTGGGTGGTGCTGGTCGTTTTCCCGGTGAGACGAGCGGGAGAGTCTCGAGAGAGTTGACGGTTGCTTGACGTCTCGAGTTGCCGAGACATGGACCTGCGCGGACGCTCTGCGAGTTCTTGGCGTGTTGGTTTTCCGCACAGTCAGTTGCACCTTCCCCGGCAAGACTGGACAATGGCAATGGCACGAGTCTCGCGACACCAGACGAGCCCGGATGAGCCACCCCGAAAGCGCGAGGTCTAGACTTGAGACCCATACGGAGTACACGGCCAAGGACGGAAAATCACGCCACCGGTTCTGGAGTCTGGACTGCGGCGACGAATCGCCGTGGGGGTCCCCCGAGGAAAGGCAGACTTTTGCCTTTGGAGACTCGCCACAGCCGCACTTCTGCAGCTGCACCGTGACTCTCGATCTGAGCAAGATTCGCCTCGGCGTGGTGTTTTGGTTTCGCAAACACCAACGCCGTCGCCTCTGCAGCAGTCCGAGTCGTCGGTACTCCCCAGGCACCGCGGCTCGACTGAGCATCGTCATCATCGCGGGCCTGCCCTCCCGCCTGCCGCCGCCATGCATCGTCAGTACCACCGCCGGCGCTCCTGTTGCCGTTGGGACAGGTTTCCGCTCTCGAGTCGTTACAAGAGGCAGTCGAGGTCGAGGTCGAGTCTTGTCTTGTCTTGTCCTGCCGCCACGTGTCATGTCGCGCGGTGGGTTTGACGTTTCATGTGTACATGATACGTGATACGTACACCGGGATCCAAGGAGTCGAGGACAACCGCCGCGGCCGTCGCGGCCCTCTCCAAACGCTCTCTCCATCCTGGTCATCATCTTCTTCTCTTCTCCCTCGAATCGGGCCCCGTCTCGCTGGCTCGCGTCCAGACTGCGCAGAGACGAGCCCCCAGTCCCAGGGCGTCACCCATGGCTCCTGTCGGACCATCGCCGTCGCCGTCGCCATCACGGCGACGCCGCCGCGCGGCCTCGGTCCCCAATGTCGCCCTCCACGCGCGGCGCCGAGACAGCTCCCCGGGCCCGGCTGCCGCCGTGGCCAACCTGCCGCCGGAGCTGATCTTCCACATCTTCGACCTGCTCGACCCCATCGACTGCGCCTGCCTCGGCCTGACCAACCGGCGCTTCTACGCCGTCCTCCGCCACCTGTACGGCTCCGTGCCCCTGAGCTGTCGGCGCCTGCGGCCCAGTCGCCAGCCGTCGGCGCGCGGCCGGGCGGCGCCCCCGTCGTCGCCCCCGGAGCCGCGGGAGCGAGAGCGGGAGCGAGAGCGAGGGCGAGACGCAGACGGCGGCGCGGGATTCTGCCACCACTGCGGCGCCCACCGCTGCGAGCTGCATCGCCACTTGTACTGCTGGATGGGCGTCCGCGACCGCCGCTCCGAGTACTGCTCCGTCGCGGACAGGTTCCTGCCCCCGGCCGCCGAGGGTCCCGTCAGGCAGTGCTACGTGGCGAGGCCGGGCTGGCCCCGACGCTGCGGCAAGCATCTCTCCGGCAATCCGGCCTCGTCGACCAGACGCCGGCCGGTGCAGTCGTGACGGGCCGGCGGCTCTGCTGGTCGGGACGGACGCCGGCGGGACAAGAGGAGGAGGTGGAGGAGGAGGAGGAGGAGCGTGCGCCGACGATTCCACGTTTTACCGATGCACTGCGTTTTTTTTTTTTTTCAAACAAAAAAGTATCACTGGCGGGATTATATTGGGCTCTCATCATCTCTATTTCTGCTGCATCAACGTGCTAGGAAAATGGTTTGCATGTTCTGACGAGACGTTTATTACCACAAGCCGCATTGTGTTTTTTGCTTGTTCAAAAAGACATTTGGTACTAGCGATATCGTGCGCGCAAAGAATCCACCTCTGTTTGTTTCCGCCGCCGTGTCCAAAGACGCGAGCCAAGATTGAACAACGAGACAAGAAAACAAGTGCAGGAAAATATCATGTGCTTCCGGCCCACCCTGTACTGCCACGAGCCGCATCATCCCTTTGCAACGCATGACCGGCGACATTGGACGCAGGCCCCGACTCGTTCGTCGTGTCCTCTCGTCTTCGTGTGCGGGCCCCCTTTTACGCCGAGACGTCCAACGGCGACTTGCACCCAAAGGCGTTCAGCTGAGGAATCGCATAGATCTGGATCAGGTTCTCGACGGAAGCGTATATGCCGAGGCCGCACAGCGCCATGGCCCCGACAAAGTACAGCAGGTTGAAGACGTTGAGGTAGCAGCGAGGCCCGAGGAAGCCGCGGACACAGCGCCGGGCGCCGCCGTCGCGCACCGCGAGCGCGCCCGTTCTCGGGTCGAACCCGGCCTCGCCTTCCATGGCGGACTTCTGGATCTGGTATCCCAGGTGCAGAAGCGGCGGGAACGAGTAGGTGAACTGCAGGATGCAGACGGCGGCCACGATGCCCGTGAAGCCGGCAAAGTCGGGAATCGCGGCCCCGATGACGTACGCGACGGACCAGTAGACGGGGACGAGGGCAATCCAAATGTACTTGCCGTGCTTCGTCTCCAGCGCCGGGGCCCTGAAGAAGTCGACGAAAATGTTGTTGTAGAGCACTACCCGCCGCGGTGTCAGCGCAACAGTCGCGTGTGGGAGGCAGGCCGCCGCCCGGCACGGCCGAGGCCCAAGGGAGGGAGGGCGTCGTCGGGGCGTCGGTCCATACCTTTGATGCCAATGTTTCCGTAGAGCGTGGCTGCAATCAGGGCAGACACAATGGCCAGGGAGTTGCCTGCCGTCTGCAGACCGTAGGCGGATATCCCGAGATACGCGGGCGTCTGCACGTACTGGCCCTGGTAGGCGTACATGAAGAGTCCGTAGAGCATGTAGCAGACGTAGATGAACAGCTGAGCGGACCACATGCCCTTGAGAAAGTCTCTGGGGCGCCTGACCTCGGACATGAACTCGGGGAAGATCATGCAGCCGCCGTACGAGTAGACGGCCTGCATGGCCCCGTTGAGCGAGGCCGCGAAGTTGTTCTCGTCAGGCAGGCCCGCGCTGTGCTGGACCGGGGGGTAGACTCCGCCGACGGGCGTCACCAGCGAGTGGCGGATGGTGTATCCTGCCGACGAGGCCGACGCCGAGTAGAGCGGCGGCGAGTGGGCGGCGGCGCCCATGGTCAGGAACATGATGACGAGGTTGATGAAGACGGCGGCGTTGGCAAGCCAGGCGAACCGTTGCAGGGTGCGGATCTGGCCCAGCACGAAGCCGGCAAGAGCCCAGACCAGGCAGCAGATGGCGTAGCAGAGCCTGAACCGCGCGGCTTCCGACAGCGCCTCGCCGTTGGATATGATGATGGCGCCGACGTTGCAGATGAGCTGGATGGCCTGGAGGCTGTTGAGCAGGTGGCGGCACCACGTCCCGTAGACGCGGAACCCAATGTCGCCAAAGGACTTGACGGGGAATTGGAACGAGTCGAGGCCTAGAGTCGGACGTCGAGTTACGACACGAGCTGAGCAGACGTCTGGAGAGAGATCAACTTACCCATGAAGCAGTCCCACAGCAGATATCCAGAGAAACCCGCCATGGCGCCAAAGACGGTGTAGAGCGCAGTACCCGGCCTGTTTGTTCCCGCGTCAGCCGCGTCTCGTTCTCGTCTCGTCTCAGTCTCGGCTACGTCGTCTCACCCCCAGCCCGTGGTTGCAAAGGCATAGGGCAAGCCAAAGGGCCCTAGGATATCTGTGGTGATGAGGTAGAAAACCGCACCCGTCCCGGCCGTCCTCAGGGCCCTCGAGGCGTTTGTCCACTCCTCGTCGGAAATCAGCCTGCGCTGCTCGACATCCGACGTGTTCAGATCTGAGCGGACGGCCACCTCGGCAGGCCCTGTTTCCAGCCTTTGCAGATTCGGCACCAGATAATGCAAAAGGCCCTTCTTGTGCGTTTGCTCGGGCAACGCGTCCTGTTCGGTACGCGTGATTCGAGCATAGTGTTGGTATTCTTGGAACGAGACGTCTGGGTCGTGAAGACCTCGCAGTCGGGGAGGGATTCCTGCGCCGGCGCCCGCCGGCTCGACCTTGTCATCCCGTACGATTCCCTGAGAGTTGTGACGGTGAGCCTTGTGCTCTGCGACTTGCTCGGAATTCTCCATGCCGGCAGCAAAGCTGTGACGAGGGCCCGCGACTTGCAGATGGACCACCGCGGGCGGCGAGATGGCACATATACCGGTGCTCAGTCTCTCTCCGTCTCGTTTGCTTCTTCTCTGAAAGCTTCTATGGTTGTTCCGGCGCTGGCTCGTCGGTGCAAGCATTCCTCGTGGCGGCGCCGCGCGCCCTGCCACCACGCCCCCTCGGCGTCGTTACGAACTTTCCAAGGGAACTTTTTTCAAGGCAACAACAGGTTGTCTGTTTCTGGGCGCAATTCGTCAGCCACCCCTCCCAAATCGGCATCGAGCTGCCGATGGGGACGGCCGCTGGCGTCGGAGAATGCCTCCTCTCCTGCACGGCACCTCAACCAAGCAGCACAGCAAGATCGATATCAAATCGCCTGGTCTCCCGATCTTGTCCTCCTGTTTCCCCCCCGTCCCTGTCGGCAAACCTATAGCAATGGGCACCCAAGGACCGCGTAGGTTGTGGGAGACTGCGAGTGCTCTGTCCACTTGCGCCATCGAGGCATGCTGAGCGGATGAATGCGGGGACGGCAACAACGTGTCCGTCGGTCGCCATGTTCCGAAGAGCCCAAGCGTGTGTCATCGACCCCGTGAGTGAGTCCCTGTGGAGAAGGAAGCGCCGCCTCCCCAACGGGACGAATCGTCGTGGGATCGACGACAGCCACATCCGCACCCCCTTACTCCGTAGTTCCATAGAAGTTCCAGGGAGGTTGTGCTGTGATTTGTCAACCGCCAGCCGGAGTGGTGGCTGCACACTTGCGCGACCAGACTCAAACAGGACGACGATACGACTCCCACGTGTAAGTTGGTTGGCTGCCCAAACGCAGCTTCGCCGACGTGTCCGCCGTCTCCCCAGCTTTCGGTTGCATATTCTCCGTAAACTTCACCGACGTGTCGCGCCATCGGTCTGCAGACGCCAGGCTGCCCTTGGTGGGCAAAGTCGTGGCGCTACCAGCGCCGTCTCGAGAGCAAGCCAAGTGCCACGGATTAAATTGTGCAAACTTCGCTTGGTCGAAGAGCTTTATACGAGCCGTCTTCAAACACGTGCGCTCGCAACGAAACGAGTCCTCCAGAATCGTGTTGTACAGCCCCCCAGTGGGCAGCTCCGAGACACCGCCCACAAAGTTATAGTCCGAAATCGCCGTCCGGTAATACGTAATCTGGTTCCTTTCGCACCATTGCTGAAATCGAGTGGCCTCACTGTGCGCCGAGGGAAAATGTGACAGCATACGATTCAAGTAAAGTACGAGGATGGCTTGGGCTCGTCGCCATCATGCCCGGCTACTAGCTACTTGACCGAGAATGTGCCGAATACCACCCCTTGTCATGTCAAACATCCGGGGCCACGAGTATCAGCACGAACAGGTTCAGTGTCGTGCGAACCATCATGTGGTGTCTATCAATGTTCCTGTCCTGTAGGCCTCTCTGCGGCAGCCGGCGCGACAGCAGAGTTCCATGCATAGCTTCGATAATGTGAGCATTTGGTACGAAACAGAAGTTGTGGATGAAACATACCAGATGGTTATAATACGTCAGTCAACTCAACTACTCACTATCACTGTCTCCAAATATTGCCCTTAACACATCGGCATTGGCTGCCTTCCCTTCAACGGCGTCATTCTTCTCTGGATTCACCTCTACTAGTTGCTGAACTGGCGTTGCCGTCCCTGATGACGTCGGTGCTTCCAAAGCTCGAGGTGCTGAAACAGGGGTATTCGGATCAGACTTGGACCATTGCGTTGGTGCCGTCCAATTATCGCTCCTGTTTGCTGTCGAGGCGGCATTGTCTGCTTCGCGATCCGGTACAGCATGCGCGGGAGCGCGTACGTTGAACCTCTTACAAAGAAGCCTTGTCGGATAAAATTCTTCAACGGAGCGCGTCATGCGTCCAAACATGCCTACCATGGCGGCTTCTTCGGCGGCATCTCTGCTCTTTGGTTCGGGTTTTGACAACAAGTCCGTACTCGTCTTGTCATCGCCTTTCTGGCTGTTGTTGGATGATGAATGAAGCACAGTCTTCGAGGTAGTGAATCTTGACGCCATGAAGCCAGTCATTGGTTTGAAGATCCTTGCGCAATTGTAGAATTCATTCATTTCTCGAACATAGTCCTCTTCCGTTGCTCCCGGCGCTTTGTCCGGCGGATCTTGTCCATGGTTCGCCTGTGAAACCAAGTATTTTCTGTATCTGGCACGCTTCACCTCATCGTCTGCATATGGTCCAGCCGGGCTGCGTGATAGGGCCGCCGCCGCCGTCGTTTGATCCAATTTCGGAATTTGATTCCATAATGCCTGGCGTTTTTCGTCTTCTGACAATGGTCTGTGGCCTTCGGGGAGTTGGCCCAACCCGGGAGGGAGACTCTGATTCCCAGACAGAGCAGCTAGCTTATCTCTTGACGAGGAAGATATGAAGTCAAAGACGGATTTCCCCGGGAGGGCATTCTCACCAAGAAGGACCGCTCGAGATCTCGGGTCCATGGTGGATACTTTGGCGGCATCGGCAGTGGAAGTGTATTTGGAAGAATCCCCCACGTTCAGCGGATCTTTTGATGATTTCCAGCCCACGGGAACGGGGGGTGGTGCGTATTGTGACAGAGCAGCTGCCAAGTCCTCGACAACTTTTGCCAGGACGAAGCCGTGCAGTGGGAGCCTGCCATCATGACATCGACGGAGGTTGTTTCCAGCCCTGACCGTCTTTGACAGAAATACTGGCGCCTTCTGAAGAGACGGATTCACTGCAGCCGTGGTTTTCTTCCTCTTCTTCTCCTTTTTCTTGTCCCCTCCCATGACACGATTGTACCTAATCTTGGGTCCAATGTCATACGGATCTTCTTCATCCGAGCCAGTGTCATTGAGCACACCGACACCGAAAGCGCCCCGTTGGAATTTCACTTCCTTTTTCCCCGCAGAAAACAAAGAGGGCCGGTCGCTCTTGCCCAGCGTGTCGTCATCGTCATTGTCCTGGTCCGAATCGCCCGTCTTTTCCAGGCTCTGCAACCTCGTGCCCCCCTGGTGTCCTAGGCCCATCCGATCCGTTTTTCGAACAAACTTTATCATTTGAGCATCATCTGGAGCAAACAGGTACGTCTGGTCGTCCAACCCGGCACCACCACTCTTTCCGACGTCGAGCCTGGCACCACGTCGAATCTTGGGGCCGATTCCCTGGCCATCTTTCCAGCCCATTCTGCGTAACAGATGCAGTCCCTTTGTGTCTCCGGGCGGTTTGAATAGTCCCATGAGCCCGACGGCGCGGATTTCATCCTGGGTGGACGAACCCAGGCCTGCGAAGGCGCGCGAAGTCTGGAGCTGCTGCGCTTCGGCTGCATCCTCCAGATCTTCCTCGTCCATGTACGCCTCTGCCTTTTGTTGCATTGTGGTCGATTTCGTGTCGTCTTCATCTTTGCGACGGCTGGAGCGGCTGGAGACAAAGGTAGACGGTGTCCACCCTTCCTTGGAGCCTACGGTATTGAAGTAGCTGTGAGATGAATTGTTAGTTTCCAAAGTGGCACAACTTGGCTACACCTCGATCAGCACGTACCCTGCGCTCCAGCCACCTGTAAAGGCGCCATGGAGCCGTCTTCTGCCCTTCTCATCCCTCACGTCTTGTTTCCACAAGGGTAAATATGAGCCATGGTCGCGCGGGTCGGACTCATGGGGCAGAGGCGTGCCAAACAGGGCATACGGAGCGTCAAGGTCTGCCTCAAACGTCGACCGAGAGCGCTTATACGACATGACAGCTCCTGGGCCATGAAAACTGCGTCAGGTTTGGTCGTTGTGGTGTCATGGCCTTGGAGGCTCAATTGGGCGCTTATTAAAAATACGAGAGGACGGATGATGTGACGGATCAATGTGCCGAACAGGGGAATGCGGCTTATCGATAAGCGTACGTACTTGGCTGGCAGGCAGTGTACAGTGGCGCCCGAAGCGTTGGCCTACTCCGTACTCCGTACGTCGACCTGTACCTGCCTCAAGCCTCCAGCGCTGCCCGACTTGCTCAAGATAGCATTGACGGTACAGATGACATGTCGAATTGTTGGCCGCCGACGCTCGTGACGGAGGATATTTTTCGTGTAACCCACGCGGTCAAACTGCAGATAATTCACCAGGAGCCGCCACGATGGCGAGACGATGACTCTGTCGACATGCCGGCGCGGTGGGTTGAGTCCAAGGGGCTTATTGTACTTGTTGTAGGATGACGCAAGGGCCTGGAGCCGGCAGACGTGGTGGCAGGCAGGCCCCAACACTGTCCTCATTGCTACTTACTTAGGTACTTAACCAATGCAAGTATGGAACTTGGGTAAGAGTAGTAGGTACTTAGGCATGTATGTGTGCACCTGTAGGTAGACCTGGTATTTGAGTACTTGTGTCAAATGTACCTGTGTAGGTTCTCAGTCACCCAGAAAGGAACGTCCAAGCGTGTTGTATCAGGCACCTGCCAAGAAATTGAGAGGTAGGTACGGAGTACGTGCCTACAAGCATGACCGGGTACAGCCACTCCGTGCATGCAGCATGAAGTCCCCAATACAGCCAATGTCCAGCAGGACAAAGGAAGCAGAAGAGGGAACAAATAAACAAGCCAAGAACGAGTGTTGACGGGGCACGAGTATTCACACGTCAGCGATGACCGCCCACGGACATGGACACGGATCAATTGATGCACATGCTCTGTGCTTGACAAGAACCAAGGACCGGCCAATGTCTTGGCCCTTCGCATGGACCAGTTGACAACGCCGCAACGAGACGAGACGGGTTACTTATTAGTGTTGATTGATCCGTGTTTGTGTTTGTCAATTCTTTCTCGTGTGTCTGGCTGTCTCAGCCTTCGGCCCTTCGCTCCCACATCAACAACGTTTGATCTTCATCATCGGCGTTTTATTCCCGCTACCCAGCAGCATTCCGACTTGACCACTCCCGCGCTGGCTGACCAGGACCCCTGGCACTTTCCCCCGGCGGCGCCTCAACTGACCACTGGTCGGGATACGTGCCGAGGTCCTAGACTCCCAAGGAGTACTCCGTACGTACTAAAGGTACTTGAGTACTTAAGTAGTGTTCCACTCGGCGGCCCAGCCCCCAGCCTGCGCGATATCCGGCGGCCCGCTCCAGTACACACATACTTTAAGTAAGTACTTCTTAAAGTACATGAGTACTTATACTTACCTAAGTACCTGGATACTTACCTTAAGTAGGTACTCCGTCCCGCCCTTCAATCAACATCAATTTCAAGAGTCGACGTTGAAACAATTGACATCGGCGCCAAAGCCGGATATTCACAGCTTGAATCAATCGGTGGCACATCGGATTGACCAAGACATTGTTCCTAACAACTTGGGACGTCATGTGCAGTACGTACATGTACGTATGACTGCGATTGCATCACCATTGAAATTAATGCATCGCGCCCGTGGTGACGTCTGGTCGACTTTTATTTCGCATCGATTGGTACTTCATAAAAAAGTACGCAGCAGGCCCCCCTGCGCCCATCCGCCGACGCCTTGAATCATGCTCGCTCGCTCGATGCGTCCTGTCGCATTGAGTTGAGTTTGGAGCCATCATCCCAGAGAAATCCAGTTGTTTTTTCTTTGTTTTTTTTTTTTATTCTGTTCATTGTCTGTGGTCGTTTCACGAGTTTTGCAGTGAAATTTTGTTTGGGTTTTTTTTTTTTTCCCTCTTCTTCTCTGACTTTTTCCCCTCGCCCTGTCTGCCAAGGCGGTAACGCGTCTCCCCTCCTCGCTGCTACGATTGACGATTAGTAGTCGCATCACCAAACAGACGCACGCCTCCACTCGTCGACTGGTTGACTGACCTGCCTGCTCCCTGCGGCCGCCATGGCCACACACCATCGCCGCTCCTCAGTGTCGCCGTCGTCGTCTCGCAGCGCCAATGCCAACGCCAATGCCCATTTCAATGCCCATGGCCGACATGGAGTGAATGGGCTGGTCCTGACCCCGTCCCGGTCCCCATCCACCAGGTCCACGGCGGGGCGATCCCGGCATTCAGCACGCTCCTATTCCTCGTCACCACCAGCAACCGCTCCAGCATCTCCTGTTACCGGCAGCGGTGCTGCGATTGCTGCGCCTGCGCGCTCCTCTCGGCCCCCTCTGTCCCCATCGTCGGGAGCCTCAGCCTTCGCCGCCACTAATCCCGCCAGTCCTGGTACTGCTACTGCTTCCTCGCTGCCAAGACCAGCAGCCCCAGGGTCAGGCTCCACAGCGCCCAACAACAACAGCCAGCGTCGCCCAGGCCAGCGTCACAGTGCTGCCAGCGCCAGGGATAACAGCGCTGCTGCTGCCCGCTCCACCGCCGTCACCACCATCGCCGCCTCCTCCGCCTCCTCCTCCTCCTCCACCAGCACAAACTCCCAGCACCGGCACCAGCACCGCCAGAGCCATCCCCATCCCCATCAGCATCAGCATCAGCATCAGCATCTCCAACCTCAGCGTCGTCATCACCGCCGCGCGTCTGCATCGTCCGCGGCGTCCCCGCCCTCTCGCCCCGTCCAGGATATCCTCCCCCATCATGACTGCGAGACCGCGCACCTAGCATCTTATTCTTCTCATTCGAAGCGCAGCTCCAGCAGAGACCGCACGTCGCTCCCAGCCTCGACAAGGGGCGCTGACGCCGCCGCCGAGTACGCATCCCCTTCCGTCTCCTCGTCCCAGCAGGCTGCTCGCCGGGCCAGCACCCGCTCCTCCTCTCGACGACACCATCACCAACCTCATCCGTCGGTCGGGATGGCTCCCTCTGCCGTCGCTACAAACAATGGCGGTTCTTCTGCTACCCCTCCCTGCCATGCCGCCTCATATGCCGCCCCCGATCCTCACCATCAGTCACACACTGCCACCAAACAGAACAGATCGCGCACCACTGTTCCCACCCAGTCGGGGAAATGGATCCTTGGCAAGACTATCGGCGCAGGTAGCATGGGCAAAGTCAAGCTTGCCCGCAAAGAAGACGGCAGCGAACAGGTTCGTGATCAAACCTCAGTTTTAGTTTATATTTTTCCCATACCGGTCTTGTCCATGTTCCGTCCCTGCCCTACATGTCCCTGGGTCGTCCTATCTCGTCACTTCTTGCCTTGTCGTTGGATGCACCTCGTCGGACATTCACCACCGCCCCTTTAAATCAGATTACATTGCTCTAATCTTTCTTGTCTTCCTTTTCCCGCTCCACAGGTTGCTTGCAAAATAGTCCCTCGAGGCTCGACCGAAGAACACCAGAGCCGTGCAGACAAGGAGCGAGCGGACCAGTCCAAGGAAATTCGAACCGCCCGCGAAGCCGCCATTGTCACTCTCCTGAATCATCCCCACATCTGCGGCATGAGAGACGTCGTTCGCACCAACTACCACTGGTACATGCTGTTCGAGTACGTCAATGGCGGCCAGATGCTCGACTACATCATCTCGCACGGCAAGCTGAAGGAGAAACAAGCCCGCAAGTTCAGTCGCCAAATCGCCAGTGCACTAGACTACTGCCACCGAAATAGCATAGTTCATCGCGACCTCAAAATCGAAAACATCTTGATTAGCAAAACCGGCGACATCAAAATCATTGATTTTGGTCTCAGTAATCTCTTCTCGCCCCGTGGCCACCTCAAGACCTTTTGTGGCAGCTTGTATTTTGCTGCTCCGGAGCTCTTGCAGGCCAGAGCATACACAGGTCCCGAGGTCGATGTGTGGAGCTTTGGCATTGTGCTTTACGTCCTCGTCTGTGGTAAGGTGCCATTCGACGACCAGAGCATGCCTGCTCTTCATGCCAAGATTAAGAAGGGTCTGGTAGATTACCCTACTTGGCTTTCAAGCGGTGAGTCATTACCATTATCCCCATGCACATCTGTCTACGTGGAAACATGCCTTGCGATTTTCCCTGCACGGTTGCAAAGTGGCTGACCTTTTTGTTCATCCTTTCCTCTTTTTTTTTCTCTCTCTTTAGAATGCAAACATCTCATGTCCCGCATGTTGGTGACCGATCCCAAGCAACGCGCAACCATGCAAGAAGTCATGAACCATCCTTGGATGACAAAAGGTTTTTATGGACCTCCGGACAATTATCTTCCTTCCCGCGAACCATTGACGCATCCCTTGGACCCGGACGTCATCCATGCCATGCAAGGATTCAACTTTGGTTCCCCTGAAGCTATCCGGGCTCAACTAAGCAAAATTATCGACTCCGAGGACTACCAACATGCTGTCAAGTTGTACCAACGGGAACGAGAAGCCCCACCCCCTCCTGCCAAAGACGCCGAGAGGAGGAGAGGCTTTGGATTCGATTTCTACAAGAGACGGAATTCTTCCAACAGCAGAGACACACTGACTGGCCTAAGCAGCGATACCTTGCAGCTTGGCCATGATCCTCTATACGCCTTTAGTCCGCTGCTCTCCATATATTACCTGGTCAAGGAGAAGCAAGATCGTGAGCCAGCGCAGCAAGCCCCTGTCAGCTCAAGCGGTTCTCATGAGAAGGAGAAGGAGAAGGAGAGGACTCGAGAACGGGAGAGGGAGAGGGAGAGGGAGAGGGATCATCGAGATCGAGACTACAGAGATCGTGACAAAGGCGCCGACGCCATGCCAGAGCTTGCGCCTCCTCAGGCGGCTCATACCAACGCAACTGCGTACGAGATGCCTGGCGAAAGGCCCACCGGTGGACGGTCAAGGCCTCGTGCCCGTACTCATGGTGAAGACGATGCACCAGAGTCAGCGAGACAGCATGGACATGCTCCACCACCTCCCCCTGCGGAGTCCAAGGTGGAACAGCTGCAAAAGAAGGAGGGCACTGCGGCTGGACTGCTTCGAAGGTTCAGCACACGAAAGCGCAGAGAACCTGAGCGACTCGACAAGGACCGTTCTCATCCTCCCATGGTGCAAGTTCACTCTCCATCCGATCCAGCACCAGCGCCTGCAACTCCCAAAAAGAGCTTCAGTATTCGCCGTGGCAGACGGGATCGTGATGAACCTCCGGTCCCACCGATTCGGTCAGGAAGCAGCCAACCTCATCATGGTGCGCTACTCAGCCCTCCACTGTCCGCCCCCGGCACGAGGGGCAGTCGAATGTCAGGTCTGGGACGTTCTACCAGTGTCAACTCGGCGGAAATGCGTCGTCGCCAGGGCGGTAGACTACCCAAGGAGGCCGCTGCCACCAGTAGCTCTGATCAATCCATGTCAAATGACCAATCAGGGTCGTCACGGCGAACCCACGGCCACTCCAGATCGGTCTCAATGAGGACGAAATCACTGAGCCATGCCCGCCGAGAGAGCGTCCAACGTCGTCGCATGAGACGTGAAGGAGTTCAGGAAGCTGACGTGCCTGAGGAGACAGACTTTGAACCAGATCAAAGTGGCGTGTCTACGGATCGACTTGACAGCGCTGAACTGGCCAAGCCAGTATTCCTGAAGGGGCTGTTCAGTGTATCGACGACATCTGGCAAGTCGGTACCGGCAATCCGAGCCGATATTAAGCGCGTTCTCAAGCAATTGAACGTTGGATTCGCGGAGATCAAGGGAGGCTTTTTCTGTCGACACACGCCAAGTATCGATTTGAACAAGGTACATGACCCTCCCACCAGTCCTGGTCAAGCTTCGGGCCATCGACGCCGGTTCAGCTTTGGTGGCTTGATGCGGAACGATGACCGTGAGGAGATTCGAGACCTAGAACGGGAACAACGCCAACCCCAAACTCCCCGAACTCCCGGTCGACCAGACCGAGAAAGAGACCGCTCTGACCGAGATCGCAGCTACTCCAACTCGGAGACGTCGGTGGATAGCATCCCTCGACGAAATGGCGGCACTACGAGGCGAGTCCCAGGCGAAACAAGCACCCAGGTCCAAAGTGACCTCGGCGAGAGCATGGTGCTGGAATTCGAAATCTTCATTGTGAAGGTACCTCTCTTGTCACTGCATGGAATCCAGTTCAAACGGATGACAGGCAACACGTGGCAGTTCAAGAATATGGCAGACCAGATTCTACGGGATCTGCGGCTATAGATGCACGCGCCAAAGTGAAATCATAAGGCTACAAGTACTACCCTGTAACCAGGACCGATGACGTCGCAACCCATTCAGGCGTTCGTTTGCAGGGGCTGGGGAGGGCGCGAGTCTGCTGAACGCAACCGTGACCGACTTTTTGCTGTATTGCTCGTCACACTGGTCACACAGCTGAGGAATGGGAAGATTGAAGATGTTCAAGCCCGTGAGTAGTGACGGAGCACCGGACACAAGTTCTTTTTATTTTCCCAGGGGCCATTACGACACCGTGGTCTCGGACGGCACATCATCTACAAAACAATAATGCGAGCATCATGTTTGTATAAGGGCATATTGAGCGTTGCAAACGATTCATCGTGTAATATTCTTTTCTCTCCTGCGTGTTTACTTTATATTGGCAGGATTCTGAGAGCACCAGAAGCAACAACTGGGGTGGAGAGCACATTTGCGGCACCCCAGAGCTAGACTGGCTCTTTGGGGCGGTGGGGGGGGCTTTCGTTTCGTTTCGTTTCGTTTCGTCTTGTTTTTCTGGCATTGGGTTTTGATTCAGACAGCATATATGGTAGTTACATAGGAGAGCAGCAACATGGGTAATGACACAACTGAGTTGATTGGGTGCTGGCATGAAGTTGCTTTGTGGCCTGATCTGATTACGAGCCTGGTCCGGATGCGTATGCTGTGTGTGACGATGACGATGATTGATGATGAAAAAGCAGGCTGTGTGACTCAGGACGTGGATCGCAACGAGCGAGGCTGAGCGAGGGTTTTCCCTCGACGCACGTCGACGCGGGCCTGGCTGGCTGTTGATTGGTCAGGAGGAGTCAGGACAGCCGTTCTCCGTTCTTCCTGGTCCGTGCACCAGAGGGGCTCAGCGCTCAGCGCTGGACCATAGACTTTCTTGGTGGTCGTTCTTGCTCCTTCCTCTTGGGCCTTGGCTCTTCGCTCCTGGCTCCTTCCTCCTGGCTCCTCAATCGGTTCGGCCATCAACCACCAAGCGGAGCCGCAGCCAAACTCAAAGGCGGTGGAGCGAGCGCAGTCCGACCGAGCACGAACAACGAAGACAGCGACACCACCACATCACGACCAGCCTCAAACAACCACCGCGTCACCAGGAGCCTGCCGAGCTCTGCGTCGCGTCTGCCTTCCTTCGTGCCTCCCGGCCGTGCAGCCTGTTTGTCGCACGACCCAATACGCGCATTGAGCTGCTGCCGTCTTTGCTGTCCTTGCCCTTTCGCTGCCAGTATCAGCAAACAGCTCTCCGGCCCTCTCCTACCCCTCACGACACATAAACCTGTCTCTGCGAGACCGGCGAGCCTGTCTCCGACGACTCTTGTTTCGAGGTCATCTACTCGCCGCAAGCGCTTTCGTCCCTCTGGCGCCGCAGTGGGCTCAACACCCTGGGCTCCCTGACCTGATCAGTGATCACTCTGCGCGCGATATCCGACATCGTCGAACCTATTCCGAAACGGCATATTGAAGTGGGCACACATACTCGTCTCGACTCTGCCTGGTTGCCCAAGATGATGTCTTCGACGCACGCTTATGCACACCATCAATACAACCACCAGGGCGACTCCAGCTGGATGCACCACCAGCCGTCGCACCACCAGCCGGGTCATGTGTCTGTCGCTCAACAACAGCAGCAGCAACAGCAGCAGCAACAACAACAACAGCAGCAGCAGCAGCAGCAGCAGCAGCAGCAATCGCACTTCAACCGTATGGCTGGCAATCATTCTACTGGCGGCGCCGGTGGCAACATGGGAGGTGCTCATGCCCAGGATGCCGGTCACGAGAACATGTCGGAGGATAATCGGCGCACAATGGCATATATTGCGGACTTATTAAGTGAGACCACGAGGGAGGCGGCTCTGCTGGAGCTGAGCAAGAAGAGAGAACAGGTCCCCGAACTAGCTCTCATCTTGTGGCACTCGTTCGGTACGTCTTGTCCCGAGGCTGAAATGATTGATGTCCGCTCGCCCAAGGGATGATGAACTATACTAACTGACCCGGTCATATAGGCGTCATGACGTCTCTCCTGCAGGAAATCATATCCGTCTACACTCTTCTGAGCCCGTCGCAACTTACCGCTGCTGCTTCAAATCGCGTTTGCAATGCTCTGGCACTCCTCCAGTGCGTTGCGTCGCATAACGATACCCGGACCCTGTTTCTTAACGGTCAGTTCACATCTGCAAGGAGGGCCCCGTCATTGAACGACGGAGCTGACACCGTGTATAATAGCGCATATCCCTCTGTTCCTGTACCCATTTCTAAACACAACGTCCAAGTCCCGGCCGTTTGAATACCTGCGACTCACTTCCCTGGGGGTTATTGGTGCCCTGGTCAAGAACGACTCTTCAGATGTCATCAATTTTCTCCTCACCACCGAGATCATCCCCCTGTGCCTTCGGATCATGGAGACCGGCTCAGAGCTTAGCAAGACTGTTGCCATTTTCATCGTTCAGAAGATCCTGTTGGACGACAATGGTCTCAACTACATCTGCGCCACCTATGAGCGCTTCTATGCCGTGGGCACTGTCCTCAGCAACATGGTTGCTCAGCTTGTCGAGTCTCAGACTGCGCGCCTCCTCAAGCACGTCGTTCGATGCTTCCTCAGGTCAGTAACGAAGAAGAAATTGTCTCAACATTCCGAGAGCGCAGTCGGCTGACCAACGGCAATGTGTATGCAGACTCAGCGACAATGCCCGAGCCCGGGAGGCTCTCCGTCAGTGCCTACCAGAGCCCCTTCGAGACGCCACCTTTTCGTCTGTCTTGAGAGACGACGCCGCGACCAAGCGGTGCCTTGCCCAGCTCCTCATCAATTTGTCCGACAATGTCGTGGACAACTCGCAAGCCGTGTCCAACATGTGACGGACGAATCAAGATGGAGTTCCGGAGTGAAAGGGGGGAGAACCCGGCTAGAGAAAAATGCACCCAGAGCATGTTTCATGAGGCATTTGTAACACAAGAAACGACCGATTTGCATTTGTTACGGCGAATTTTAGGGAAACAAGGTCATGGCCCAGGTCCACGGGCCAGCGAGTGGTTTTCTTTTACGGATACTATATTGGCGCATTTTACACAAGAGAGGAGACCTTGTGTGTCATGCGAGAAACAAGGGACGACACTGGACGGGAGCATGTGGCATTGTTTATACCCATTGGTTGCCGCTGCCTCGATGGTGTCACTGGGGCTTCTCCCCCCCGGGCAGGAGACGGGAGCGGTTGCCTGCAAGGAACCATGAATCACTGGCGCTTGAATGCTTTTCGCGGACCTCGAGGCAACTCCAGGTCTGAGGTCTGACGATGGTATTGTCGATATGGAGTCGTATGGTTTGGGTGTGTATGATGGGCAAGCTCTGGGCGGCAAAAGGGGCAGTCATCGGAATTGGAGCCGAGCATTGGACCGTGGCTACGTGCCAAGTCTTGTCCTCCAGCTGGGCCATGATGGGACCGAGGTTCGCCTTGACCGCCCGGTGCTGAGAACACGGGCTTCCTCTTATGGCTCATGGCAAGGGGCAGATGACGGAGTTTGGGCGTTTGCAAGCAGGGTATGGTAAGGTATGGTAGGGTATGGTAGGGGAGGGGAGGGGAGGCGGGGGGGGGGGGGGGGAATACATCTTGAGTTTGCGCCTGGTGTCTTTTTGCGCGTCACGTCGGCATCTATGCATCGGAGAGAGGGACGGTTCGGAGGCGAGGAGGAACGGTGAATTGCGGACGGGTACGGTGTACATCTAGGTTAGGCTCGACGGAATGTATTTGTATTTCTGCACCCGCAAAGGCGAGAGGAGACGGGCAGACCGGTGCAGGCGTTAAGGGACTGTATGGTGTGGTATTTTCGGTGACGGAGGGACCGTGACTGTCTACTTGACGACGCGACTCGCAGGTTAGGCTCGACGGAATGTATTTGTATTTCTGCACCCGCAAAGGCGAGAGGAGACGGGCAGACCGGTGCAGGCGTTAAGGGACTGTATGGTGTGGTATTTTCGGTGACGGAGGGACCGCGACTGTCTACTTGACGACGCGACTCGCCCCGGACGCACGCGCGAGTCTCATCCCCGTGCCGTCCCGGAATATATATATATATATATACACATATACATGTATACATGGCGGGCGGGCACATGGAACAAAGGAAAGACAAACACGTCTTAACACCTCGAGCGCACGTGCGTCCGTCCATACATCCATCGCCCGATGCCGCCAGCAAGCATCTTGGACACAACGGCGCCCGCCCGCCACGGCATCCCAGGGTATCGCATCCCATCTACCAAGCGGCAGAGCGGCAGAGCAGCAGAGCAGCAGAGCGGCAGAGCAGCAGAGCAGCAGAGCGGCAGAGCGGCAGAGCAGCAGAGCAGCAGAGCAGCAGAGCAGCAGGCAGCCACTCCCAACGAGCGCCCGACGCTCCGACTCGCATTCGCGCTGGGCCCGTCCCAAAACGCAATTCCTGTCCGCGGAGCCTCCCCATGTCCACACGGACGGACGAGGCGAGACGAGACGAGACGAGACGAGACGAGACGAACCATCCACGTTGGCCATGTGGCTGGCGCAAGGGAACGTGCCAAGGTGGCTTTCGTCACACGCAGGTAAGACGGACGATGACGACCAAGAGCAGGCCGAGCAGGACCGCCAGCAAGCACGTTGCAGAGTAGGTGCGGTGCCCCTTGCACGCCACCCCCATCAGCCAGTCGAGTCAGTCCTGCCTGTGCCTGTGGCCACGATCGGACCGGGATCGACGAGTTCCAGACTTCCAGACTTGCCGGGTGCCTGCGCGCCGGCGCCTTGCCTCGGGTCGTTTGCTGTCCCGAGTCCTGACGCTCCTGATGCTGACTACGTAGTGGTATTGCTGCTGCTGCTGCTGCTGCTGCTGCTAGCAACTCCGTACGTAGTGTATTGCATTGCATGCGCGTCACCAGCGCATACCGCAAGGAATTCGCAAACGAACCAAACAGAGTGTTCTCACTATACATGTACGTACTAACCGGCAGCTACGTGCCAACAAAGTCCCCGAGGCCTCAGTCATGACATGACGGGGGCGACGAAATGGCGGCCGGTCGGTACCGCGGGTGATAATCTGCCCGCAATTACTTGTCATGGCGGATGCCTACTGCCACCACCACCACCACCATACATGCCTGCCGTCTTCTCATTATGGCGACGAGTAGACATAGCCGTATTGCTTCTTGGCCTCGTCAACCAATTGCTTGAGCTCCTTTGCCTGCTGGGCAGCCTCGCCTTCCTGGGGCTGGAGGGCCGACGACGCCGGCGCAGAAGGGACCCGAAACCCCCTCTGCACGGCCGGACGCTCCCAACAACGCGCCAGCCATGCTTGGACAGACGGGAATTGATGGATGGGAATGGTGGTGCCTCCGAGGGCGTTGGCCCACCCCAAGAGAGCAATGTCGGCAATGCTATACTTGCCCCGTCCCGGCCCCACGACGTAGTCCCGGTCCCTGAGGCGGGCGTCGAGGATGCCGTACAGCCGTTCTGTTTCACCAACATAGCGCTGCATTCCGTAGGCAATCTTGTCCTTGGCAGCTCTCACAAAGTGGTTGGCTTGCCCCTGCATGGGGCCCAGGCCACCGTGCTGCCAGCCTATCCAAGACTCTGCACGTGTATAATCATCATCGTCCGGAGCAAAGGAGAGGAGCCGGTCCGTATCATACCTGCGAGACAGGTACGACAAGATTGCGTTGCCCTCAAACACGGCCAAGCCGCCGTGGTCGTGATCGACAATGGCAGGAATGCGGCCGTTGGGGTTAATGGCCGTAAACCAAGGCTCCTTTTGAATATTCTGGCCAATGTTGATGCCCTGAGTCGTATACTGCAGCCCGTAGGCTTCCTTCAACTCTTCGAGGAGGATGCTGGCCTTGTATCCGTTGGGAGTGCCTACACGTTGTTGGGGGCCCAAAAAGTCAGCACTAATAAACCGTGTCATTGCCAAGGTCAAGGGAAGATTCCTATTGCTCCCCCCCAGGTTTTCACACGCCACCATCCTGCGTGTGCCACGCGCGAGGGCACACGGGCTGGGGAAAGCCGGAGCCAACGGATCCATCCAAATTGTGCCACGGGCGTGTGCCAGGTGCTTTCGCCGGCCAAATTTGGAGAAGCTGATTGCCACAGGGTCGCGTTGTGCAGGCTCATCGTGACGCACGGGCAGGCTGTTTTAAACTCTGATGGGATGACACTTGTCTTCCAAAAGGGCTGTCCCGCCCAGCTTGATTCCTAAGCGAAACAAACGAGGCCACATGGCGGCAAGTCAAAAGAAAGGGGCGTGTAGGGAGCAACAAGTCGGTCATGTTGGAGATGGTGGGCCGGAGACGCGAGAGATGCCGACCATACTGGCAGAACGGGCCGCCCACGAGATACATGGTTGGGGAGACTCAAATTATAGAGGGAAATGAACTGACGTACTCCAGGTGAGCAGTTCAATGCCCTTGGAGGCGACGAGACCAGTCGGACGTGCCATGACGGTGGCGATGGAGACGGCGTTTTGAATCCTGTTGTTCGATCGATCTCTCGGCGACGACGGTCGTCGGTGGAATTGGTGGCAGACGGACACGATAATACCGAGGGCGACTGAGCGTCCACGAACAGCAGAGCCGTGACAGCTTTGAATTATATCAAGCAATACTGAGTACGTTGGCTGAAATCCGCTGCAGTTGATGGCCCAAATGGTGACAACAATCGCTTTGCAACCGCTCACGGGGAGATTCATCAGCAAAGACGCGGATTTGTAAGACGAGACAAGCTGCAACCACGCCGTTTGGCTCCTTCCCTCCTCCGGACACCCAATCCTCCCGCACCCGCTCCACTCCCAATGCGGTGCGGTGCGTGTACGGAGTCAGTACGGAGTAACTACTTGGCACTTCATGTCCGGCCGCTGGCACTGCTCCGTACCCCGTGCGTAACGTGCCGTCATCGAGATGGGACAAAAGTTAAATTTTGACATCACGGTTCTCGCACATGCCTCGTTCGTGCTCGTTCGTGCTCGTTTGTGGTCGTGGTCCCACAACGACATTCACCAGCATCCCCCGGTATGCGTCGCTGGCTGGATAAAACGCCAGGAGAGGCTGCGTCTGACACGGACATGGCCATGTCAAATTCCTCGTCTTCTGTTGCGACGCTGCAAGACGGCTGGCTGCTGTGCATCTCGAACTTGGTTCCAGAAGGCTTCCATTGCTACGCTACGTGGCGCCTCCGCCTGGAGAGCGCGGCAGATTGATCATGTCATGTGTCCGGAATATCAAGTCAACAGCCCCAAGCAGACGCATATCCCCCGGTACTGTAGAAGCTGCCGCGGGCAAGCCAGCCTGTGCGACTCGTCCCTCGTGCAGGATTAGCAGGTCATACGCCTGACTGGCCAAGTTTCGTCGGCGATGCCCCTTTTCTCCATGGTGCTTCATAATAAAAGACTCCCTTCGGGCTTTACCCTACACGCGAGACGGCATCCATGAGACGTGGCCAGCGTTACACTGCAGTGTGGTAGGCGGGGGCCAAGACCAAAACTAATTAATGACATGTCCAACGTCGAGTTGGCGAGGCAGGCGCATACTGCCGTCTGAGACAAATGCTCTGTTGTGGATTTTGCTAATTCTGCGAATGTTTGTAAACAGTCACGCGCTCTCGGGCATGAGAAGGGATGATACGACGAGAACAGCCCAACTCCTCGAGAGCTCTCTTTCGTTGAGCCGGGTGGAAAACGACTTTGCCGGCGTGAGTGGGAGATGCGCAAAACCCAAGACGCCAAGGCTTAATTAGACCCAGGCCCAGAGCATGAGGCAAACGAGGACGAAAGCATACGAGGCTTCCCAGGCCAAGTTGAGGTCAGCAGGATCAGAGCAATAGCTTCTCTGGGTTGAAAAGCAAGCGATGCCACCACCACCACCACCAGCCTCGCGCAGCCCGGAGGTCTGCAGCCGGCTCCGAGAAACTCAATGGGCGGCAGTCTCTGCCGTTGTGCGTCACAGGGAGTCTACACTGACCCCGCCGGAGAAGCCTGCCGCAGAGTTCAGTGAGACGACAAAGTATCTGGGACTTGTACTTGTCAGATGCTCCATCGCGACTAATGCCAAAGTTTCCATCCATCCTGGCCTGTAATGTTTTGGCTTGCCGATCATTACTTACAAAGTCATGTCTCGCTGCCGCCTCTTGCCAAATGCTGCGATAGAGTTCTGAGTCAGGCCGAGTCAATGGACATTGATGCCATGTGCAGCTTCGGCAGATGCTGTAACAAGCCTCCGTCTGTTCTCGCGTATGTCAGGGGTCAGACAAGGCCCGTTAGCTCCCTCGAAACATTTGTCATCGGGCTCACCACTGGAAGATCCTGGTGGCTTGTATGGGGAGCTCGGGCTTCGTGGCCACCCTCTAGGTTTGATCCACGGACCGGTCAGAAATACGGAGCACGAACAGATCCCCAAGCATCAGCAATCTGTCTGTTGTAGATCGGGGTCTCGGAGATCCGCCTCTGATCTGGCGTGTGCTGCCCTGGTCCACGGCACGTGCTCATGATAGTTGGCGGGTACTAAGTTAAGTTCCTACGTCCGGATGTTAAGGGGTATCCGAGAGGACAGGAAGAAGACCATGGGGGGAGGCGTGTAGATAGCCGGAGAACCTTGCCAGTCTACTTCTTCTTGGTGAAGGAGCTTTGTGCGTGCGAGCCGAGTTGTTGGTCGCCCTCATCAGTCGTACATTGACTGCGCAGGCTCGCAACTGGTAACAGTTGAACCAGAGGGCACAAAAGCCCCAGCGACGCCAGCAGGACGTACGGTGTTTGACGAATCCGGTGCTCGTGCCAATTGCCGGCAAGGCAAAGGAAGAGGGCCGTCCACGTGTGTGTCTACCGGGGAGGTTCGAATGAACGAGCTAGTGGTGGGCAACCAGCCCAGTCACAGATGAGGTGCTAGCCCTTCCTTCAGCCGCCGGGTTCTGAGTCGATTGGGATTCGACTGCAACAGCCCATAGGCTTCCAGCGCAGCTTCGGAAACCATCAAACCAAGCTGTGTCGACAGCACGGCACGGCCTTGTAGACCGCAAGGGATGTCGGCATTGGGCAACATGATGTGCGTTGCACAATCTCCAATACCCGTCATCCCGATTTCCCATCACCACCAAAGCCCGCTTGAGACAAGGGCCTCGAGTCATCCGAATCGGGCGTCATATGCACCGCCGGGCGCTTGATTGTACCGTTATTATTCCACAGGCCTGACGTCTGGACATGGCCAGAAAGGCTATTAGCTCGCACCCTCCCGTGGCGGCGCTCAACGCCAAAGAACGACGATCAAACCAGAGTTGACAGAAAGGTGCTGCCCAAGACTAGCCACTACACCGAGTACGCCACATGGCGCTGGGAGGTGCACGGATGTTCGACGGAACGGAGGACGTACGTCCTGGACACACGGAATCGAGCAGAGCGAGCGTCGGAAGTGCGTGGAAGCGAACGATGGCCGGGAGAGGAGAACAAAAGGACCAGCCAGGCCAGGCCAGGCGCAACGAGCAGCCTTTGCAAGTTAGCACCTCGAGCGTTTCGGGATCGTTATACCCAGTACTGACTACTTGAGTCGTTACTTCCTAACTCCGTACGTCGGTCACTCACCTCGCCGCCAGGGTGCCAGTGCCAGGGCGCCAGGGTACCGGGGTGCCAGGGTCGCCTCGATTTTCCCAGTATGGCAAAGCTTCTCCATATCCCCCCCCCCCCACCCGAGCTTGTGTTCTGATGCCACGAGGCACCAGCAGGATCCGCCCGCCTTCGTGCCCTCGTTGGAAACAGGCAATGAGATGAATTGAGCCACTGGCACAGACAGATACGGAGTACGTGCGTACGTACGGAGTACGGACGCATGGTTGGACAGGTTTTCGGTGGAGCAAAGTCAGGGCTGTCAACCATGTGCACCCTCCCCAGGGGAGTGAGTGAATTCCCAAACTTGCTTGCGAGGGAACTCGGCGCAGAAGGCGGCAGGCAGGAGGCAGGCAGGCAGACAGGCGTCGCCCAATCTCATCTGCTCGGCAAACACAATGGGCGTTTCCCCAGAGAGAGCCCGTCGAGGGCTGATGTGGTCACACGGCCCGTGTCTTCGCAACGCGCATGGACACGGCGAAAGGCCCAAAGTTTGGCGTGTGACGGTTGTTGCAACTTGGGCGGCGAGCATGGTCGTCGTTTGATCAACTGATCGGTTGCTGCACCGAAACACAGGCTGGCCTGGCCGCTGTACCCCGCTGACCGGGCCACCATTCGCGTCAACGAGCAGATCGTTTCTGCCGCTGCACTCCGTCGCAGCTTGTGATGAATCACGCCTCCCTTGAGACTCAACCGCATGGCCTCGGCAACGAGTCGGCGAGACTTGGTGACCGTTCGAAGCCAGCCGCAGCCACACACGCAGTGCCCAAGGCGGGCGCCGTCCACAGCCAACCCGGCTTTGTGGCTCCGCTTGTCTAGAAGGTGTTCCGCCACTTCGCCAGCCAAGAGCATCGACGCTCACCCAGAAGTGGCGGGCGCTGGGCCAAGGCGCTTTTGACAACAATCTGCACCTGCATGGCACAGAGCACAAGGTACCATCCCGATTCTGCCATGGCTCGTATTCTCGCTTTTTCTTGCTCTGTAGCAGTGGTATGCATATTTGAAATATGTTGATCGCTCGTGCCGATTTTTTTTCGCCCTCTCCTCTCTCCGTCTCCGTCTTTCTTTCATTTCCACCACTGTACTCAGTGCGTTGTCAAGTCGAGTCCTCTCGAGACATGTGCATGTTCCGATTGCTCTTTCTTGGGACGTGTCTCTATAAAGTATATGGTCGTTGGCCATGGGAGGGGTGTCGAGTACGACGGACAGTTGATCCACCAATCCGGTGTCGAGCCACGGAGCTTAAATCTAAGTACTTGAGTACTTGCTCAAGTACGGAGTACTATGTTAGTGCTCCATACCAGCAGTACCGAGTACCTACT